TGCAGCAGGCCGAATCCGCGTACCTACTTGCTGCTTGTATAATATTATTATTATTATGCACAGACTAACGGGAGAAAACTGAGAGAGAAAGACCCGTCTTGGTCGTCATCGGTGACGTGTCTCGCATAATTGCTTGACCTCCACTTGTTGTTTAAGAAACCACCTGTTCGCCTGCCGACGGTCATAGTCGTTCGGCTATAATAATGTTAAGGAATTTTTTTTTCGACAAATCCTTGAATTATAAAAACCGACATAATCGTTATTATTGGAAAACATAATAAATAATATTATGGTATGCGACATCACAATATTGAAATTGTCCAGGTGAGCCAATTGAATAATTTTTTTTTTACTTTTGATAAAATTGTACTACAAAGTTTTCGTTGTAAATGTTAACACCGCGACAAATATAAATTTGGTGTTTAAAGAACAAGTAAAAAAAAAAAATAACAGTAATAATAAAGCGCATTCAATTGTCTGTCTAATGGTATGAAAAAGCGTACTTGTAACAAGTGTGTGCATTATAAGCCATCGACAATAACTGATATTATTAAAATATAATAACATATGTGTCTTTACCGTCAAAGGAAATGTCGAAAGGAGTTTTAATTAAAAATGTGTTTTTATTTTAACAACACACATTGCATTCAGTAGTGACGTTTGTCATTTTCAAAATAATAATGTACAACCAAAATGGAATTCAATTGCGTTTAGCTCTTTGTCCAAATTTAAATATATAATATTATTTATACAGGGTGATTTATTAAGGAGAAGACACTCATTTTCATCGGTTTCAAAAAGAAAAAACTCTGCCATCACTCTGTATAAATAAATATATAATTTACATTTTTTAGAATGACCCTTTTCCTTTCGAGTCACTTTGAATAATATATGCATTATATATAGAACATATAATATTGTATAAAATATATTAAGTATTTTATATTATATATTATTATCTCAAATCGATGGCATTACTCTCACACAAGTGTAACCTGTTTACTGAGAGAAATCGTATAACAGCAATAGTGTGGTTGTTTTTTATTATTTTTTTTTAACATGATAAAATAATAACAATATGTTTCCTTATAAAGATCTTTGCGTCTTCTGTGGTGCATTCCACGTGGAGAACATGTTTTTCCGAATAAATTTAAAATGGACTCGAGTTCGGATAAAAAAAAAAAAATTCTGTTTGATTCTGTTTTTTATTACTCTACCGGATAAACGTCTATACCTAATACATTTATTTTGCACGTGCGTTTTTTTACTGTTTTTTAAGCGACCAAAACGTCGTCGTTGGTTTTTTTCCATGCTCCGGCTTGAGAAGGAGGTATTGGTTTTTATTTTCTATTTCACCCAGTTCGGCTTAACCGGAAGTTTTGTGCAAATCTCACCCAAAGCATATCAATATTATCTCAATTATTTTGTAAATATGTATATATTTTTTTCTCGTTTCCTTGAGATTTGTACAAGTTTGACAAGTCAACGTGGCGACAATAATATGCGTTTAAAATGAACGTACATAAATCGTGAAATGACTCTGACAAGCGGTTCTGGGTTCAATTATCACACTTAAACAAACTACTATTCTCTTGTCTTGTCGAGGTTGTTTATTTTTTTTTTCTGTATCGATAACAGTTAATGATCGCCAAGAATTCAGGCAATGTTACACCACATATATATTCACATATCGTGTGTAAGTACCGTCCGGTTTTTTGTTGTACAAAACAAATCAATTTTGCCATAATTAATTAAACAATATCGAGGGGAGTATTTTTTTATTTTTTTACCGGATCTGTTTTGGACAGAATTAAATAACATTGTGTACAACAACAACTGTGCCCACAACCGCTATGGGAATCAGATGTCAAGCTCGTTTAGCGCCGTTTGTTTACCCGGACTTTACTGATTAGAATATATTATTATATTATGCAAACGTTGCGCGTGTACACATAGCGACAACAGTATATAGTAATAATAAATACTAGAATAGTAATAATTTAAAAATATACCGGCTCGTTTTTTTTTTTAATTGGATTGTATTCCGCGAAACGAATTGCCATTTCGACTCGGCCTTGAAATCCGTACAATTTCGTTAGGTATTTTTTTAATATTTTTTATCCCAAAACGTGCCGACACAGTGTCCGTCGTCGGTTCGACACAATTTTCTTCTTTTTTTTATAATAATATAAATATTTTATCGTTTTCCGCGTTTATTCTGTTTTGCAGTCTTGTTGTCGTCTCCTTGGAAATGTAGGTGACCCGTTGGTGTAAATAAAGAAAATAGAACGTCACAAATTCCGTCTTTTACTTCGACAACATTTTTTATAATATAATATTGCGTGCAACATACGTACAGCGTTAATATAATATTGTCACAAGCCCGGCAAACGCATTTGTTTGTTTAAAACGTATCAACCTGAACACTTTTACTTTTTTTATTTTCACATTATATACCTACTTCACGCGTTAGTATAACTTTTAATACCGCAGTTTTACCTAAGTATTTACCTAATTTACAAATCTATACTGTTAGACCGTTGCTGCCGAGCCTACCAACTCTTCGTCCCCTACAAGCCTTCCAATCTTCCAGTCTACGTGAGTCTTATTATATTTTAGATTTTCCAGAAACGACTCCAACGCAGAATGAAAAAAAAAACTATTTTTATTAGAGTCGCCGAGGTTGCGGAAGTGGCCTTGAACTTTTAACGCAATCATTGTGTTATTAATACTATATGCAATTTATTATGCTACCACAATGGACGTCCGCCCAAAGTCGTCCGTCGATATAAACATGAATGGAATCTAAAAATAAAAAATATATTTAATCGAAAAAATCGTTTTCAATTCCAACTCATCGCCGCCGTTCGAGGTCGTCTTGCCAATAAGTAGCGCGGTGTGCATAATATGATAATTACATAGTATTATTATTATTATATCATTGAGACCCCTACGCTGAACGATAATAACTGTGCATAGATTATACTGTGCTAAATAATTACCATAATAATAATATACATACATTGTTATGTTAATAGACATGCGCTTCCTTCTTTGTAGTCGAAGCGGCAGATCGGTGGGAAAAATAATAGAACAAAGCGAAAGTATTGAAATGAATTAAAAACACCGCATTAAAAATTCGATTGATGATACGCATGTTAAGTATTTTGCAGCGCCAAAACAAACAGAGATGTATATTAATTGATTCAGTACCGGATACGTCAACCGTTATAACACAATATTATGTTGTAGCTGATCCAACACCAACGGGGCGGTTTTTTTTTTTAAGAAATTGAATCGAGTTTAGCAGTTTAGACATCAGCTTTTTATGGGTAACAGCCTTTTACCAGCAAAAAGAGAGTGACCGGCGGTTTTTCTCCTGTATATAATGATTTCATACAGAGCTTATATGTTCACATTACACCATTTGTTATAAACACCAACGACTGTGCGCTGCTTGTGGGAATACAGCTCTGTGCCAGGATCATTGCCAACAATACCCATATAACGTTATACACGGCCGGCTGACTTGAGTTTTTTTGAAACCGTTGTTTTTGTTATAACTTTTTTATAACATTGAAAATAGCATGGAATATATATATATATGTATCATGGCTGTTGTATAATACCGTTTAGTACTTGCAGTGTGTGTTTATAATATTATTATTAAATTTTAGAGCTTCTTTTTGAAGTGTGTGTTATTAAAAACGCGACGGCCATCGCCATGCTCTGTACACATTATTATTGCCAATTTGTTGAAGATGCCCACAACACTAATAATTCCGCTTTCGTCTTATCTGTGCACTTGACCGTATTGCCATCTGTTTGGGTATTTGTTGTTTACATATTCGCAACGACTCGAGTGGGACGTGACTCGATTAATAATTATAATAATAATAATAATAAGTACCAGGTACTTATACCAGGAGTATGTGACCGTGTTTGGATCTGTGCAGTGTTCCTGTATTTTTTTTTTCTTTTTTACTGACCACTCGTAGTGTCTACATTATAATATTGCATTAACAATTCCGAGACCCCAACACCCCCCCCCCCCTCATCCTTAACTCATCTTGAGTAGGTCGTTGTTTATTTTACCCGTACCCTACAAATGCAATGCCCGGTTTGCCCTCTTGACCGGGTTAGGTTTTGTTTTCCGACCAACCCCACCCCCTCCTCTTTTGGAAATTGCACTCACGCAGCAGCCCAAGTGAAGGGTCGTTTAGAATTTATTTCCCTAAACCCTTGCTGGCAAAACGTGTGCGGGTCGTAAACAGTGTATGTATATATTATATATATGTATATAAATTGGATTAACCGTTTGTCCTCTAACGCAAAATATAGCTCTCTCAGCAACCCCAAAAAGCTGGTTTGGTGTGGAAAATATTAGTGACTGCGATTGTCAACATAATATTATTATAATTTGATATATTTTACCCGAAAAAGGGTATTTATATTTTTCGGTTTAAGTTAAAGCGTATGACAAACGGTGAATAGATGTTTCAAAAATGTTATTTTTCCAAAACGTTGGCATGCAATTGAAAATATTATGAACATTTTGCAAACACAATTTTCAAAAGCTCGAAAGCTCGTTTAAAAACTGTTATTCGAATATATATTTTTTTTTAATATAAAATAATGCTGAAAAATATTTAAACGTTTTGTTATCTTAACCCGGGGGCTTAATCTGGTACACATAATTAGAAACCGGATTGGGCGAAGAACTTATAGATTTTTAAAGAATATATATATATATATATATATATATATATATATAGTATATAAGACAATATCTATACTAAGTATAGCTTATACTAGTATTATACGAAGTTAGTATAAGCTAACATAACAATATATAATATTGTTTGTACTTGATTTTTTACAAAACTAATTATGTAAATCATAAACAATGCATTTTATTAGCGACGGCCATTCTGTCGGACTTCACCCCGTCCAATATTTTTTTACTTGACTAAATTGTGCCTGGTTTTTTTTGTTTACAGTGGCCTAGGCCGAAATCTTTGAACGTAAAGTGTGAGCAAAGCGGATAAAAACGTCAGGTCACGGACCGCCTTTGGCGTGGGCAGGCCCAGGCATTCTCACGGATAATGTTTCTGGAACGGCGCGTTGGGCACAGCCGCGTTCAATGGACGGAGGACCCGGCGGCGGCAACGGCAACGGCAATACTGACGGCGGCGGCGGTCGCGTTAACGGTGGCGGCGGCGGTGGCGGTGGTCCCAGAAGAACATTCCAATCGTCTTATCAACAACAACAACAACAACAAATGCACAAACAACAACAACAACAACAGCAGCAACAGCATGATCAGGCAGCAGCGGCCGTAGTGGCGGCCGCCACTCAACAGTACCTGTCGGCCGTCGCGGTCAACGCGTCCGCGCTGCAGCAGCAACATCAACTGCAACAGCTGCAGCAACAACAACACCAGTTGCACCAGCAACTGCAACAGCAGCATCATAAACATCAGCAACAGCAACAACAACAGCCTTCCGCGTACAACACTGAGGTGGACAGGTCCGATTCGGGACTGAGCTCGTCCCGAAGCGACGAAAGGTCCGGGTCCCACTCGAGCGCGTTCAGCGGATCCGACGACCACGGTGCGGCCACGTCGCCGCTCGGTGGCGAACAACAGCCGTTCAACAGCGGCCGACTCTGGAGGGATCCCAACTTGTTACAGGTAAACATGGATGTGTTATTGGACTGGATTCATGACGCCATTTTCACTTTCATACGATAAGAGATGAGATTAAATAAAACCAGATAGTGCACTCTAAAAATATCGAAAAATGTAAACAAACCTTAATAATCTCAGGTCAGCGTGACCAAATAATGATAAAAATAATCCTTCTGTTATACAGTGTGGTCTAAGAAATGTTATCAAACATATTAAATGTTATCACCATCAACCATCGTTAATCAACTACTTGTTATCAATATTTCTTATCAGTTTACGTTATTATTGTAAAAAGTGTGTACGATATTTTCGCCATTGTATTTTGACCCTACTGAGAATTAAGTTTAAGCCAATCGAATAATTGTTATTTGAAAATCTATTGTTTTACCATCAAGTGCACTAACTAGTTTTATTTAATCTGTGATAAAGAGAAAAGAGATAAATGATAAATGATAAGAGATAACAGTTGTCGTGGTGAAAATATGCATAAGAACCGTACGGAATCTGAATCATAAAACAAAAAAATACCTATCGATCGCCCGCCCAAAGTCACTATCCATATCCGGCACTCGATCACCGTGACGGCGTAGGTCACGTATATCTTTTGTCTTGTTTTTTTCCGCCCGGATTTTCCCTTCGGTAATTCGGTAGGTAGTAAAAAAAACCTTAACTGTCGTCGACAACGACAATCCGCAAACCGCAACACGCCGTTTGTCTCGTCGTAAGCCGTTCCAAATACGATTAATGTACGATTGCGGTCGTCCGGAAACAAACGGTTTGCCAAAGCGATCGCCATTACCGGCAGGTATAGCCGACAATAAATCGTGCCTAACCGTTATAAAGAAACCGGTGACGACCGCCGTTTCCCGCGTCAAGTACCTGTCTTGTTAATTACCTTCGTCTCTTCGTGTTTGTATACAGCACCCCGTGGACGGACCCTCGAGGCACGCCGATAGCGTTCATCATCAGGCGCAACTGTTCATGTCGAACGCGGCACAAATTCCTCAGGCGCTACCCTTTCAGCCTTTCCATCCGCCGCCCACAATGCAGCCCGTGCCCGGCATGGTGTGGAGACCGCCCGTGCCGATTTCGTTCCCCAACGGCGGCCATCAAAAACCCATCAGCTACTATCAACGTCTCAGCGAGCATCAGCAAAAGCAACAACAACTCATGCAGAACGCCAGGTGAAATTTCAGCGCACCATTTGTGCACAAACTACCATTTTTCAATTGTATAATATAATAATAATATTGTGTGTTTCAGCAGAAGCAACAACGCGGCCGCTGACAACAAAGACTCCTCGGCCAAGTACAAGGAAGCGCAGAAAGCAAAGTTCAACGACAACGGCGGCGGCGGCGGCAAAGGTCCAGGCCCTTCGGGTCAGCTCGTGGCCGCAGAGTCTCGCGATTACAGGCGCATGGAACTCGAGAGGATGATGAACCACGGTCAGATGAACGTGCACCAGGCACAGCAGCAGATCAAAGAAAACTCGGAGAAGCAAAAGGCCGAGGCTGCCGTCCACCAGCATTTCGAAGAGAGCTTGAAGCTGGCCCACCAACAAAAAGTAAGCGTAGCGCATCAAAGGCAGAGACGATAGACGTTAATCTTCTTAATACTGTCGTTTTGATAACATTTTTCTTGTTTTTTTAGCGTTCCAACTGGATTTCTAGCTTGCCCACCCCACCGAGGAACGTTTACCCTCCTCAAGGATCGAAAAGCCGACCGGAAGCCAACAAGGGAATACCTCTGTTGGCTCCAATCGGTCGAGGATCCGAAAACTGGAAGGACAAGTCCAACACGGACCCCAACAGATACACGGCGTCGGTTCCTCCCAGGTTGACTCCCATACCGACACCATCGTCTCACTCCAGATCTTCACCGGTGAGTACAACAACGGCACGGATATATATATATATATACATTTTACAAACACTACACATCCGGATCGATTATAATACTAACGTTTGCCCGAATGTTTGTGTATTGTCATTGTCGTTATCTATTTATACTATAAAATAATTACTTAACTGTGTGAGCCTCTATACGGCTTTCTACTTCGCAGAAAGAGAGATTCGTCGACACTATATTAATATTACTATTATGTTTATTTACCGTTACGACGTTGCCTTATGACGGTTCGTATTGTTCCACGCCGTAAAAATAGGTAAAACGTTTTTTTTCTTCAAATTTGCCAAATCTATCTTCAACACAAATCCCTAACCAAACCGCCTATATGAAATCGGAAGTGGTTATCTTGTGTTTTGATAAAAAAAATATAATTTTCATAATACTTATTTGTGCAAAACCATTACTTCCTCGACCGAAGCTAATAATAATGACAATAAATAACGACCAAAACGTAGACGAACCGTTATTCGAATCATTACCCATTTTCACGTTGCATTGTTGTTGCTCGTGCCGGTAAACCAGTCGTGGCCCACGTTTTATGCGCTTGTTTGTTTTGTTTTGTAGCAAACATGCACAGTTAACCAGCAGTCGCCGAAAACGGGTTACGAAACCGTCAAAAACAATATGTTACTGAACGTGAACGACGGCGTCAACCACAATATGATCTCATACGCTCATTACATGCAGCCGCCCGCCGGTACCGTGTACCCCGCCTCGCCCTCCCCTTCGTCGGTGATAGTCAGGAACGACGCGTCGTACAAGAACGGCAATGGCGGCAGGCCCGAGGCCGGTTACTACGGCGAGTCGCCCACCGGTAATCGCAAGTCGCCGGCCGCGGAATCGGCCAAACAGGCCCGGGCCCCGCCGCCGCCGGCGCCCGCTGTCCATTATCCGCCGCCACCGGGGCAGATGATCAACCGCAACGCCGCCGCCAATCTTACAATGCGGCCGCAGAACGCGGCGTCCGGCACGCAAAACAACGGCCGTCCGCTGATGGGCAGCCCGTCCGTGTCCATCTACCCTTATCCCGGACAAATTTACGGCCGCCAACATCTGCCGCCGCTGGCCGTCCGCCACCAGCCCACGTACTATCCGCCTTACCGGCAGACGCCTATCATGGGGACGCCGCCGGTCCCGTCTGCATACCCGCCCGACGTAGCGTCGCCACCGTCGACCCAAGACCGCAAGGACACGCCGCCGCCGGCACACGCCAACGGCTACACTAAGTACCCGACCGACTGTGCCGTACCGGTGCCGCTGACGACGGCCGACCAATGCGAACCCCTGGACCTAGCCATCACTGGCAACAGCCACCTTTCTCGTTCGGCGTCCACCGGACCGACGGCCGAGTTCGAATCCGGGGGCGACACGGACGCCGACGAACAGCCCAGGTTCCCGGTGGACGCGTACGCCAACGTGGACGTCACTAGAAACGTCACGTACACCAACGCCAACGTGCCCCCGAACGTGTACTCGGATTCCACCGTGACCGTATATTCGTACGCCGCAGACGTGCACGTACCCGTTAGTGCGTACTACAACGTGCCGGCAGATGCGTACGCTGAAAACCGTGTAACTGTTTCTCCTGTAAACGGGCACGACGGAGACGGCGGCAGCAAGTCGGATTCGCCGGCTAACGACGAGCCGAAGCCTGCCGCTGAAAAAGAAGCGCCGCAAGAACAACAGCAGGAAATGGACGAAGAAGACGATGAACCTTCGCCGCCGGCTCTGGTGAAAGAGGAGGATTCGCCGCGGGCCGCCGGCAACGACGAACCGGTCGGGGACGAGACGCCGCCCGTGCTTATGCCTGCGCCGTACACAGATATCCCGTCCGGCAGTGGTGGTCCCAGACCGCATCATCACAAACTGAAGAAAGCGTGGCTGCAGCGGCACACGTGGGCCCAAGACCTGAAGGGAACGTCGTCGCCGTCGTCGTCTTCGTCGACCGCTGCCCGGATAGACGAGCTTCCGGCGGACGAAGGGCCGCCGGTTTTGCCGTGCGAAAACTTGCAGCCGTCCACGTCGGCCAAGGGTTTGTCGGAGATGTCGTCGTGCGAATCGGACGCGGACGGCAGGGCGTCGAAAAAGAGGAAAGCGTCGAGCGCCACCACGGTTTCGGACAGCGAGAACTACGACGAAACGGCGGACGGCGGTGGCTCGTCGCAAGCGACACCCGACAAACGGACGTCGTCGGCTGTCAAAGTGCCCAAAAAACGGGGCAGAAAGCCCAAAGTGTCGGTCCCCCCGAAAAAAACGAAGCTCGGCAATGGTTACAAAATCGGGCAGTATTTTTTTCAGGCAGGGCCGTGCCTCACGGCCGGCCCTAAGATAAATAAATGCCGTGAATGCCGATTGTTCTCCATCAAATTGAAAAACAGACCGCCCACACAAGAAGAAGTAGATAACATATTTTGCCGATTCTACGCGTTTCGCTTGCTGTACTCCAACAAGTACGGACAACTGTGCAGCGCCGGTTTTCCCGACCCGTTCAAAGACGTCACTCGGGTAAGTGTCCAAATCAACCGACAACAAAAAAAATCTACCCTAAAACTGGCTCTCAAAAGCATAGCCCCCCCCCCCCCACTCCCGTTAAATGTTCTCGAAGTATGCATTATGATGGGTTTTACAAAATTGCACGATTTATGCGTTAAAATGACAGCTGTGATAAATTAACTGTCCAAGTATCGACTGCTGGATTTTGGGAGCCAAACGCTAATCCGAATGAACTGAGAATTTTGATCGTGTTTGGTGTATTTTCGCAGGATGACGTCAACTTGTGGATGCCAAACACGACCCTAAATATGGCCACGCTGGACACGCTCATGGCCAGGAAAGTGCTGGAGGAAGCCGGCCAACAGTTTTGTTACCTGGTCAAAGAAGAGAACGAGGCTTTGACATTGTCGCCGTTCGCACAAAGTAAGATCTGCGCCCGGTCGTCGATCGCATGATGTTTTGTAGCCGTTGAATGTTCCGGTGACGGGTGTTTTATTAATTTTTATTTGACATTTTCAGGGAATCCCGTTGCCTGGAAAAAAGCTGCAACCGGGGTAAGGGAAATGTGCGACGTCTGCCTTACCACCATATTCAATTACCACTGGGCTTGTAACAAATGCGGTTTTGGAGTTTGCATCGGCTGCGTTCGGGTAAGATGTAGTTGCTAGACCAGAGCTGTTGGCGATCACCTGACCTAACCTATTTTAGCTACTTCCGTTTTACTTCCCCTCTCGTTCAAAACTCTTCACTCCAAGTAGACTGTTGTGTTTTCTAAAAACAGTATTCCTTCTCAAACCCCGTGTTCCGATTAGTTTTATATTTTGCATACGAATAACCGTTTTTTTATTGTTATTTTCTTTTTTAAACGGCGGCCGTTGGCGTCAAACGATTACTGATATAAAAAAAATATACAAATAGCAGTTCTCATTAGGTGTGTCTATTACTACAATCGGTCTTATCTACTTGATTGTGTGTGTGTTTTTTTACTAAATTAAATCATATTAATCCACGCTCAAACATCATAGCCGGTAAACATACGCTATTGCTGTTGTAGTAAACAAAATCTGTTACGAAAACACCATTTGCAGGCTATTACAAATCGCCGTCATCCGATTGCGATATTGATTTTTACAGCCCACGATTAAATTGTATAATTTGTGTATGCCCAGAGGCTCACAACGATGGCAAACACTTTTGCCGGTTTGTGTTGTGTTTAAAAGGTTTTTTTTGTTATTATAATGTCGACGAGATTTGGCTGGCGTGCCTACCACCTACTGTAAAATATTCAAACTCATTTGCCGGCAATAATTTTACTGGGAAACGCTTAAAAAAACATTTACGCTAGTCTGTATTTAAATAAATCGCGGCTGTATATTGCCGCCCCGGACCACTCGATTAAAAAAATATCACCCTAAAAGGGTCCTCCCTTGGTTTCCATTTAAAAAAAACTTTTAATAAAAATGTAAAAAGCAAATCCGAATAAAATTAAACGCCGGCGTTCGCTTTTAAAGCAGTCAGGCGATGCCTTTTAGTAGATATTTTCCATGTATAAAATAGATAAAACAATTTCGGCGTTAATGGAATTGTTGTTTGGGCGGAATGTAAAATATTATATTTTATTGTATAAAAATAATCGCAAACAAAAGAAACAATTTGTTTTTTAAACGGTTTTCTGGAAACATGAAATTAGTAGCAGTGACGTCATTACATGGTGTCTTAGAGTGATGTATGGGGTGACCCCCCCCCCCCTCACAAGAGCTTTAATTTTTTTATAAATATATTATTAATATGATAGTATTTATATTATTGTACTCTATTTATTAAAAAGAATACTCTTCTTGTTACCGTTTTGGACCAAATGTGTCACAGGGGAAAAAAAAAAGAAAATTACATTGGTCAAGTATTTTATTTGTTCGCCTAACGAACAGGTATTTTGTAAAACCCTTTTTCTGGACAGCCAAACTTTTTTAAAAATTGATAAAAAAGAATGATAGGTACGAAGTTAAAATTTAATATATTTTTATATTAACGAAAGTTTAGATGACAAATCGGGAAAACATTAATGATAAGTAAAAATAAATTAACAAAAATGTGTTCTTAAAATTTTACGACGCAGTTTATTTGCTATTACAATAACACAAAAACTTGTATTTTCTTACATTTAACTTAATTTTCCAAGTATCAAGTATTTTTAGTGATGAAGACTACTGCTCAGTCGCTCAAAAAAGACATGTTTCTTTTGTATTTTTTTTTTTACAATATTAGCTAAACGACTGTGTTGCAAGATCTGATCAGACAATTAAAAAACTAACTATGGTTTTAGATTGTGTTTTTTAGAGATAGAAAAAGAGAGATGTGTCGAATATGATTGAAATGTAAGTCCTAATTTAAACTTGCAGTGTTTTTAATGGACCTGTCCTCTACCTTTCCGCCAATGACTATATTATGTTATACTCATGCCATATTGTCGTATAGTCGAATTTTTGTATCGAACAATCGCCTATATTTTGCTCACTTGTAGTTGTATCTATAACCCGACCTAACCTAACTTGTGTCCATTGCATTTTTTTTTACAGTCTCGTGTCAACGGCACGGCAAGGCCAGTCGATACGGCTTCGATGAGCAAAAAGGACCTTCGGGAAAGGGACGCTTACATGTGGATAACGTGCTGGAACCGACAAAACCACGACATTGAAAAGCTCATGTTGACCCAAATCGTGGCCGGAGACTCTTTGAACTTGGTGTGTGCAAGCATGCACGAAGTTTGCATGGCGTTCGACATCAAATTGGAATGCGGTTGTCCGACCCACGAAGTACCCGCCGACGCCGCTCTAAAGGTAATTTCTCTTAAGTCTTATTTCACATAAGTCGGTAGTAATTATTGTCGTATCCAGGTATTTCCCAATACTTATGCACAAACACACAGTTAAACTCCCACGTCAAGTATTGGTTCACCCGGACCGGCGAGACTGGGACACACTGATAGTAACTCCTAGTACGGTTGTAATTCGTTGTTGGGGACTATGTTTAATTGTTCTTAGAGCTGGATTAGTGGTTATATCTGTAAACATTGAACCTGCGAGATTAGTGGCTATATCCAATATGGATCACTTAAAAGTTGTCCCAGTGGTTGTACTTTGAAAACAGAACATTGTGTTGTTGTTTTTCCTACGAACGATCGATCAAAACTTTTGAAGTTATTCGGGATTTCGATTCCCACTAGACCGAGAAAATAGTATTATCGGGGCAAACAATAATTGCATCGTTGTGTAATTCCTTATCGTGTCCCTTACAAAACCGTGTTCCGAGTTAAGCCGATTCGTTTCCAAAGTGCTTTTGGCAAACAAAAACAACGACTACCACCTTCTTTTTGAAACTATACAGGTACTTCGGCTGATAGGTATTGTTGTGTAGAAACCGCTGTTAACCGAAAATCCCGCTTATGAATCGAATCAGCCAAAAGAACAACTGTTCAGGAGGAATTTAATAAAAATTAGTTTCTTTTCCAAGAATGGGTTTTCGATTAAAATTGCATTCGTAGACATTTCCTAGTGAATTAGCTTTTATTAAAACGTAAAAACTGTTTGAACCGAGCTAGTATGTAGAAAAACAGTTTTTGTTTTATATACATATGTACATAAGATACATTTATTTGACTTAATTAATAATCTACACAAACGTAGCTCATTTTTTTTTAACGACCTTATTTTCTTTTAATTAACACGTCAAACGGTCTGTTTCGATGACTAGTAATTTGAACTCGGTTATTTTGTGTTGTTGTGCTTGTAAAAATAGAAAAATAATTATAAATACAACGAGCATGTTATTATGTCATTATTTCATTCGCACACGGTTTGGTTTCCTCGGGCGAGTTGCAGTGTTGAAATAGTTTGAAGTTAAAATAGCATCTCTGCTCCGCATCGAAGCTAAAATATAGTTATAAAACAGTATGTTACATTTTTTGAGTGTACTCGACGGCTTGTGGTGTACTTGTAGTTGATTTGGCCACGACAATAGGAAGATGGGTAAGAGAGAGCGAAAGAATGAGTATATCTCGTGTAATACATATAATAATATTTTAATATATTATATTATAATAATATATTGATAATGGGCGTTGCGCAAACGACTTGTGAAACTCGCCTGCGGTATTGAAGTTTCTATATTTTTTAATAATAATAATAATAGTAATAGGTATGTTATATTATTATGTTAAAAATAATAATAATGATAATAATAGACGTAATATTATGTATTATCGTCGAGCAAATAACAAAGTCGACGAATTTCGTTTGATAAATAGAAAATTGATTTAGCTTCGATGATGTTTTTTTAGCGTTTATTAGCAAATAATTTAGCAATTATTGTTCTAACAGCATTATCTGTATAGTTCATACGAATTATAAACACCGCGAAGATTATCTCCTTTTTTTTTTATTTTAAAATTACTATTTTCCCATTTCGACGAGTGGGGGGGGGGGGGTTACGGGTTCTCGTAACAGTATTTGAAACGGTTTCAAATTAGTTATTATTATTATTATTTTTTTTTTTTGATAAACTGTTTTTTAACATTTTAACAAAATTACATAATAGAGCTTTACATTATTATAGTATGCACGTGGGACGTGGTCTTGTTATGAAACATAGCCGAATGGATTGTCTATTGATTGGGTTCAATCTGCAAACATATTGTATATTTTAAAATATTTTTAACACTTAATATAAGTATACAAACAGTTTTTACACTGTTGTACTGATGAGTATTTATAAAAGAAAATCGGTAATTTTGATTTATTTTTTTACTGTATGTGATAGTATTTTGAAATTAAGTATTCTACTCGGTCAAGTATGAAATATGCCAACTCGTCGCGTCACGTTGAGATGAACTTTGCAAATTTGTGACTTATAACCGCCGCGGTTTTCTATGTTTGTCAATATACTTCTATATGTTTATAGAAGTATAGAAAACAATAGGTTTTATATATTTTTTTTTTACGACCACGGTAGTGTATATATTATGCTTCAAATAACCCATTAATAATTTCTGCGTATCAGTGACAATGTTCTCTTTCGAAGGCAATTATGTTTACTGGTTATTTTCACGTTGAATAAATGACTACATTATAAAAAAAAATATAATTTGATGGCACCATCGGCCGTTGTTGATGAGCTGGTAAAAATCGAATTTCGCTTAATCTCGTTTAGTTTGAAAATACAATATAAATAATTTTTGCCAGTAAAAAAAAAAATATCTCTCCCCAATATAATATAATATTTTATATAATACACTTGCTCTTCTTTTTTTTTTTCGCCGTCATTGTTATCCGTCTTCTGGCCATGCTTCGCGTTTGTCACTTTAACAATAATACTATGTACTAGAAACACACATTTACCATCAGCTGAATGTGAACAATGAAATTAGTCTTGACGTTTTCAAATTATATATTACATAACCGGAACGACGAAAACAAATATAAACACTCAACAACCTCAATGGCTTTTTATTATTTATTTAAACCTGTAAAGCGAGTCCAAGCGGTTGAATGAAGCGCCAATCACATATTAATTAGTATAATTTTTTTTTTTTTAATTTACTCTTTATTTTGGTCTATTTAGAATGAACGGTCAAAAGGAGAATTTAAGAGGGACTTTTGTCAAATGGCTGTGTTTTTTTAAATTGCTGTCTTGACAACTTTGTAGTTATGTTTGGGCTTTTGAGTAAAGGACGTTTAGAATTTATTATTATTTATTAAAACACGGATCAGCAGATAATCGCAATACATTTCTTTTCTATCTGACGGAAAGCTCCTGCCGTCTCAAGTGCTTTTTCTTTAGGCTATCGCATTATTGACAACTGAACCTACCTTAGGCTTCTATACGAAGTCGGGCAGACATTTTGAATGTTGACAGTTGTCGTTGGCATCGCGACAGTCACCTTTGAGAGGAGGTACTATACAAGCGATATAAATCAAACCATAGCCATTGTCACGCGATACGACATTACCTGACTTGGCCGAGCTATTAGCCGACAATGACAATTGTGTTTTACCGTGACAACAAATCGGCGCTCTGCTGCTTTATGCAATGGTGCCGTTGGACGTAAATTATTATTGTCCTATCACGACTAGACTATCGTCGTGTAAACGCACTTTATAAAATATATCGAATCATTTTTTTTTTTTGTATTGTGGTAAAAAACTAATTTATTCCTGAAACATGTGTTGTTTAAAAATAAATCCTTTGCATTAATACACAATCAATTACACATTCAAACAGTTGATGCTTTCTATGAAAAACGTGTACCCTTATCTGACGACCCCATCAGGTCAATATTGTTACGCCTCGGCGGTATGTGAAAAGCGTTGGTAAATTTAACGGTCGGTTGAAATTTAATGGCCGCCGTTGTCAGTTGTGACATTGAATGGCCCATTAAATGTTAAACGATTCGCAATGTACTTTAACGAATCGCCCGACATAATTAACTTAAGTATATTTTATATTCGGTCGAAACTGTGTCCGAGGGGTTTGTGTTTTTCATAATATGTAATGGAACTTAGAAACCCAAATTCGACTGACACAATAAGCGTCGCACGTCGGTGTGCTTCCTATAATAGACCAATGACAATCCTCGTGTAAGTGTGATTTTTTAATGAAGTCGAGTCGAGTTCGCTTGGAGACAGGGGCACGTATGTTTTTAGGTACATAGCTTGCGTGCGACAAACTTAGAACCGTATTATTATTTTCTATAGTATAATAATGGTTGTTCTGACGTTGTTTCAGAACGGCGTTACTGCCGATGACGGGTCGGTTGACAAAATGGATTTCGCCGAGAATTCCGATGCCGGATGTAGTAAACAACAACCGGTGGATAGTCCTGCAGAAAAGCCAGTCGCCGGGGTAAGACGAACGGCGCGGCGTTTTGATGTTATCGATGAAGAATCGGTTGTGATTATTATTTTTTTTTGTTTTTTCAGAGCTCGACCAGTGCAGCAGCAGGTCGGTCTTTCGAAGCACTGATGCAGCAACCGGAGTCACCGAAAAAAGAGCCTCTCAAGCATTTCGTCCGGAGACCTAACAAGTATCTAAACGCCAGGCACGAGAATAAGTGGCCGGTGCGCACGATGACGCTAGCAGACAGCCAAAAACTCTATCCGAACGTTCCTCACACGTGGCTGTGCGAAGGCAAAATGCTCAGACTACTCGACCCCGAGTGTTCTGACAACTACGGTATATTCCAGGTAAGCGACGACGTTCTAAGACTTGCCAAGACGGGGCTCGCTTGGTCTAACGTGATTTGTGGTTCGTTCGCAGGAACAATGGAAAAGGGGACAACCGGTGATGGTGAGCGACTTGGGAAGAAGACTGGACCCGACACTGTGGAGTCCCGAATCGTTTTCGCGGGACTTTGGCAGTACCAAAAACGATCTCATCGATTGCTCCACTGGCGACGTAGTAACCAAAAAAGGGATGAAAACTTTCTGGGACGGTTTCGAGGACTGTAGCAGACGGTTGGCGGACAGCTCCGGCAAAAAGATGTTGCTGAAACTCAAAGATTGGCCGGGCACGGCGGACTTTTCTGAAACGTTACCCACACGGTAAAAACGCATTGACGGGGCATGTCCCTTTCGCTGTAAACTTTTGATTAACCCCCGTTGTTGTTCGTCCGATATTTCAGGTTCAACAACTTGATGGAAGCACTGCCGCTGCAGGACTACTGTCACCGCGATGGTATACTAAATTTGGCGTCAAGGTTACCGGTGAGTTTCGTGCGACCCGATCTCGGTCCGAAAATGTACTCTGCTTACGGCGATGCCGGTAAACGTGTGAACGGCAAACGGTTGATGAGCGGCACCAATCTTCATTTGGACGTGTCCGATGCCGTCAACGTTATGACGTTTGTGGGCATCACTCGCGACAGCAACAACAAAGGCGACAAAATCCAAGAAGAGCACGATTGGCACGTCAAAGGTAGTAAAAAATATCCGAGTACCGTCACACTATCTCTCGCGTTCTTCTTGCACCAAAGTCAATCCACTTATCCCTCCCTACTTCCTTTCATTTGCTCAACGTCTCCCGCAAGTTACTCTTGCGTGGTTTCGCTGCACACAATTTCCGATTCCTCGCTTGTAGCGCTGTTCCAAATCAAATATTGTTGTCATGCAACGAGTTTGTCGTTTCTGTTGTAGAAGGGTACCGTGCGATCGACGAAGCCGATTGCGACATGGCCAGCAGGCGACGGGCCCGCGAACCGAGAGAAATGCCCGGGGCGGTGTGGCACATTTACCACGCTGACGACGCGGACGCCATACGTGACCTTTTGAACAAAGTGAGCGCCGAAAAAGGCAAACCGCCCGAACCCAACCACGATCCTATACACGACCAATCGTCGTATCTGGACGCCGATCTCAGGGCAAGGTTGTACAACGAGTACGGTGTCGAGGGTTACGCCGTGGTGCAGTGTCTTGGCGATGCCATATTTGTCCCGGCCGGGGCACCTCATCAGGTAAGAAACGACAGCGGCGTCTTGTCCGCTGTGTAATCTGCTGTGTTTAGAGTTACTCCTGCTTGTCGCCCCAATGTCTGCGGACCCGGCTATTTATACTACTACTTTAAACACTAATTATGCTAACGTTCGCGTTTGTTCGGTTTATGCGTGTAGGTGAGAAACTTGCATAATTGCATCAAAGTGGCCGAAGATTTCGTGTCGCCCGAACACGTGGTCGAGTGTGTCCGTTTGACAGACGAGTTTCGCGAACTGTCCAAGAGTCACACCAACCACGAGGACAAACTCCAGATCAAGAACATCATGTATCACTCCATCAAAGACGCGGTGGCGGTTCTGCTGCGCCAGCAAAAGACGGAAAATTAACGATATTAGGTTTTAATGTTATTATTATTACATTTATTATTATTAATACTATATAAAAAAATATTTTTAAAAAACTTTGTCACGCTTAACTTGACTTGTACTTATATTTGACCAGACAAACAAATACCAGACGTCCATCCCCTTCTCTTGTAGCTAAAAAAAAAAAAAAAAATCAATCCAACAAAATAGAATAATAGACTTTTTTTTTTTTTTGTTATTATTTTATTTAAATAATTATGTATTGTTTACGATTACTCTACGACGGTGCTTATTTGAGCATAAGGACTATAAAGTTAATTTTATTTTTTAATAAGACGGATGTATTTTTTTTCTCTTTGTTTAAGATTAATTTTTTTCATTGTGATATCGTGTAACCTGGTTTACACATCTAGACTTTTAAGTTTATTTTATTTTTTTTTTAACCGCCGTGTTTAAAAAAAACCAATGTAAATTATTTAACAATTATTATTTCATTGTTGTTACTTTTTATATAGTATCCATTGAACATTCTATAAATATTTATTAATATTATATAGATTCATGTAAATAAATATTATAGCATATAATAATAACAATGATACAGTACAATTTACAACGAATGTCGATTTTATTATATTATACATACGTATTATATTTTTTTTACGTTATGATTTTATTTTATTTTACACTAAAATGCGCGGCCATTTTTTTCTTCGTTTACATAGAACGACAGTTACCAATCAGTTTTATGATTCCCCCTCTCCCCTCCCCCCCCCTTTACTGGTATTGTTGTGACAAATTTGTAAAATTTAAAAAAGTAGATATATATTATATACAAATATATAGGTTTAGTTTATTAACTATTAGGATAAGTATAGTATAGTTTCCGGGCAATATACTTGGAATTCCACATGGCCGTTTAATCTTTAAACGGTTCAAAACAGTACCCGTTTTATTATTAATTATTGTTAAATTGAACATCATTTTTTCCTCATACATTTTGTCATTAAATTCAATCTCGTGTTCAGTAGCAAAAAATGATAAACAAATGAGTATTTTCCTTAAATTAATGATATTATTATTATTACTATTAACACGATGTTTAAAATAATATAATAATTGTGTATAATAATTAATTATCTCTACAAAAACGATAATGCTGTACCTACGACGTAAATGGTTTGGTTATTACCACAACATTTTGTTGCTCGATACATTTTTTCCCTTAGATTCTATTATTGGTTGTGTTCATTGTTTACAAGTTGTTAAAAACTCATAATATGTGATGCGGAAAGCCAAAAGAAGGGTTCGGTTGTCGGCAAAATTTCAAAAAATTATGTATGTCAATGTTATTTTCTAAATTTTCTTGATTGAGTTTTCAACAATTCGTGAGACCGGGTACACATTTTTGGCTAAAAAAAACTTAACTAAGGTTATTACACGTAGAAGTTTGCCATAAAAACTTCTTGTCGACAAGAGTTGTCGCTTTTTGCTTGCCGCATCATATAATATTAAGAACGTTGGTTGTTCGTGATATTATAATAATAGTAAAAAAAAACAATTGGCAAAGTGTGAACAAAACCGTTAAGATTTTGAGATTGATATACTTACAGGGTATAATGTCGTTATTTATTTACCACCGTGAGAACTTAGGTTACGACAGATAAGGAACCCGCGAGAACCGTTGTAAGGGAAACATAATATTATGGAAGCTTGCTTTTGTTTTTTTTTTTTTATCTTCGATTCGATTTAACTAATTCATAATAATTGTAGTTCGATTTGTGTCCATATATATATATGGACTACGGTCACTAATTTGTATCTCTTGTTTGTTTTTTTTTTTTTTAACGTCCACCGCTGATTGCCCTGTGATTACAATTTTAAAAATACATTATTATATTATATTACTATAATAATTATTAACGATAATTTTTACTTGTAAGTATTTTTAATTATAAATGTATAACGACCATATTTACCATCCACTCGTCGAATAATATTGTATAACATAGGTAGTAGGTTTATAATAATAATATATATACATATATACCTATATATATCTAGTTTTTTCTGTAATTTTTATTATTTCTTATCGAGATTAAGATTGATGTGATGTGGATTTGAGAATATAATAACATAATATACTATTGTTATTATGTTTACCAATGTTCTCGGATCAGTATTTAGGTGTACATGTTTTGGAGTGATAATAATATTAATTAGTCTTTGTTTTATTAAACATTTTTTGCCCACACTCGCTCTGTGTGTCGACGACCATTTATATTTTGTAAAGTGTACTTTAAAATAATTTCCGGGATCTTATGAATTTTATCAAAAACTATAGTAGTGCTGGTTATTTATGTATTATTAAGAAGTACTTACCTGTATTGAAAAAAATACTACAGTAAATTGTTGACGCGAGTCAAACTATCGATACGGCTTGTTGTCACCATTGCGTTTTCGTACAACACAATATTATGCATCCCATAATAACGATATAATCGTATATATATATATATATTTAAATTAAAGATAATCCTATTGTATACACTTATAACAATATATATTGTATAATATTTAAACGAAAAAATGTACACTATTGTACGTTTTTGGTGTGCTTTCTGGACAATACTTTCCAGCTTTCAATGTCGTTTGGTAAATAATTGTCAAAAGAGAAAAATCAAATAAACTGTTTTATTTGCCAAAAAATGTTTAAAAGAAGTTTTATTTATTCATTTATTTTTACCTGAATGATTATTAAACAACTTTTGTGTATAGGTATTTTTTTTTTTTTTTTACTTGGACTCTGCGACAAAGATTTGCCGTTTCCCAGCTATGTTGTAACAATGATCTTCCTCTGTTGTTTTTATCGGAACTGTAAAATTATTTATAATGTTATTTTGGCACAAAAAGTGACAAACTGTACTAACAAACTGTGTTACCGTAACCATTAATAATGTTGAACAAACAACGTAAATGCTGTTTGCTAACCAAAATTACCGTATTACATTTTAGTGTTATTATTTATTTTTCTCAATGACATCATTTTTATTCTTGTTATAATAATATAGTCTAATAACATTCTAACTAAGATTAATAGTTATTACTATTATTTTCATATATATTTGATGGCCTCACTGAAGTCGGGTGAATTTTTATAAATAATCAAATACTAGGTTTTCTCATTTAGTATTAATTTTAAAAATTGGCCTTACACAGAATCACCATGGTCATTGCCCAATATCGTACTTGAGCTATAAACGTTCTTATAGATATTAACATATTCACCAGAGATAACGCACGATGCACTCCGGAGTGTTATTGACTTAGTAAATCCAATTAAATCCATTTCATTTTATGGTGTTCGTCGGTCGTTACTTAATTAAGTCTAAGCATTTATTTTATTATAATATTATATAACACGCCACGTGATTTATTTAAGGGCCAACTCATTCTACTTCAAACGTACTGTTCCTAAGAATTGTCCGGTTTAAGTTTTGAAAACATTTTTGAATTCTTCATAACATTTTTAATCGTGGCATAATTTAAAATTGTGTTTTGTTAATTAATTATTTCAGTTCAAAATTGCAGTTTTTCACATTGAAATGATTAATTAACTAAAAATTATTTTTAAAACTATGCCTCGATCGATGCCTTGAAAATGTTATGAAGAATTCGAATGTTTTTTCTTAAATCTGAGTATTTTTAAGTAAGTTCTGTTCGAAGTATAAACATATGTTTTTTTTAGAAAAACAAATCCTATATTGTTATAAAAATTGAAAAAAAAAATAAATATCAACATAGATTCAATATTTCCTATGATAATATGTACGTTTAAAAATTATTTAGCTTAATGTTATTTTAGTGAACAATTGTCTATAACAATGCACCTTAAGAAATACTACTGTAGAGGCAACTTAATGCCCTACACACACTAGTTAACTCTTAAAATAATATTGTAATTTTGTAGTGTTTCTTTTTTTTAAAACAGTTTTATTTATGTATTTATTTTAGTTTATAATTAGAGCTTTATCAGATTTTGAAACTTAAATGGTAATGCATGTATTCAACTAACTTTTTAAATAGAAAATGGTTTACTTTGAAATATTTGGCTGGTCGATAACCAGTTTAAAATTTAGAACGGGAGGTGGAGTGCGACTAAAAAATGCGCGCAAATGAAAATAACTCTAAATTTTAAACTTAAATACCTTTTAACTATTTATTCAAAACTGTTTATCGACCAGTAAAAAATGTCAGCAAATTATTGTTTATTTAAAAAGTTAATAAAATATATACGTTATACCATTTAAGTTTCAAGTTGATAAAGCTCTAGAAAATACTAAAATAGATACATCAACAACATTTTTTTAAAAAAGAAAAACTACAAAATAGCAGTTATTTTAAGAGAAAACTGTTGTATGGCGTTGAAAAAATCACCCGGTATAATATAATAATATAAAATCAATGGTCTAAGTACTAATAACTAATTTAGCATCTGATTCGCATCGAAGACATTTGTTTTCTTTGAAAGAATCATCTAATTGGTCCGACCATTCTCGGGAAAATGCAACGGCAACCTGTAAACGGACATAATGTGTTAAAAGGCACAGGCTGGGTGTTATGTAATGTTATTAATATTATGTTTTTTTTGCCAACACAATTGCTGTCATAGAATAAATTGCTGTAACCCAAAATTGTCACGACCTACCTTTGTACTTACCTGCTAAAATTCCGTCAAATAAAAATTAAAGGTAGTTAGGTCCAGGCCTATACCCTCTGGACACTTGTCTACATTTGGCAATTGCACTGTCCGGTTGCAAATGCAATTTGAACCGTAGTCTGAAAATCTAGAACAACCGATAACTTCTGAGAAAACTATAGGTAGCTACATATTATAATATAAGTACCCACTCGGTGGACTAAAGTCAAAATTATACTCAAATAGGGTGTGGTCTTTTTTTCAAATCATTCTCTTGGATGTGTTTAATCTGCTTTTTCACGTTTACCACTTGTCTACCGCCTACTCTAGTGATATTTTACACCAGACGTTGGTGCAATCCTATCGAGTGGACCCAAAGTAGTCTTTGATTATCTAAGACGGCCGCCGACGGGTTTATCGACTATCATGTGATCGCGCTATGGAGTGTCTTGAACGAAGTAGCTCGGCAGATCACTCGAGTGTATAAGTTGTACTTGTACTTATTTATATCTCCGAGATAACAGGTTGTTCGAGAAACAATATAAATACACACAACCCGTTTGGGTGCAAGTCATTTTACATTTTTGGCGATTCCTGTCGACTGCCATATGCACTGCTCCCAGATTCACTTACTGCAAAACCCATTCGATTGTAAGTACACGTTATTATTATTATTTTAAGACTACCTACTTCACACAACTTGGGTATTAAAAACAGTTGTTAAACAATCGAGTCAATTTTTTTCGAAAATTTTCATTTAAATCCCTATAATTGTTACACGCTTTATTTTGTTTTTTCCATCAAACCGATAAATTGCTTAGATTTTATTTTGTGCAGTATAATATGCACTTGTCTCAACACTCTAATCGGTTTTAACGAAAAAGTAGGCACGCCCATAATAGACAATCGAAGGTCAAGACATCATATACCTAGTGTATGATATTATACATAGTGTATCTACATTTTGCCATAGGCAATTTTTTATAAAACAATCCGAGTTATAGGGAAGTCGTCGAGCCAGAATGACCTAGACAATGTCTTAAATATTGATGTTTAATTTTGTATAGATGTTAGGTGTACTCGGATGTAGGCATGTATCAAGTATGGTGATCAATACATGTTTGATAAATAACAATGTATTATGTATCAATTGGTATCGATAGGGGTATCAGTTTATCAATCAAACAAGTCTATACATTGATTTATAAATCATTACAAAGTCTGCTTTAACGCGAATAATAACATTTGACATTTCCACACAAATTTGACAACTAAATGACTAGTGAGAGTTTTTAATTAAACAATTTTTACATATATGTAAAGTTACCAAAAAGGTGGTGGATTTTCAAAAACATTTTTTTTTCCAATCATCAAGACGTCTTTTAGTTAACAACCCTTTAAAAATGTATTTACAGTATCAATGTACAGACAAATTTTATATATAGATGCTTGTATTAAGTATCTGTATCAAAAGATAGAAAATCTAGATGCATTTTTTATGCAAAAGTTGAACTGTCCTTTAGAAAAGTGTATTTCCTGAGACATAATTTACACCCCCCCTCCCAAAAAAAAAAAAACAAAAATTCCACAAATGTATAAGTTGTAACAAATTTTAAAGTTAATATTACTATTAATCCATAGTAATTCTTATTGCCATTTATTGTTGTTTATGGTTTTTTGTTTTATTGTAATTTGTATGAACGTTATGGATTAAGGTTTTTCAAGCTGAGTTCTAATATAGCTGTATATTATTATTATTATGTGTATTTGATAAAACTGTCATAAATATTTGTCAACTGTTATCGAATCGGTTGCCTAAGTCTCGCAGTACTCGATAGTAGTACTTAGGTTGTACACAGAAACTTTGTCACTGTTCACGTGCTAGATATGCCCATTTATGTGTTCGGTGTCGATGTTGTAGTCAAGAATAATATCTAAATATGTTGTAGTGAATAATATTATCGGGACACTGTTTTGAAAGAGAGAGGCGAAAAAAAATATTTGATTTTTTTTTATCGTTTAAAAATCAACAACTTTGACGGTAAACAAGTTAAACGTTATTTGAACAAGCAACGGAAAATTAAACAATAAGACTTGCAATAACAATATTATCGCATAGTTGCTCGACTATATTTAATGGTTTATTACCTGTACACACTTTACATCCAATGGAAAACTAGTTAGGCCTACTATTTTATAATACTATTAAATCTTACAATTATACTTTCCCCAACTATTGTCATGTAAATTTCAGTTTTGAGTTTTATAAACTTACTAAAATGTTTCAGTAAAGAAGAAAACTAAATATAAAATTTTATTATTTTACTTTATTTATTTTTTAAGTTTATTATGCTTAACATTTTTTTTTATAACTATCGAAATATTTAAAAGTTTATGTATTTATTTATAATCGCATATCTCAATAATGAATTTCAATCACAATATTTTTAAAAGAAACATTTTTATTTTGTCTATGCACTGTTGTTTGTCCTAAAGGTTTTTATTATATTAAGAATGAGTAATTATATCTTCATTGAAGAATAAGAACATATTATTAGCAAACTCTAATACCAAATAAAATGTTTAAAAAAAGTGTGTACTTTGTAAACAGTAATTAAAAAAAAAAGTTAAATTGTTACTATGTTAAATTTAGTCAAATTATTTCATAAAACTAAAGAAAGTTTTAGTTGTATGAACGTATTAGTTTTTAGAAATGATTTCCTATTATCTAGTTTATGTAAAAACAAAAATATTTTTATTATTTTTGATAGTTTTATTTACCTCATTTTGAAAAGTTTAGTTCATTAATTTTTGAAATTTAAAAAAATTAAATCAAAACATCTGTTTACACTTTAGAATTCCTCTTCGAGAGATTGAAAGGGGTCTGGTTTTCGTTTTTACTTTTTAGACTAAAAAGCCTGAAAAAATGTCAACTACTCAGGATGATCCGATTTCAATTCTGTAAAGGGATACGAGTTGTTTGATAACTTTACTAAGTTATGTCGGAAACTGATTTTTTTTATTAATCGACATGAACGAAATTTATTAAAAACCTAATTTTTCCTATTATAATGCCTATATAAAACTGCTTAAAAACCGCTCGCTTTCAATCCCCTTAAATATATTTATTTAAATATAAAAAATACATACAACGTTGACGGCATTGATTGAAATAATATTATAATAAATTGAATTATTTAGTGTCCCTGCCCAAGTAGACGCGTAGGTATACTAATTAATTAGTAATCATTATAATTGATTAGAACTATCAGTTTGTCGATAATGAAATAACAAGCAACCAGGTATTACTTACAATGTAATGAAAACTGTGCTTCTCCAAACACGAGCTATTTCATTGTAAATCATTTTTATATTATATTATGTTAGTGTAGCTATAATCAAAGGTCATCTTTTGACCAGCACCATAGTAGACCGGTTGAGCAAAAGTGTTATAATATTAGTATATCATACTAGGTACTACCTGTCGGTCATTCATTCATTGCTATACTTTGAGTGTGTGTAGTTCTGGCCAACTGAGTGTCTGGCAATCCGCTTAATAGGATAAAACAATATTGTAATAGTTTCATCATCATCGTCGTTATGCTTCTGCAGACAAACCTGTAACATAATATATTATATATATATATACACATTCTGCCCATTCGCACATGCAGTATAAATACACGTAAGTACGTGTCGACTATTTTAAAATACCTTATTAATTATACAATATTACATTATATATAGTTATTTCCACCCCCCAAAGCGTATTGACCCGTTTTAAATGCTGTAAAATATTATGCTAAAATCCACCGAAAAAAAAGAAAACCTTAAAATATTCACTTGACGTTCCATTCAAACCCGGTAAAATATGTTCAAAACAAAAATGCCCAAACCCGTAAAAAATAATTCCTAATTTTCAAAATATGCGCAATTATATTTTCTTAACAAATTCTCGGGTCAATAAATTGTCCACATATTATATGCATGTATAGAGCTGCATTAGGCCAATAAATAAATGTAAAAACCTAAAAATCCTCTAGTTATTTAATACTACAAACGAGAGTGTGTATATGTATAGACTTAATTTAAATACAACAAATAGCTGAATTATAATTATTATTCACTGAACATTAGGAACTAGATATGTAAGTAATCTGGCTAACCCGTTTTAATGTAAAAAATGTAATGTTACGTAATATGATTACTTACAATTAGTGACGATATAACAACTTAGGATTTTCAGTTAATCATGTCGACCGACCGTACTAATCATTGAATTTTGTTAGTGCAAGTAATTTTGGTAATTACTGCTGAATGCATCTAATACTAACCAGCTGATATCATGTGTATCGGTTTGATTATTGTCATTAGCCATTTAAATATGTGTATTATTTTGTAGTGAAACCGTATAGAAACATCTTAAAACATGACAGGGTATAAGCGTACGCAGGAATTTCGAGTCTGGTGTTATACATAAGCTTTTTGTCCTTCTTTTGCGTGTGCCGCTAAAAAATATTTTTTTTCAAATTTAAGATATTTGTTTACAGAGTAATTTGTTTTATCGAAAATCTGATTAAACCCATCTATTCAAAATGGGTTTGTTGGTATTTAATTGAATTCATATTCTACAAAAATATAGTACTAATAAATAGTACCTAATAAAATTATTTTGATCGTTTTAATCCAAATCTGGAGTAGGTTTTTTTGACAACCTCTTTTAAAATTGTTAAAAAACACACTTTCAAGCATTTTCCGACTTATTCAAATAGAATTTGTAGTATATTTGTTTTAAGTAAATAACTTAAAACCAATTCTATAACTGATTATATATAATATAAATGTACAGTGTGCACATATATTTTTAGATTTATATCTAAGATTTTCACTCAAAATCACTATGGTTTTTTTTGTTTTTTTTAACGTGATAGGAAATTTTTAAATTCTGATTTCAAATATAAATGGCCATACACATATAGCGCTAAAATTAAGAGAGAAATCATACTACATTTATGTAGTATCCTTAAAAAAAATTCTGAAAGCGAACATAATATTATGTTTACAATTTATTTCTTCAATTTTTAATACTATGAGTTATGACATATTGTACATTGTACAGACTCTTAAAGTCTATAAAAATAAATTTATATAAAAGTTTAAATGTTCATTTACGTTAAAAAAAACTAAAACTCACATACTGATTCCGAGATGAGTTCTAACTTTTAAGTATCTATAATTGGAATAATTTTGAAGAAGAATACAAAACGTGTTGAAAATATAATAAATCAGTGTTTTTTTACAACTTTATTAAAGAACTAATTTAACCTAACATGGAAACAACTTCCAGTCTTTGTACACAACGTACAAAGACTAGACAATTAGAAAATAGCACTTATAAATTAGGTACATTTTGTTTCTTGTTCAGCCGTTTTTGTCTATTAGTGTAATACGTCAGTTTATTTCGTTGGCTTTTTCATTTTTGGTTGATTGGGTTCATCCGTTTAATCAAATATCTAAGCCCGAGGAGTTATCGTTTAGAACGTTCGAGTTTAATGGTAAAATAACTGCGACGGTAACGGTTTAAAAATCATTAATTACTGTAAAGATAATTTGAAAATGATCTCTATTCGTGTACACAAATAATACTTAATGAGTGAAAACAAAATAAGTATCATAAATCCTACAACAGGACTAACATATTAAAATGTTATACTGTTCCAATCTATATGTATATATCGACGTTATCTCGACAATTCAATTTTACTCGTTGCACGAAAGGCAAATAATACATATATTATTATACCCTATAGTTTGTTAAGTATTTCACTTGTACATCGAACCCAGATAAATGCTAGCAGACTTGTGCAACGACAAGATATAGTGCATATTATCATCCGTCACGACACACCGTCTCATTCAGTGCGTCTCGTCCGGACTGTCAACACTATTGCCTTCTCCAATAAAATGTAAGTCAAATGTAATAATAGCTTTTTTTTCGCCTTATTGGTAGGAATTGATCAAACAGAAATGAATATAGCATAGAATATTGTCGTTTATTTGTCTAGCACAAATTTTGCATCGGTGTAAAGTGGAGTGACTGCAACTTCTTAATACAAGTGCAATCCCGATTGTTTTTTTTTTAAGTAATAACTGAAAATAATGAAATGTTACTAAACCATTTTAACCGTCTGATGTTAAAGCGTTATCGAGTTCAATCATTTTCGAAAAATACAATAATTATTTTTAAAAAGTTTATGTCTTTTTAAAAATAATTTTTATGTTTTATACTTTTATGTTTAAAAAAAAAATGCCATATCTGAGTTTATCGGTGTCTTTCAATTGTATGCACCCTATTTTATTGCATTTCTATGGAACTTACTGTTATTCAATTTAGATTAAACCGACTTTTTGGTTAAATGAGTTCGTAACATTATATCTCTAACTTCTTTAAAGATAAGTATACTATATTTATCGACTATTTATAATTAGCCCAAAGTAAGCCTTTTCTTTTACTTAAAATCCACCGAGGCTATAAGACATTTGTAGGGTCTGAGCTTCTCAATGCCCGAAGAAAAGGCTATTAAGTCAAAAAGTCTACTCATTGTATTTTTGTACATCTTACTTTTAAGCTTTTAGTATCTCTCTTTTAATGTGTTATGTAATATGTGTACAAATAACAAATAGGTATGACTATTTGCTGTTTACATTTTAGTTAATTACTTTGGTAAAACAAAAATAATTTTGACAAAATATATGTATCAATAAAAATATGACACTTCTTTTAACACTTGTCTAGTTCTATTATATTTATTATGCTCAACGTTATTTTTGTTTTTTTAATTCGAAGTAGATCTGACAGGCAATTTTATTGCTCGTTTAATTGCGTCAGTTATTATTGAAAAATATAGTATTCTATTATTATATATTATAATGAAATGCACGCAATTATAAATATAATATCAATCAATTTAAACAAAATAATAAATTTAATATAAGAAATTGTATTTGGTTATCAGCAAAATTATAAACATGTAATAATTATTTATTGTAGCTTTACAATTTAAGTATGCTGTTTTTCAGCACTATATTCCATGTAGATAAAAGAGCCATAAGCGCGGTTATGGGACCGAAGGGGTTTAAGTACAAACCATTTATTAAAATATTATTTTGAGTTTGTAATTATTTTTATAGTAATTGCTTCATATTATGATACATTTTGGAATAATCTCTGAATATGTTATGAGCGCCGTATAATATTATTACTATTATATTAGTTATTTGATTGTCAAGCAAAACAGTGCAAATTATAAATTGGTACACGATATGCATAAATATAATTCGACGTTCTATTACACCTTTTTTTTTACTGATCACAATTCTTAAAAAAATAAATTTAAATTGAAAGAATTTTAATAAACCTATGACGTTAAGTGAACATTTTTTAAACATACTTAACAAACAGCCATCAGTCCACTTTTTAAAACTTCGGTCCAAATACTAGCCTTACAAAAAAAAATTAAAAAATGATGTCAATCCCAACAGAGTAAGGGTTAATGATTTTTATTTGGGTTTTCATGTTATATCTCGAATGCTATAGCCTATATCTATGCTTCTAAATAAATTAAAAATTGTCGATTGTTTTATTAAAATAAATATCCGAACCCGGTCGGTTTACTTCACTTAGTTACTAAGTGTTAGTTCCCCCTACTCCTTATTTACTAATTCATAAGACTATAAAATACACAAGGTTTTTGAAAAACAGCAAACATTTTTTTTTAAATTTATGCGCACTACTCCACAGATTTCCTTTTTCTTATAGTGGTTTAAATGCTTATACCTCATTGTCAGTCAGTATAAAACATTAATTTTGTAAATTGTCTTTTTCTTTTAGTTTAAAAAATACAAAGTTATCACGTTTATTTGTTTTCTATTTTTAAAAAAAAATATACTCTAATAATCCTTTTAACTATAGATTATATTATGAAATAATAGTTTTGAAAAAAATAGTTTAAAAATTTCATGCCCCCCCCCCTCACATTATATACTACAGTAAGTAAACAATTTTTGGGTATCTCTATTTATAAGTGAACTAAAATATATATTTAAATCGCTGTGTATTCAAATTTATAGTTGATTATAATTTTTAACTGTGTTTTTTATATATTTTTGTACGTTTAAAACTAAAAAAAAAAAATAGAGATAAGAAATAGGCCTGCAAGTAATATGTTGTGTAGTAATTATCAATATCAAAGTTTAATCGATATTTTGAATAGTAGGCAAATGAAATAAATTAACGTTTATTCCGTCTGGACTAGATTGAATTACAACAATAATTTGCTACAATTATACTGTATAATAGTATAGTATAATATTTTAACTGTTTTTCGGTTATTTAAATAGATTATTCTTAATTTTCATAACCTGTAGTGATTAATAAGAGCACAACTATAAACTACCAGATTAATAGTAGTAATAATTGTTTTCGAATTGTTCACAGCATTAATACAAATATAAATTTAAAAAACGATAGGGATATATCTGAAATAGAAAATAGTATTTAAAAATCTGACTAATAAACTTGTGCTGTGCTCAAATCGTATGACCGTCAAGACCCGTTGAATAAATAATTGTATAATGCAATGTCTGAGATTCGATAAACGAAATAATGATGACGGTAATAATTATTGTGTGTATTCTTTATCTGTGTTTAGTGTTGAATTGACGTAACAATATAAGCCCGTTCGAATGCAAAGACACGGAAAGTGTTTTTGTTAAGTATTGGATATTATTCATCAAAACGGTCATTAATCTTTTATGGGAACACTTCAATATCTTAATAATTATCCTTTAGTCGATAACCGTCCGGGTAGACCATTATTGTGTGGCCGAAATGCTCGTATCAGCTAATTAAGCTATTTTATTATAAATCGTTAAAAAAAGGTATACAATAATAATACTTGCCATCCATTAACGATACTATCAGGGGCGGTTAGACATGATCTGACCGGCCCGGGAAAAATAGAAACTAAGCGATTTTGCATAATTGCATTTAAAATCAGGAAGTAAAAACCGGTAAAGAAAATTCCGAAATTTCATTCTTGTAAAGAAACGTTTTTTTCAAACCGCTTTTACCCCCTGCTTAAAATAGTCAAAATAAACACAAAATTTATAAGTAAAATTATTTTTTGAAAGTATTCAATTTGGAATTTACAATTTTATAAAAGATAAAAATATAAAATGCATTTTACCTATAATATCATATCATAGATATTATTATGTGACACGTGTGTAATATACAAAAATACTAGATTGTGTCCGGTTGTATTGTAATGCATAAAAATTATAATCCCATACATCTGTTTTTATGCATATTATTGTTGAATATCTCGAATTTGTCGATTGTAATTGCTTTTGTTTTCGTTTGGCATATTTGTTACAATATTATAATTTATTGATCAAATATTATACATCAATATTTAGTATATAATATAAGAGTGAAAGCGAGTGGAAATAGTATTTGAATAAATCACACAACACGAATAAATTAAACGATTAAACACACTACTATTGTCAAACACATATAGTAATCACAAAAATAGATTATATTAAGACATAGAATATAATAAACAGTGTAACAATAATATACATATGCTATACATAACATTTACAGATAAAATAAGCCCCGACCCTTAAACCAAATGCTATTTAAGTAAAAAATACAAGGTTAATACACGCGCACACGACTGCACCAGCGTTTACAAAAATAATCTTGTTTTTCAATAACATTTTCCTGTTTACTAACTAAGGATTTTTATTTTAAAGATAAACGACATATTTATATTATCACGGTCTACCGGCTTTGTTTCAGTTATGTACTTTGACTTAGCAGAAAAATGTCTGTTTTACAAAATCGTGGTTCTAACCTACTCAAGCACGCAAGATTATTCAATAATGTCAGTGTCGCACGGTTGATGTCCGGCAAAGCGAAAACTTCGGCCGAAGTGATCCTACGGGAAAAGAAAGTGTCGGCGTTTAACTACGACCCTCTGTCTGTTGTCATATCGCGAGGAGAAGGTAAACTTAGTAGAACTTGGGTAAATACCCAAAACTTTTTAAAAGTTCAAAATATATACACATTAATGACTTAGAATAGAGAGAAAAAAAAATAAAATTTGTTGTGTTTTTTACATGGCACAAGGTGATATTGGGATTTATAGGCTCATGATATAGATATTCGTAGCTTAAAGGCGCTAGGAAGTATAGTCGACGAGCAATTTCGATACTGCAATTTAAATTGATTATTTTACACTTGTAGCGTTTTGAGTGAGATAAATAGTTATATGTGCTCCAATATGTGAATCGTATGAGTAGTGAGGTCAGTCCAAAAGCGAATTCATCAAAGGCAGTCTAAACTTGTTAATTGGCGTATAACAGATCAGGCAAAACTATCAATGGTTTTCAACGGGTATTTTCAGTGAAATTTAAAACAGAAATTACATAACTGAAAAACTCAAGTTGTGAGGAAGGTTCTAGAAAAAAACTCGTTCGCTTACAAAAAAAAATAGTAACTAACGATCTGGTTTGTAGGTAGTTCCTTTTTGTCCTCTTTTTGTTTCTAATAATAATTGTTCGAGGGCGTGAGTGCGTTCAATGAATGAATGAGTTATAAGCTTGATGTATTGTGTTCGTTAATCGTAATAAACATTTACTATGGTCCAGGTATTTACATGTGGGACGTTGAGGGCAAGAAATATTTTGATTTCTTGGGTGGTTTTGCCACGCTGAACCAGGGGCATTGTCATCCGAAAATCCTCAAAGCCATGACAGATCAGCTGGCCACGCTCCATCATACTTCTAGGGCCATCCATCACGATTGCCTGTACGAGCTCAACGAGTTCCTGACCAAAACGTTCGGTTACGATAAGGTGCTCAACATGAACACAGGTATGGCGAAATCATTTTTTGAACCGGCTAGGTTAGGTTAGCGTTGGCTTTACTTGAAAAGGAGATTCATTTCTTTTCCGAATCCTATTCGAATCTTTGGCATGTCACGCCGCGTAATAGAATAACGTCAGTTTGTCGTTAATATTTCTACATGGGTTTGTCGGTGTTGTAGGCGTCGAGGGAGGAGAGACGTCCATCAAGATAGCCAGAAAATGGGGATACAGAGTGAAGAAAATCCCAGAGAATCAAGCGCAAGTTGTGTTCGCCCACGGTAACTTCTGGGGCAGGACAATTGCTGCCATATCCGCGTCGACGGATCCCAACAGTTTCAACGAGTTCGGACCTCACGTGCCCGGCTACCAGATCGTGCCCTACGACGATTTGGGCAAATTAGAGGTACCCGACCTAATCTATCTAGGCCGAACCATAGCACAGTGGGCAGAAACCTTATTAAAAGTGGCCAAAATCATTATTTATCAAAATATTTGTTTATCGTATATTTTATAGGACGCAGCCAAAAATACTAAAAATATATACTCTCACTCATGGTTAGCTAAAATTAACTTAATTAAACTCGACTAAAATTATGATTAAAAACATATTCGTTGAGAAATTACACTTTTGGCCATTTTTAAGGTGGTTTTCGTCGACTGCGCACATGTCTAAAAAAAAAAACACACATATTTTGTTGATTGACTATTGCGGTTTTGCTTTCAGCAATTGCTGAGAAATCCAAACGTGTGCGCTTTCATGGTGGAACCCGTACAAGGAGAAGCCGGCGCTGTGGTGCCTAGTCCCGGATATCTTAAGGGAGTGCGAGAACTATGTGATAAATACAACGTGCTGTGGATCGACGACGAGGTGCAAGCTGGACTTGGCCGGACCGGAAAGCTCTTGGCCGTCGACTACGACGGTGTCAGGCCGGACGTGCTGATCCTCGGCAAAGCTCTGTCCGGTGGAGTGTACCCTGTAAGTCAGACATTTTTCAAATCTCTGACCAAATCTTGAGTCCCCGTAGAATAGTAACACCGACGTTTTTTGCTCAAGATTTCCGCAGTGTTGGCCAACGACGATATCATGGGAGTGTTGACGCCCGGCACTCACGGGTCAACGTACGGCGGTAACCCGTTGGCGTGCAAAATCGCATTGGCTGCTCTGGACGTGATCCTCAACGACGGACTGATCGACAACGCGTTCAAAATGGGCGAGCTATTCAGGTCCGAACTGACAGCGCGCTTGGACAAAAAGAAGTTGGTCCAAGTCAGAGGCAGAGGTCTGCTGAACGCCGTCGTACTCGACCCCAGTAAGATCATACCTAATTATTATAACTGTTATGGGTCAACACGGAAGACGTGGTTTTGTTTAACATGGATACGTTTTTGGGCTTGGGGGCCGTTCCATAATTAGCGTCACGTCACGTCACGGAATATGTGACACTATAGACGAGCAAAGGATTATGCCCGAAAACATATCCATGATGCAATGGTTTTCCAAGAGATGGGAGATAAGATTCTTTATTTTTTTTTGGGGGGTACTCATGTTATATTTCGATATTATATTGGCGTTGTTGTTGTGTTTTTGGCTCGTGTAGAATATAGCGCAGACTCCAGCGTCGTGAGTTTGGCTATAAAAGAAAATGGACTCGTCACCAAACCCATCGGGACGAACATGTTGAGATTTTCGCCGCCACTGACCATCACGGAAAGCGAATTGCGCCAAGGTATCGACATCATAGTGAACACTATTAACGGACTATCGAGCGAATGAGCGCGTTAATGATTTTTTTACTCTGTTGTGTAAACGTTATTAATTAATAATATATGCAATATTATTATGATCTAACGGATCTATATAATATTACGCTATATATTTCGTCACATCTGATTATTATTATTGTTATTATTAATATAAAATTGGCAATCAATTGTATGTAAATGAAAAATGAACGTGATGATGTTGGGGTTTCCACCCCAAACAGCCATCTGTAACATTATTTGGTGTTAAATATAAAATATATATCATGAGTTGAACAGAAAATGTATATTTTTTATAACCTACACATGAATCGTGCTAGCTATGTATTAATAACATATGATGTAGGTATTTGGTTAAATTAAAATGTTCTCAAACACCAGTCTATTAGAGCAATGTTTCCAACACACTGGATAAAGGTCAATTACATTAAGGTGAACCTAAATTATCATTAGAAGTAAGTTAGAACAACAAAGAATAATTAGAGACGTTGATTGTGACTTTTGTACACACATTATGACGGTTTATAATTGTTAAATATTATAAAAATGGTTTAATTTTTTATTGAAGGGTTATAAGTATAAAAATATACTATAGACAAATATTTTTTCATAAAAATTTCAATAATTTATTATAAAATTCTATATTTCATAAAATTTCTATATTTAATTATGAAAATTCTATATTTTTTAAAAAAATGACTATTTCTTATAAAATGTCTAAATTTCAAAAAAATTCTATATTTTATAAAATTTCAATAATTCATTATAAAGTTTGTATATATATAAAATTTCTATATATAATAAAAAAATGTTTGTGTTTTTATTGTTTTTCTTGATACGGCTCTTGCTTTTTTGAGTTCAATGTACCTGATTTTTTGAATCTGTTAAGGGCTTTTTTGTACTTTTTAACTGCTTCGCTACAAGCATTAGACCACCAGGGAACCGAGGTTTTGTTGAGATGAGTTGTTGATTTTCCTATTGATAAGTTAGCACCGTCAATTATTATGGATGTAAATTGTTCGACTATTATCTCCAAGTTGGAGTGATGTGTGATCTCGTTTAGTGATTGGGTGTCAGTTATGTTTTTTTCTATTATTTCGGAGAACAATGACCAATTTGGATTTTTAAGATTCCATTTATATGTTGGGTACACAATGTTTTGGTTGTTTCTTTGAATTATTGATATGGCTATTGGCCAATGGTCGCTGCTGCAGTATTCGTTTTTAACCTTCCATGAGAGATATGGAGTTAAAGATGGTGATGCAAGGGACAAGTCAATAGCAGAAAAGTTGGCGTTGGTTACATTATGTCTAGTGTATGAACCGTCATTAAGCAGTATAATATTTTCCTTTTCCAAGAGATTTTCTATGATTATTCCTCTACTATCTGTGTGGTTGCAACCCCAGTTAATGTTTCTACTGTTAAAGTCCCCGACTATTATAAATGGCCTTGGAAGCTGGTTTAAGATGTCGACTATCTGTTGATAAGTAAAGTTTACGCTGTCCGGAATATATATGTTGCATATTGTGATTTCATGATCGAAGGTCAGTTTTGTGGCTATTACTTCGAGTTCCGAGATAATGGTAATTTGGTTAGTTTTAACAGGGCCGGATTTGACGGAGGGTTTTAAGGGCACTTGTCCCAGGCAGCAGATGTTTGGGGGCATCCGGATGCCGAATACTGTAAAAAAAAATTGTTTAACTTTTTAACCCTCAGCTTAAGAAATGTATGAAAAAATACATCACTAAAAAATAAATATTGTTTTGTATTTATAAAATTTGGGCTGCAAAATTAATACCGATATACGTCACATGATAACAGAACATAGCATACAGCAAACGCAAAATAATATTTTTGTAAATAGGTATAAACGTTCGAGTGATTATGTGATTTATTATTAAACAGCGTGGTGGTAGTGCCCGGAAAACCCGGGTTTGATAAGACGTGACTTTGACTTCTACGTATACGCGATACCATATTATAATAGCGATTAACGCAAGCCGTCCGCCGTTGTGTTATTTTGTTTTCACGTATCTTGGTTATCCTTTTTTTTATAAACATCTCAGTACCTCTCTAAGTTGAAAAAAAGGAATAAACACACTACAAACAGCCAATTTAAACGTTTAGTGTCCAGTGATCGAACTACTACGTTTTGCGTGCATGCCTGTTCAGTTTCGTGTAATCGCGTGCATAATTTTGTTCGGTTTTTTGATTTTTTGTTTTTTAATTTAAAATACGCTGTGTGCCGAGTGGTGGCTGAAAGCTCTGAAGACTGAATACTCCCGAAAAAAATAATGTAAGTTTTATTCAATGTTGGTAAAAAATGTATCATAATTGTGTAGTATTGTTCAGTTTATGTGATAGTGGCTTGTTGAATGTTTTTTTTTTTTTGTAGGTCGTGTACAAGGCATTTTCCCTGGTTAATTGATTAATTCATTTTAAATTTGATATCAATGTTTTTTTGCCCTTGAATTTCATTTAAAAATTGATTTTATTTTTACGATGAAAATTTTAGTTTTCAAAATCAATTTTAATTTTATTTCATCATAATTTTGATTTTTAATATTGATTTAAATTTTGTTTTTAATTTCAAATTTATTATCAACAATTGGCTTTAGGTTTTAATATTTTTAATATATTTTACTGTAGACTATTCGAAATTCGAATTTCAAACTATAAAAAGAGTCCAGGCAAGTGGCGCTGCTAACCGGAAATTAAAAAAAGGAAAAAGAAGAAAAAATTGAAAATGACATTAAAAAAACAAAATGCATATCTAGTTTTTTTAAGTCAGACTTATTTCAAAGCGAAAATAAAGCTTCTGATACTTTTGAGACAATTATTAATCCGACATCCATGAATGATACTAGTGCTGAAAAAATAGAATCTTTGAATGCTGAAATTTTTACAACAGATTCTCAAATTTGTGAAAATGCTTCTGTCATGCTTAATGAAGAAAATTCAAATTACTGTGCTTCGCATCTTGTTAAATTAAATCAAATACCCTATTCTCCTCAAATTCAAGATAGTTCTGAAACGGAGACAACTCAAAATTCACCATTTGAAATGATGACTGATATTGGATTATGGCCTGAAAATATGGCGTTAAAATTACTGACTTAAACCAAAATCTCTTCCTGAAACCGTGGCTCACGTTACAAAATATAAAATTTTTATGAAAAATAGATTTTTTATGCAATATAGAACTTTTATGAAATATAGGAATTTTATGTAATATAGAATTTTTTATGCAATATAGAATTTTTATGAAAAATAGAAATTTTACTAAAATAAGGAATTTTAAAATAAAATATAGAATTTCTAGAAAAATTAAATTTTTGTGAAATTTAGAAATATTATAATATACAATATAGAAATTAAAGAAATATAAAAAAAATTTAAACTTTAGAAATTGTATAGTAAAATATAGAGTTTTTATGTTGTATAGAATTTCTATAAAATATAGAAATTTTATGAAATATAGAAATTTTATAATAAATTATATAATTTTTATGTAATATAGAATTTTTATGAAATATACGAATTTTATGTAATATAGAATTTTTATGAAATATCAAAACTTTATGAAATTTAGAAATTGTGTTATAAATATAAAATTTTTAGGAAATTTAGAAATTTTATAATACAATATAGAATTTTTATGAAAAAAATAATTTTTATGAAATTTAGAAATTTTATAATGAAATATAGAATTTTTATAAAATTTAGAAATTTTATAATAAAATATAGAATTTCTATGAAAAATAAAATATTTATGAAGTATAGAAATTTTATGAAATATAGAATTTTTATGAAATTTAGAGATTTTATAATACAATATAGAATTTTTATGAAATATAAGAATTTTATGAAATGTAGAAATTTATATAAAATAATTTTATGAAATTAAATTTATGAAATTTAGAAATTTTATGAAATATAGAAATTTTATGACATAACATTTTCATGAAATATAAAAATTTTACAAAAATTATAAATTTTTATAACATTACAGTTTTAATAAAATATAGGAATTTTATGAAATTTAGAAGTTGTATAATAAAATATAGAATTTTTTAGGAAAATAAAATTTAAAAAAAAAGAATTTTGGTGAAATATAAAAATTTTATGAAATTTTGAAATATTTTATTATACAATATATAATTTTAAGAAATATAAAAATTGTATGAAATTTAGAAATTGTATAATAAAATACAGAACTATTATGCAATGCAGAATTTTTATGAAATATAAGAATTTTATGAAATTTAGAATTTTTATGATAAAATAGAATTTTTTATGAAATATAGAAATTTTATGAAATTTAGAAATTTTATAATAAAATATAGAATTTCTATGAAAAATGAAATATTTATGAAGTATAGAAATTTAATGAAATATAGAATTTTTATGAAATTTATAGATTTTATAATACATATAGAATTTTTATAAAATGTAAGAATTTTATGAAATTTATAAATATTTTAATAAACAGGAATTTATGAAATATAGGAATTTTATGAAATTTAGAAATTTTATAATAAAATATAATTTTTTATGAAATATAGAGATTTTATAATAAATTATATAATTTGTATGAAGTATAGAAATTTTATAATAATATATGGTAATTTTAAAATAAAATACAACATTTTTGTGTAATGAAGAATTTTTATGAAATATAGGAATTTTATGTAATACAGAATTTTTTTGACAAAAGTTTTATGAAATATAAAAACTATGAAATTTTGAAATTGTATTGTAAAATATAGAATTTTTATGAAATTTAGAAATTTTATAATACAATACAGAACTTTTATGAATATTAGAAATTTTATAATAAAATGTAGAATTTTTATGATATATAGAAATTTTATAATAAAATATAGAATTTCTATGAAAAATAAAATTTTTATGAAATAAAGAACTGTTATGAAATTTAGAAATTTTATAATGAAAAATAGATTTTTTATGAAATATAGCAATTTTATAATAAAATTTAGATTTTTTTAGGGCACTTGGGTTCTCTCAGTATATTTTGTCTTTGATGCAACACTAACGCCATCTACTTTAAATATAATTGTACCAAATACCGTTAAAGCGTCTTGAATACACGTTATCTACCTGTGATAACCGTGGGAGTACTCGGATTCTCACAAAAAAACAAGAAATTTGATATTTCATAAAACTGTGGGGGCCACGGGCCACGTAACAAATATTATTCACCCAGAATGTAATGATATGATCAATATTTATAAAATTATTGACTTGGTACACAGCAGTATAGGTATAGTAGTTCTTACTTTACTAGTTTTACCCCTAATAAAAAAAAGTAATGTTATACAATTTACCGTCGCCGGTCTCAGATCCCTTTATCACAATAATAATTACACAAAAGAAAAAAATTAAGTACATCTACATTGATAACCTATTATTTTTTAGAGGAACTCACAAAAAATAATATTACTTTTGTAAATAGGTACAGTTGATTTAACCAAATTGTAAGTTTATCATTTTAATTTCCAATGCTATATAATTTAAATTCTCTTATTTTAAATTTATAATTTATTTTATCATTTAGATTTCTATAATCATTTTTTAAAACTGCAACTTATCTGATTCTTATACTATGTCTTATACTAGGTTGTCACATTGACAACCTGCTGAACAGTTCACTTTAATAAACATTCTATTATTATTATCCACTAGTTGTCAACTAGAAAAAATGTAGTTGTCGCATAACGTTTTTCAATGTCTAAAACATTATCCAACAAACTGTAACCATGTCAACGAACGCGCATATATATCAAACAAAATTTCAACATCTTTTTTGTAATATTATACTAAAATGGTATGCAACACTAACGTTATTCGTAAATAATGAATTGAACAAAAAATTAACACAAAAGACAAACTAACCCCCCCTGTTGTTCCAGAAGATATGAATCGGACCAAACCTTCGCAAGGGCCGTCGCCAAGGTCGATGTTTGGAAGCTCGGTCAATAGTCGTCCGCGGCTGTCTTTCTCATCTTCTCCTTCTGATGTGGTCTTCTCAAGATGGGAATACCACGAGTCGTCGTCAACATCGAAAGTTGGAAACTCTTCCAAAAACCATCATCCCGAAGTCCCATATCGCCAGCTGCCGGTTCACCTAAAGTCCGAGGAACTTGGCCAGGCGAAGCTGACGTCAAATTGACACGGGCTGTGGATACACCGCTGAACGGCGGTTTATCCAACAGCCGTTTCCTGACTGTTTCCTTTTCTATCCTCAATGCATCCGGGGTGAAAAACGCCAGAAACGACGATCGATAGCTTTTCAGGCATCTGGAATAGTTTGTTCAGCAAAATCTGACTGTGGCGTATAGAGAAAACTGTGCAGAGTGCAATGGGTAGCAGGTAAATGGCAATTAAACGTATTCAAACGGCGAAATTCGTAAAAAGTTGAGCAGTGATATCCGAGTAGCACCAACTTGAAACGGCATAGGCGAAAAACATCTAACCCGACTGACCAGGAGTGTGAAACTTCCCAGAGTTCCCGTCGAGGGTCGTTATGGAAGCGAGGTAAGAGAGCCGCACACCGACGATTGACGAGTTTTTTTTTTTTAATATTTGTATGCTGTTAATATATTTTGTTCTTTGTGTTATTTTTTGTTCAACTCATTATTTGCAAGTAACGTTATTTTTGCATATCTTTATTGTATACATATTTCTTCTGTCCGCGTGTAAGCATGCAAACTCCTCCTAAACGGCTGGACAGATATTTATGAAATTTTGTGTGCGCGATTAAGTTGATTCGAGAAAGGTTTAGATTCACAATTTGATCCGATAGAACACGTTTTTAATTTTTAATTAATCAAAATGATTAACTATGATTATCAATAGTATCAATAGTTATCAATACATCTCTTTGGTTTCTCATACCACAGGGATACAGTGATCCGATCAGCTGATTGTGTGTCTATTCTAATTTTCTGTCTTTACTAATTTGACGATTTTGCTACCTATTTAAATTTTTGCTGTATAATTGTTTTTTATACATCGTGCAGCTTGATCATTTTGTTTGATATTTATACGCATGTGTCATAGTATAAGAATCAGATAAGTTGTAGTTTTAAAAAATGATTATCTATAAACTAAAATACTTAATTTCAAATAGGCGATTTCGAGTAGGCCACTTGATCTAGTTATGAATTTCTTTTTGTTATTGCTACGTTTTACTTTCCGCACCGGCCCCGCCCGACTGCACCACACATAGTTTTCGCTGGCGGCCGTAAATTAGGCATATTTAAGATATAGTTTATATTTCAAAGTCGATTATCTCTGGAACTAGAACGCATTGGCACAAACGCTCGAACACGGGTCTTTTTATTTTTCATAAATAACATTTAATCGGAATTTTAAGAAAAGCCGTCACTCTTTCATTCTGTGACCTCCCCTTCTAAAACATATTTTCAATAATCCTTAATTATGTTTGAATAAGCTGTGTGAATAGTAAATCCCTTGTACAAATTGTCGAGAATTCATGTTAATAACATTCAAACTGAAAGCACGTATTGCCGTGCTCTATTGGAATTAAGACGAGTCGTTTTTTTTTACCTCTACTAATGTGGAGGCCCGTTGTGTTTAAAAGTCAGCGTAGTGGATCGGGCATAGTAGCGGAACATATTGGATCAGGGAGGTAACAGATCATCAGGATTATTATAAATTACATTATTACATAGTATTAATAACGCTTGCTTCAGTGCGAAAATATATTAGATAAATTGATATACATTCACATTGTTTTGAGTTAACCGTGAAAGGTACAAATCCATAGATTGATATTTTTTTTTTACATGGGTAACCAAATATTCATCCAAATAAATGAAAATAATTACACAACGAGCACAATTAAATGAACAGTTAAATTTATCCAAAATAACTGACCAGGTGAATGTTGCCAATAAACCGCGATTAAGGACAAATATTAAAATACTACTAAAAACATTTGGCCACAACATAAAATTAAGACTGTACTATCATGATATATCGCAAGGAGATTATAGATTGGAAATAATCATTATCCAAGAGCCAGCAGACTAAAGCACATTCCATGTTTTATACTTTTAGCCGTTAGGCTTTAAGTAGACTGTAACCGCATAATGATGAGTTATTTAATTGGTGTTTACAATCATTTTTCCCGAGGCTTGTAAAGTAAGTTATACATAACCGATCGGCAATGTGGTTATCAGGAGACTGCGCCCGAGTCTTGAACAGGCCTATTTCTAAGCATGTACATTACCAAAAATTACTAGAAAAATTAGTTGAAACCCAGCTCTTAAATCAGGTCAAGCGAAATTCGATAAGTGAACCACAGGGGTTTCGACAAAATAAATCAACCGATACAAATTTCGTGCTATTTTATCGATTCCTAGTCAGTGGATAACATAGCCAAGATTACCCAAAATGGTACAGTTTATACCGGCATAAGAAAAGCGTTCGCCGCACTGCAGTTGACCACAGGACTAGAGGTCGGCACATCTGATCTTTGAGTAAGACATTTCCTAGTAATCTACAACCGAGGGGGTCAAGACCATGGTCGTGTAGGTCACATCGATCTCGATGATACTTACAATGTTCAACTCAATACTTCACTCGAAAAGGTGACTAACACCGCTATGGCTGTAACCAGCTCCGCCGCTGGAAAAGTAACACGATACGATTTTTCTGGCTTGTATTTTGTAATTGATTCGACGATATGTTTACGCTGTTGCGATAGGTACGCGGCGGCGTTTATCGATCACGGTGTCGGTTATGTGATTCTCAATAATTTTTTTTTTTCATCGCTAAACATTTTTTTTTTTTTTTTTAATCTCGATGATACTGGCGGACACGAACAACTGTCGTGTTGCGTTCGTACCGGAGCGCCGGTTTTTCGAAATATGAACAGAATCGAAGGGTTGGACACCACTTTGGAGCTGGACTACGCGATAACGTTGCCGGCGGATCGGGCGCAGGCGGTGCGCGAGCAGTTGTTGTGCAAAGGGGTGCCCGGAAGTTGCATCAAACTGGTGGACTTGGCGGCAAACAGCGGCCACCTAACCGACGACGGCAATGCGAACCCGAGCCGTCGCCAACCCCGCGTACGGTTCATGCCGAGTTTCGTCACGCTGGGCACTTGCGGTAACGGTCAGTACAACGTGGTGATGCGCCGGCGAACGGCGCCCGAAGCCCGCGAAACCGTTTGGATAACAATGGCCGCCGACTACACGGTAATGGCGGCGCCCGAAACTACGGCTCCGGCCGCCGCGCAACAGCCGATGCCCGTCGGCGATCCAGTCTGCAAACCACAAGAAGAAGATGATGATGATGATGGTGAAGGACAGCGACACGTGACCGAAGTGACCGCCGGTCTCGCCAACACGACGATGCACGACGACGACCACGACCGAGTGACGTTGAAGCGTTGTCAATGCACAAGAGTCGATTGCGACGCGTACCGGACAGCCGTAATGGAATATCTAACCTCGAAAGAAAACAAGTGCATCTACAAGGAGATAGCGGACGTATTGTTTGTGCGTGACGAAACCAAAAACACCGATCAAACACCAAAGGCTTCCGCCGACGGCGGCAATAGAGCCGGATCGACGGACGACACTAATTCAGCGGTGGCCGCAAAGGCCACCAGCAGCGGCCATACAAAATTAACTAATGTGGATTCGATGAAAAAAACCTCGTCGGATTTTCATTCCAAGTCGAACGAGCCCGACAACGACGACAATGCTGTTCTTTCGGTTGACGGCGAACCTCCAAGCAAGGCGCCAGACGAGGCGGCCAACGCCCAAAACGATTCCAAGTCGATTCCATGCAATTTGGAATCTCAAAAAATTAAATCGTACCAATCGCTTCTTCGGGCCAAGAAAACCACCAAGAACACCAAGAAAACGGCAAATCGTTCTATTTTCAAAATATTGTTAAAAAAAATATTTAATATTTTAGAATATTAATAAAAAATGAACGGAACGCTTTAAAAAAAAAAAACAGTACAACAGGGGCGGTGATATTGGGCCGGAGGAGGTCTACAGGAATTTATTACAACTGTTGCGATGAAATCGTTTTCAAATAAACGCTACGGTGCGAATCTGATTGTTCATTAAGGGGATTGAAAACGGTCTCTCGGTCTGTGTTAGACCAAAAAGGATTTATTAAGACATTAGGTATAGGCAATTTAGTGCAAAACTTTAACTTGAAGCTTAAACTATAATGTGGAGCTATTAGTTAAGAATTTTAGAACACTTGTTTGATAGTTAATTTATTTTTCTGACTATGTTAGAATACACAGACAGTAAAAGTATATTAAAAACGGCACAAAAAACAATTGTTTACAATCGGGGATACTATTCTTAATGAAAATGACAATGTGTACTTCAATCATTGTCAGAATTGTCGTTTTAGATATTTTATCAGAAGCATCTTGAATTCATGGTTCCCAATCTAACAATGCACATAAAAATCAGGTCAAATACTGTTGGACAAAAAATGTTTCATTACATTTTTCAACCATGCTCTAAATGCTGTAGGAGGTACCCACATATCATTTTAATTTACAAACACGTTTAACTTTAACCAAAGCAACACACTTATTCCATATCAGATTTTCATGGTCATATGTAAATACATATTATAATTTCCCTCGTTATTATACTATTATAAACCTTAACTAATATCAACATAATTGTAGCACATTTTATTTAAATATGTCAATTACTTTGAAAACAACCGAAAATTAACTACAATTTTAAATAATGTTAAACATCTTTAATTAATGACTAAAAAGAAAAGCGTGGGCTCTATTCAACAAAGTCCCGTATAAATTTATCTGATAATGTTTTATATTGTGAGTTTTTTTGTAATTTAAATTTGGTTCAATATTAGTGTGTGATACGTAAAGAAAAGCATGTGACATGTAAAAATTTGTTTTTTCATTGGATCATAGTCGTGACTGAAAGGGTTACATATTGCCTATATACAACGTACTAACATCAGGGTTTCCCCAAGACCGCAGGTAGGTTCTGAGAATAGCGCAATGCCGCACCGCCCGCACCGCTACAAATCTATCTTGATAAAACATACTAATGCTATTGCGACGTATACTTTAAGCTTCACACCCGGGAAAACCCTATAGTTATTGTTTTTTTTCTTGATAATCCAGTCTCGCGTGAGGGGCCGCACGCGGCATCTAAAAATCATTTACATTTCATTTGTGAAACTTTTGTTGAACACTCAAGACAGAGATTCACAGTGTTTTCTCGTTGTAAGTGTTATTGTTTATGTTATCGTTTTGTGTTCGTTTGCATTTAAAACGATTTTTATCGTAAATAATAAACAATCCAATTGGTACAGTGTGATAGGGACGGAAAAAAAGGAATAATCAAGAAGACGCCACACCGCTCATGTTAAACGAGTAAAGTATAAGCAAATTTTTACAAAATCTTAACTTAAAGGTTAAACTGTGATGTGTAATTATTAGTTCAGTAAGAGTTAGGACACCTTTTTGGTAGTTAAATTTTTTTTCGGACAAACGCAGCATCCTTGACAGCGATTTAAAAAAAAAAAATCTGCCGACTTGAGTTTCACGCGGATTAATTTTTCTCAGACTTCATATATAGTCAAGGAAAGATATTCATACATATTATATATGACAAAATTGTCTGTGCTCCAACATCCGTATTTTTCGATTTACCAAATATAACCGACGCTATATCATTTTTAAAAAAGTCAAAAAAGTCCTTTCTCAATTAATTAATTATTTATTAACTGGTGGAACACTTAAAAAAAGATTTCATTTATTCTGTGTTCATACCTAATAGTGATCCTTTTATAGATCAGTTACATCTTTAGGTGCTTCCATTTTGTTGAAGACTTCTGTTTTGCTATAGTCTGGTAGAATTGTGTTTTGTTGCAACACGTGTCCCAAAAATGTGATTTCTGTTGTACGAATTGCACATTTTTCCTTATTTAATGTTATCCCTGTTTCGAGTAGGTAGTCTTTTAAGGATTTTCTTACAGGACATCTTGAGAAATGGACCGAGTGCTGGTAGGTGTAGGGAAATTATCATTTTTCGTTCATTCCGGCTTTGATTTTAAACTTTGACACTGAAAACGTGACTGTTAATTATTTTATAAAAAAAATAAATATATGTGCGTCTAAAAAACTTCTGTTAATGCAACAATATATATTATCCTTGTGATTTATGAAATATTATATTGGCTTGTATAAATTATTTGCTATATTTTTTTTTATATACAGCACAATATGTATAATTACCGGTATATTTGTTGATTTTATCGGCGTTCCGTGAAATTTAAAAACTCTAATGAAATTGTTGTTGTTGTATTTTTTTTGTTATATATATTATGTTATTTGTGTATATTTATTGTGTTAAGTGCCAATAAATAATAATTTGTAAATTTATCAAAACTAACTAGTTTAAAAAAAATTTTCTACGCATAAAAAAATCAAAGGTTTAGCGTTAATGTAAGTATTGTCTGTTAGTATTGTTAAGTATTGTAAGTTTCTTAAGGATAAACAAAATTACAGACTATTTGTTAGGTTTTTTCAATTTTTATGGACTACGCTAAGTTGTAGTTACTTGTGAACAGAAGCTTAATGCTTATTAAGCTTCTAATTACTATCAGAATTATTACTAACTATTAACTATTACTATTATTTACTTTCAAAGTACTTATCATGAAACGGCCAACAGAATCAAAAAAGGTTAACTAGGTATATTTACACATACATATATCTACAATTTGTTCAGTATGCCAATTTAATAATATAAATTTCCCCGCGTTGCCTAATATACATAAATAATTATTAGAAGAAAAACTGACTTTAATTATTACATTTTACTATCTATTTCAAAAACACTAGAATACATATTTGTTTACCTAGTTTAAAAATACTTTATTCTATAACATCATTACCATCATGTGGCTTAAACACGTCTTGAAGACCCAAAACTGCCTTTGTGAGATGGTTTCTAGACGAATTCGATATTCCATTACAACAAATCGAATTAAAATGTATTCTACTTTTGTTGCAGGCAAAATATGACACCGAAAAAGATAATCGACCGTTTAATGATGAAAGTTACACAAAAAGCCATTGTTCTAGTAAAAAGATTGGATGCTGAAGATATTGCCAAGTTCAAAGCGTAAGTAGTTAATTTAATAATTTGATCTCTCGTAATCTATATCAAGTTATATTTTAACTTAACGTCGATACAGAACAACACAAATACAATAAGTAAAAACGATAATATTATAAAAACTACCGAAACATAAGTTAATAAAAAGTGTACAATTTAACTTGAAATTATGATGTTAAAATAGTAAGTATATAGGTACTTGAAAATCGTACTTGTGTCGTTCGTGTACAAATTAGAAAGCAGGGGGAAAATATGCATCGCTTGTGGTACCCCTAGGGCGCAAATAACACATTCGAAACAAAGCCATTTATTATTATTTTTCGCATTTGTTATTAGTGAATTGAAGAACGAAAAGACTGAATTTTCTCAACATCCAGCCGAACTAGAACCTTGTTCGAAAAGAAGAAAACTAAACGATAGTAGAGACGATACACCAAAGTGGGTTTTTTTTTTTTTTTGAAAGCATCACCAATACGTTTAAATCGAATTTGTTATCCATTTTTTTACAGTTGCTTGATCGACAAATGTGCAATCGACCGATCTTCATCTCACATTAGCAATGCCAATACGGCGGACTTGGAAATCTCTGATCAGCTCGTAAATGTGATTAAAGAGTCGGCAATAGATGAAACGATGTTGGTCGAAGACAATCATGTTGTTACTACTAGTAGTCAAGAATCTGATGTCTCTGATCATCTCCAACAGCCAGCTGTAATTAGCGAGAATTGTTTTTTAAGTCTGTAAGTTTCTTAAAGATAAACAAAATTACATACCAGTTGTTAGGTTTATTTAATATTTAAATACATTTTCATGAACTACTGTAGTTTTAAATACTTTTGTGAACAGAAGCTTAATGCGGTGTGTATAGTTTCATAATAAGTAACTTTATTATGAAACGGTCAACAGAATCAAAATGGTGAACTATATTTACACATAAATCTAAAAAATTTTACTGTATGGCAATTCAATAATATTAAGTTCCCTGCGTTAACTAATATGCGTTAACTATTGGAAGAAAAATTGACTTGAGCTATTACATTTTATTATTTATTTTAAAAAGGCTTGAATACATATGTACCTATTAAACTAGTTTAAAAAAAAACTTTATTCTATAACATTATTATATCATCGTGTAGCTTAAACAGGACGTCTAGAAGGGCCAAAACTGCCTTTGTGAGATGGTTTCTTGACGAGTTCGCTATTCTATTACGACAAATCGAATTAGAATTTGTACTACTTTTGTTGCAGGCAAAATATTACACGAAAAGCCGTTGTTCGGGTAAAAAGATTGCATGCTAAAGATATTGCCAAACTCAAAGCGTAAGTAATTACTTTGATACTCTAATCTCTGATAATCTATATCAAGTTATATTTGAACTGAACGCGTTATTAGAAAAACTAACAAAACATAAGTTAATAAAAAGTGTACAATTATTACTTTTTGTGGTATTTGTTGTTAGTGAATTGAAGAACGAAAAGACTGAATTTTCTCAACATCCAGCCGAACTAGAACCTTGTTCGAAAAGAAGAAAACTAAACGATAGTAGAGGCGATACACCAATGTGGGTTTTTTTTTGGGGGAAAAGCATCACCAATACCAATCGAATTTGTTATCCATTTTTTACAGTGGCTTAATCGACGAATGTGCTATCGACCGAGCTTTATCTCACATTAGCAATGCCAATACGGCGGACTTGGAAATATCCGATCATCTCGTAAATGTGACTGAAGACAAAGAGGCGGCAATAGACGAAACGATATTGGTCGAGGACAATCGTGTTGTTACTATTAGTAGTCAAAAATCTGATGACTCTGATGTTCACAAATTTCGAGTAAAAATATTCGATGCTGAAGATATTGATAAACTCAAAGCGTAAGTAACTAATTTGACACTTAATAAATTATACGCTTGCATAACTTGGCGGAAGTTTAGTATTTAAGTAGAAATAATAACACTCACGATAATATGACAATTAACACAACAGTCAACACTATTAAACATAAAATCACACAGTATATAAATAGTAGAGAATAATGTACAATGTACATTACAGTTATAAAAGCATCCGTAATAGAGTGTTGCCAGACATCTAAATACTATAGCTTATATATTATAGTATATTCTAGGTCAAGTGAAATCGGTCTTGTACCAAACAACATCATTATCATCATGTAGCTTAAACAGGACGTCTCGGAGGCGCCCAAAACTGCCTTTGTGAGATGGTTTCTTGACGAATTCGCTATTCTATTACAACAAATCGAATTAGAATTTATTCTCCTTTTGTTGCAGAGGCAAAATATGACACCGAATACGTTTAAATCGAATTTGTTATTCATTTTTTTTTTTTACAGTTCCTTAATCGACGAATGTGCTATCGACCGAGCTTCGTCTCGCATTAGCAATGCCGATACGGCGTACTTGGAAATCTCGGATCAGCTCGTGAATGTGACTGGAGACAAAGAGGCGGCAATAGACGAAACGGTATTGGTCGAGCACAACCGTGTTGTTACTATCGATAGTAGTAATCGAGAATCTGATGACTCTGGTGATCTCCAACGGCCAGCTACAATTAGCGAGAACAGTTTAATCGGCAAGATTCGTGTTCGCGATGTGCGATCAATGATGACCGACAAGATGTTGCGAAGATTTTACATTACGTTCTACGACGTCGCCACAAGGCCGTTTGGCAATAGACGTGCTTCGAAAAAACGCACGTACGTTAAACTCTGCTTGGATTATCTCTTGACGATTCCCGCTCGAAAATCGGTCGCGTTTATTGTTATTTCGGCATACGGGCGCTCCGTACTTTTGGGTAAGGGTTTTTTTCCCAATATTTCTACAACTTTTCAATGTTACCTGTCAAAACGATTTTTTTCATATCCACCCGCCCTTTTGTGAAAAGTAAAATAATTATTTTTATGCAACGCCCCCCCGTTAGTTTTACTAAAATGTAAATACATTTGTTTTCGCGGATAATCGATTTTCATAAAAATAAATTACCGTCTACTTGAAGCCAAACGGCTAAAATTATAAAACGTGGGACATACTTTAGTTTGCTGAATAATGATTGATTCCGATTGATAATCTCCTAATATACCATTATGATGATACCTAGGATAGTGTTAATTTTTGGTTGCGACCAATTCATTTTTAGTAGTATTTTAATATTTGTCCTTAATCGGCGGTTTATTGGCAACATTCACCTGGTCAGTTATTTCGGATAAATTGAACCGTTCATTTAATTGTGTTTGTTGTGAAATTATTTTCATTCATTTAGATGAATACCTATTTGGTTTCTCATTTTGAAGAAAAAAAATCAATATATGGATTTGTACCTTTCACGGTTAACTTAAAACAATGTCAATTTACCTAAGTAATAAGTTTGTACAACAAACAAATAATTATTATAGGTACTGGATATGCACTGAATATAATTATTATTATCTAATAATTGTCCAGATCTAAAAACTTGCCTCAAGACATTTTATACGCACATAGTTTTTATATATATTTATATTTTATATAAAAAAACAACCGCAAGATCGCGCCACTTTCGTGACGCTATTTTGTGTCGTTTTCGAGCTGGGAGGCCAAGGCTAAAAATGCAAATGTTCCATGGTAAAAAAAAAAAAAAGAACATGTTAAACAATGATTGTACTGAGCCTTACTATTTCGGGGATATTAGAAAACCCTATACATTAATATTTTTATATAAATGACTCTGGCTTATAATATGATAGACAAGGCTAAACTGAAGCCCCCGATCTTATTTAATGTCTTTTTGTCCAAGACGTTGGCGTTGACAGAATGTGTAATGGCTGCGTGATTTCGGTTCAATGTCCTTAACACATTATATATATATATTATTATTTTTTATATAAAATATATGATTATGCATTTGTTTTAGTGTTCAAGTGAGGATTGCGAACTATGATGTGTGAGACTTGTGCGCGGCGTCCGTCAAATACTGTTCGTTTCGAGTGTGAAATGAATATGATTTTTTTGTCACAAAATGTAATTAATAAACAGAAAATATTCACTGTTCGATCGTTTTTTTGTAGAACTCGGATTGGTTTGACGAACACCACGAACGTTGTAAACAGACGTTGCCTTCGTAACCGGTTAATGTGTAACTATTTTATGTGTCTTGTGTGTAATTTATGTGAATTCTTTAATTTTTATTATTTTATAACATTACGTGACTTTTACAAAATAAATTTAAAAACTGTGATTATTTAAATTGTTTTTCAAAAATTTACCCTCGACAAGTTCAGGGTTACCGAGAAAAAAAAATTACCAATCAAGTATATTATACAGTTGAATGTCGTCAATATAGAATTATTAATTTAAAAATGTAAGCACAATGCATAAAATAATATACCTAGCAGCACAAATAGAGTACTAGTAATATCATCGTTTACCACCACACAAATCGAGTGCCCAATTTTTGACCTACAACTAACGACCAAACAGTTTTAGCGGCGTCACATTTTGATTTTACTAATTACATAAGTCAAAGCATTGTGAAACTCGTTGAAAATAAAAACAAATACGTAAAGATAATAATTAATAATATAATATAGTATCACTTTCTTAAATGTTGACCATATAAATATTATCAATATTATATGGTCCAAATTTTTTTTTTTTAAATATTAGGCAATAATTATTATTTGGTATTCAAAGTTAAAAATGATTGAAATATGATTGCAACAAAAAATTCACATGAGATCTATTATCAAACTACAGTAATAATAATAGTTCCTAAGTTAAACATAATTAAAAAAAAAAAAAAATTATAACTTTAAACAAATAGTTAACAAAATAATAAACCTATAATAATGTGTGGGTTGGTAAAAACTATAAAATAATAATATAGAAAAATAACAAATAATAGAGCTAACAGTGTATTGTCCGACAATATTAATTTTTCAATAAATTAATAATAAATATGAACTTAATAGTAAATTAAACAATTTTTAATTAAAAAAAAAAAAAAAACAGAAAATTTGACAACGATTATGACGTAAGCAACGGTAACGTAAAATATTACTTATATGTATATATATATATATCATATTTGTATGATTATAATACTCTTTGTATAAATTATTATTATTATTATTATTAATATCTACGACTAATAGAATATATTATTATGTATAAATTACATCGTATGCTTCATACATGACATTTTCTAAATATGACTTAGTGTTTGTAATGTTTAATACAATAAATTAACTGTTCAACATTTTTAAATAACAAATGTTCGTTCCAAACCGTCCGACATAAATCTAACGCTACGGTTATTTGTCCAGTGCAATTTGATCTGTCGCAATTGGCTGGAACGGGTCGGGTCCTGTATTTCGGTGCTGTACGATTTGGTGCACTTGGTCTGGCTATTGCCCAAGCCGAACATTCCTGTGGACGTCTGCCAGAAGGATAATTTGTTTTCGCCCGCACTGTACGACACGAGGAATTTTCCGTCCGGCGAAAAAGCGCAAGCGCTAATAGGTTTGGTGTGTGCATTAATGGTCTGAAAAACATCAAATAATTGTTTATTATGACAATTAAAAAATATTTATTCAACAACCGATTGAGCATATCATAATAATACATTAAATATTCTTACGAACATAGTGTGCTCATAAGCAGTGTACAAAAAAACATAGTACGGCAATCATACCTGACATTTGGACGATCTCAGCTCGTACAACGCTATCGTGCCCATCTTGGTGCCGACTGCTATGCGCCTGGACGTGGAACAATGGGTGACTTGGCTGAATCTGCTTATTGCGGGGAACACTTCAGACAGGCTTCGGGTCTTCAGTTGAGTTGGATCCACACAGTGCAAAATGATATCCATCACCTACACAAGACACGAACAGAATAAAAAAAATAATATTACAAATAGGTATTAAAGAGCTTGTGGTGAAACGGTGTCTAAAACAAGGGTGAAATGACCGGTCATGCTTAGTCCCCTTAGGTTATTTATAAATTTAAATCCTTACAAATTTAAACGTCATAATTTGATATAGTTTTGATTATAAAAGTGATTTGAAAAGACATTTTTTTTTTTTTGTTACACCTGTGTCTTCTTTGTTTTCTATAAATTTGTATTCGACCAAATGTCAGCAAATTTTTTGCGGTAAATCAAACTAACTAAAGATGATGGTTAATCAAAAAATTTAAGGGGGGAGTGAAGTCTTCTTTATGTTATATTATACTATATTATAAAATTATTAAAATAATTAAGAAAAATATTTTTCCTGTCTAATCTAATCTATCTAACCTCCTAACCTTGCCACGTGCAATTTTAACCCCTCCTCCCCCCCCCCCCCTTCCTTGAGGACTGATCTAGTGGCGCCCTAGTGCACCGCTTTTCGTTAACACACCTCGACCAACAGCTCTGTCATTTCGAAATGCATTTTCTCGATCAAATGTTCCATGATGTGCAGTATCTCAGGTTTGGCTCTGTGCAACACCGAATTGCTCAGCGCCGTGTTCATGGCCTGCGTGTTTTGTTGCATGCTGTTGTAGCGAGCCACCTGAAATACACCATTCGTCATTATTTCCCGTTCGGCTCTAAACGCCAACAACAACCGTGCACGGCTCCATACCTCTCTGGAAATGGTGGTAATGAACAGTGCCGGCCGAACGTTCACAATCAGTATGAGAGCGTGTCGAGCCGTCCTGCACGAGTCTGCGGCTGGTGTCAAAGGTAGTCCGTACGACATGCTGTAACACATAAATATCGTATCACAACAAATACGTTTTTGCGCTCATTAACGGCAGCAGTGTTATTGAATAAATTCAGCATACCTAGGAACCAACTTGTCGGTGTCGCAGCACAGTTCCAAAATACCCAACAACACTTTGCTAACGTCAAAATACGGTTCCCACACGACAAATCCGCGACCGATTAAATCCACAGCGGCCCTGCGCAACGCCATGTGCGCCGGCAACTTCATGGAGGACGGCGACAAGAGTAACTGCGTCAACGCTAAGCCTAGACAAGATCAATTGGATCAAATCAAATTGCATTTTTTTTTTTTTCCAACAGTCAAATCAATCTAATTATAAACGGCGGCATCATACTGGTGAGTCTCGACAAATTATTGTTTCCGATGCCAAATCCTTCGACAACCGAACTCTTCCTTCTGGCCTCTTCGGGCTTCCTGCAAAGCGTGGTCGACTGTGACCGGTTAATGTTAGAACCGGAATCCGTTGCGCTGACCTCCTGCCCGAACTCGGCGCCCATTACGCCCATCAAAATCACCGCAGTCGTTTGTTTGCGACGCAACTCGCTTATGGACGATGGTTTTCTCAAGCACAAATCTAAAAGAACGCCACATTGACAAAACAACAAAACGGTTAGAACCAAACGAAAGCCGCCAAAACGAGATGCGCGTTCAATGTGCTAACCTTCCAGGCCGTCCTCTTCGTCGTCGTCCTCGTCGTCTTGAGTGCTTGCCGTTGATTCTATGTTTTCCTGAAAGTTAAAAAAAATACATGCAAGGGATAAACAAACAAAAAACACACAGCTGCTATTTCGCGGTGTTAATAAAAATATACAAGTGCCTTCCCTTAAAAGAGACAAAAGTATATATTATTATAAAAATTATAACACCTAATAACGCAATTGTTAAAATATTTTTACAATATTAAAATAGTTGTACAATTATTACAAAATTATTGTTATTTTCAAATATAACTTTGATGTAAGAGATGTATCGTAATAATTTGTTATTATAGTAACTCTTATTACTGGATATTGATTTTTTTCGATGATTCGAACAGATGGATTTGTTTTTTTTACTCTGTGTTAGTTTGTTAAAACATGAAACGGCCTTTTTAGACATAATACTACTGCTGATCAACGCCAAAAAAAAAATCAAAAGCTCCTTCTCGCGCAGAAGGGGTGGAAACTTGTTCTTTATTTAAATTTTTTTTCAGTTGCAGTGCTTAAAGTCTTAAAATTAAATTTAGATCTTTCGTAAACAATTTTCTCAAAAATATGTAGTGAAAACTTTTTTTTATTGGGGAAAACCCAAAAAAAGTAAAATTTGACTAGTAAATTTCTACGTTTCATTATGCGATAACATTTGTAAGAAAACAAATTAGAAATCGGTCTGGTAGGCGTGTTTCCCCAAGTGACTGCAGCATTTTAGTCTTTGTAAATTATTTTCAACAATGCAACTCAAAGAGACTAGGGATTTTTTTTTTTTTACCCATTCCAGCATTTCCCGAATACATCTATAGTTACATATAAATATTTACATATACACAATATGTATATATATATATATATATAGAATATAAAAAAACAATTGAAACTAAACATTCTGTACAACCCACCCGTGTTCCTTATCGAGCGTGAGGTACGCATGAAAAATGTAGAATTTCCCAACTTTTAAAATATGTACACACACACACACACAAAAACGGCTATCCAAAAAATGGATAAAACCGCCGCGTGAAAAGTGCACGAGTGAAAAGCTTGTTTGCTTTCGGAACTCGTTAAAACGAAAGTGTATACAATATTACACGTTCATTGTAATCACATTTGATTTGGTTAATAGCGTGCGCGGTGAACGTGTGATATGACTTACATTAGCGTTTACGTTAGTTAGATTGTTATAGCTAGCAGGAGCTGATTGCATGCTACCGATCGAGTGGCTTACTGGTAAATACTGCACCCAAAACTCAACCAGTGTTTTACGGCCTTTGGGCCCGATTCGTTCGAGCTCGGCCAACAGCAAAGCTTGAGCTGCTTCGCGCACCTGGACACGATAAAAATGATGTAATAAAAACATTTTATACCGCAAAGTAGTAATTTTAAGAGTTACCTCTAAACAGTGATGCTGCCAACGGTGAGCCAACATTTCTATTTGTATGCGTTTGAAACTTTTCGACCCGTGTGCGATCACCTTTTCGGGCAACGACACGCAGTGCAAATTCTTTAGCTGCGACCATCCTTGTTTGACTTGCGTTATCTGCGAGCCGCTCTGGTCGGCGTTGCCTTCTTCGGGGCGGCTTTTAACCGACAGTTGTCTGACGCCGCACAAACCGAAAGACAAACAAATTATCACCACAACCGTGTCCGTTATGGGGGGGGGGGGGGTTTAAGACAAAACTTCGTCTCCGTGCGGGAGTGTCCACACAACGACGAGAGACAATTACCTGGAAAATGAGTTTTCTAGGAAACCGGGAGCGCTCATGGAAATCAACGTGTTGGCGATGGCCACTATAGCCAACAAGTGTTGGCTAGTCACGGTGGTGCTCACTTCCCAGTGGGTTCTGGCCGTGAACAGTCTGGTCAGCAGTTCCAAGTGGACCATCTCGGGCGGTAGGTCTTTCAACGGTGCCTGGCTGTTTTTCACAAAGTTGTCGTCCAAGTCTATGCTACTCTGCCAAGTGGGTAACAGCAAACTCATAAAGCCTTCAAAAACAAAACCAAACAAAAATATTGGTAACGTCGAGTACGCCGGGTAACCGTGTGTTTTTTATATCGCCGGCACTCGACTAACGGTGGTCTTACCGCCTTTGGATATGACGCCAAAAGAAACCGGTATCATGGGCCGCAGCAAGCCGAGTTTAGCCTCGCAGATCTTGTCCACGTCTGGATCCAATCCCCAAGCGTACAATAACGACATCAACAGCTGTGCTATTTCCATAGTTAGGTTGGCGCCACACACTTTACGACACACTACGCCGCTAAGGTTCACGCCTGAACAGCAGATAACAACACAACAATGTATTCGGTGATAGTTATAACGATAACGTTGTACATAATATTTTCCTTAGACTAATATTACAACAATAATTCATTTTTAATAGAGTTGTATAAACAAATTACTTCATACAAAGTACCAACAAACAGTGTAGTACTTAAGTATTGTACGGTGTACACTGTACTGAAGTATTGTAAAACTATATAAAATGTTTGTTTCTTGGTAATGTCTCCTTACTGTAACGAATAGAAAAATAATTGTATACGGCAATTTTAGCACACTCGGTAAAAAAACTGTAAATATCTCTCGGAATAAAAACAAGCTTCAGAGCGTTAGTAAATACTTATGAGGATGTAGATGATTAATTGTAAGTGTAAAATGATAAATAATGACATACAATATAGACTATCTCGAAGGGATTTTTTAACTGACCACATTAAACATATGTAAGCGGTTAAGAAATAATTAGTTTTTTAGTACATAGTACATATTAGTTGATGAATTAATCTACAAACAACACAGTGTACTACAATATTAACAATAGCATTAACCATACAGGTACCTTTGTTGTCATTAGACTTGTTGTCCGAACCGTCGATAACAGATTGAAGTTTAGTTAGTATGTTTTCAGAGCCATCTTTTCGTTTAGGTATAATTCCTGAACAAAAATTATGAGTAAAAAATGTTCATATTGTTACTACAGTTATTGTGTAAAAGCGACTTAAGATTGTTAGCGATAACGAATGAGACAGCTGATATTACAGTATTCAAACTATTCATACTAACGTCAAAAAATAAAAGCACGGAAAAAGGCTATAATCATAGGCGCAAATACGGGGGGGGGGGGCTAGGGTGGGCTTAGCCCCCCCCAAAAAAATTAGGTTATGCATACAATTTTGAAATACAAAAATATATTTACTTATATATATATATATATTTTAAAAAAAATGTTTAGCCCCTCCAAGTTAAAAATTGAAATTGCGCCTATGGCTATAATAATAATCACCGAATGTTAATTAAATTACTCTATAATGCAAGACTAATTTCTACAAAGTGAAAGTAAAAGCCAAAATTGTATTTAATATTGTTATTTCAAGTGAAAAAATCATGTTTTTGTACTATAAAAAAACACAATCATAAATTATGACTAATGGTGTGAGTACAAGTTATAAATTAAAAATCTTTGCAAATACAATGTGCAAAAATATATGAGTAAAATGTATAAGCTTTTTACAACAGCCAACAATTGATTATCTATATTTGAAAGTTATTACTATATTATATACAGGTAATTAAAAATGTTTGAAAAGGGAATCTACTGGCAAATATCCGTTGAAACTCTAATACAAGACAAGTCTTGTTGTAAGTCTTTTGCTAGACTACAATATCATGTAACTCGATTTTCTCTAAACTTTTCAGGAGATGCAAAAAACCATTTCGCTAAAGTGTAATCAAGTGGTATTTAGTGTTAACGTACGATAATATAATATGTAATCATGTTTTTTTTTTCGTAGATACGTGATATTACTAAAACTCAATTGTCATAAAAAAAAAAAACAATCATTACATAAAAAATGTGCACAAGAAATTCTAGGTAATTTCAAAAATAAATGTTAATTTTTTTTTTCAAGAATGTAGTTACGTCTCAACTAACTTAGTACACACACACACACACACATACACAAAATGATCATGCGTATTTATTATTTACCATGTTTATCTTTCTCCTTCAATATACGTTCCATGTCACCAGCCTTGTCTTTGACCTTGCCAAAAAAGTCTTATCCAAATGTAAGCAAGCAAAAAAAAAAAAATTGACGACAGATTTAAATATAAACAGTGAGTTAATGAGCTGTATACGATTTACTCAAGCTTATAAATAATTTTAAGTATATCAAAAATACTTAGTTTTAAACACACCACCATCACTGTGTTAAACACACATTTATATATCTTAAGCAAATCACTCCCAAATTTACCATATTACTTTGTTTTCTGAGTTAGACACTTTAATATTAGTATAATACTCTTGTCGTATACCGTATGATATAAAAAAAATTCTAAAAGCAGCATACCGACAATTTTTTTATGTGCTTCCGAAGATACCGCTTGAGTGAGTGCGGCTGTTTTTTGGTACTCGGTGGCATTTATCAAACCGTGTGCTTCTAAGGTTTTCGGAGACATAAGATCGTATTCCTCGCTCAACAGTTGAACTGAAAACGGAAATAATATATTATTATGTACCGATAAAAAAAAAAAAAAAACAAGTAAATATAACAACATTGTGTGACTACAGTAAGACATAGTTAACACTATATTTATTACTGACCGACTAGAGCTTCAATATCGAAACATAAAATATGACATTCTGGATCGTTAGGATTAGTCCGAAGACCTTGCACCATTAACGGATAAGCCCTGGTTTTGCTGTGATCGATACAGTCTGCATTGGAATTCTGATGCATCTGTTGCAACTGATGAATTCCTCGCTAATTATAGAAATACAATTTTTTTTTTTTTTTAGTACAGTCAATATTAATGATGAGCGGTGGTTTGTCAATCGGTATTTAACAAACATTACCTGTGTTGCATGTTTTATGGCGTTTATATTACGATGACGTAATCCCCGGAAGAAATGTACTGCTGGATTGGCGAGGCCTGAATCCACTGAACTAGAAATTGTTGTATTCTCATCGCAAGCGTATAACACTTCCTCTCCGCTAATTCCATGGAGTACGCGATCCAAATGACCTTTGTTAAAAAAAAGACATAACGTTTTTATAATGATTATTCAATTTAAAATTCAATTATTTTTTTTTTTTTCAATAATTATTTTTTATTACCAGTTTCCATTTGCCAAACATATACAGTTGCGTCTGAGCAACCGACAATCATGAAATCATCCAACGGCCGCCACTTTATAGTGACGACCGGGAATAAATGTCGAGAAGCCAGCACGACACATTTTCGTTCGTTGAGACTCAACAGCGTAACAGAATGATCGCTCGCAACTGAACAAATGCATTTCAATATTCTGGGCTGTAAAATATCCAAAATTAATAAACAGTAAATTAATAGAACATTATTTACATTGGCCGCCTACGTTAGCACATGTATTTGGTGGCACCAACAGTTGTGTGATTTCACCGGCGTGTACACAAAATCTGTGTAATAACGTGCCGGCGTACAAATCCCACAAACATATGGCGAAATCTACGCCTCCGGACAGCAAGTGTGATTTGTCGTATCTCGAGTGCATATGATTAGGATATAATAAACAATTCACACGGCCGTTATGACCGAGAAGAATTTGATGGGGCGGCCAATCTGGAGAACAAAAAATTTTTATGATTTTGATTAAAAAAAAAAAAAAAAATGTTTAAACACCTATGAAATTATATATTTTTTATTATTATACCAATATATATATATATTGGTACCTTTGTAATGTTGATGATTGCCGTGTAACAGCTGAAGCATAACCGTTTGGGTTGCCGGAATAATAACAATGGATCCGTCTTGTCTGCCTATTACGAGTCTACTCTGGCCGGCCAAGTAGATGCTAGCGGTTAATTTAATATTTGGCACATTTTCACAATCCTAATTGAAATGACAAATAAATTCACGTTTTATTCATATCGTTAAAACCAATTATTATACTCTTATATCACCAATTGATTAAGAATGCCCACTGGATGAGGTTTCATAGATTGCCAAGCTTTAGACAAACTCGTGCACACAAATGGCGAAAGTTCTATAAGAATAAAATTAGTAGTAATATTTGCAATACAAACAGCTGTTGTGTTAGCATGTGTAATTACGAATGTGTGTACTCGTGTGTGTACACGAACCTGATAACTTTTTGTGAACATCATTTTCTTTTATGTACGATAGTTGAGCTGGAGATAGATCGGGAATTTTCCATATATTCACAGCGCCTTCCGAATCGCCTCTAATCAATATCTTGCCGTGCTGATGAGACTCGTAAAATCGTATAGCCGGAGAACAATAAAGGTGCTGTTCGTCAGTAAAAACATAATAATATCTTAGTTAAAATCAACTCAATAATAATAATAATAATAATAACCAAAAAATTACCTTGTTGTTTGATGGAACCGACAACACACTGTACAAGTAAGGATTATCGCCTTCTTCAGCTTGCTTATGGAAGTTTTTATTATCAACTATACTACTGCAAATATAACGGGGGGGGGAAACACAAATGTTAAATCACTACGACAAAAATACATACAGTATAAAATATAATTTTTTACTTTGCAGGAAGTTTGTACAAATATCCTTTTCCATCGTCGGTCCAAATAAGTACTCGATCGGGTGCTAAAAATTCTCCTCCAAGCCAACGCTCGCCCCGTGGTGCGTACACTGTGCATAAAGCCGAAAAATCACCTGCATCGTATATCTACAAATAAAAATAATTAATTCACGTTATATTTACATAATTCACATTGAACAATAATAACAATAATGTCATATCGTCGTCAATTTATTTATTAACTATAAATAAACTTTTAAATAAAAATATATGATTTTTAAGTCTCGTGTTCACGTATACATAACATATACCATTTAACAATAGAATTATATACCAATTGTAGAATTACATATTACTATACCAAGGACATTTTTCAATGATTTAAGCCAATAGTAGATTACTAGAAACAGCAGACTTATGAATGGTCATAATTAAATTTGACTTGAAATGTTTGACATAACAACACATTAACATTAACGACCCCTATGAGGCTAGGTTAGGCTCGTGGCTCGTATAAAAGATAATGCGCAAATATTGAGAACAACACTGACCTGCCAACACTTTGAGCAAACAATCAATACGGTTCTTTGATGTTGAGTACAACAAGCCATTGTCAAAGCGTTCAAACATCTTATCTGTTTACTTTCGTTTTCATACACGGGAGGGTCTGTCGGTCCATAATCACGCTGCTCCAAAGTCCATACTTTTACCGTGCCAGTCGTCGTTAAGCCCAAAACGACATCATCTGAATTTTAATTTTTATCAAAATAAACAAAATATATATATTAAAAATACAAATGAAACATAAATTGTGTGCTAATACTTTGATTAAAACACACTAGTTATTTTGTTCAAATGTGAACATCACCTTTACATGTATGTGGTTTCAACACGTATAAAGCACTAATCCAATCTGGGTTGACGCGCGATGACAACGAAAATATTATTTCCAAAGTAAATGGATTCATAATTATCACTTCGGCGTAATAACCGTTGCAAAACAATCGAACATCCTCGGTCCCGACCATACGATAAGCCTATTTTCAATATTAATAAGCAGATAAGTTTTAAAAACCGTATTGTACATATATATATATATGCTTAAAAAGACATTGTTAACTGACCTGAATATTTGTATGGATGTATAACGATTTGGTGACTTCTCTACATTTTCCATCGACTATATCCCAAGTGCTCATTTCCCTAATATCAATTACACAATGGATTATACATAACACTCAACTAGGACTGATTATAAATATTTAAATTAGTAAAGGTTAAATGATGACAAAATAAATAGGTACGTTTAAGTGTACGTAAGCGCCGTCAAATTTCATACTTAAGGTAATGAATTAATTTCCCACACAATGCAAAACATAAATATTGGCTACTCCCACCTCCTATAACACAATCCCGTTTTTATATAGCCGAACTTAAGTGATTTTTATTCAAACGACGAATAATAATTTGTAATAAATATTTTGAACTGTATTTATTAATGTTTTATTTAAATAATAATTCTCTAGTTCTGGGGGGTAAGAAATTAAAAAAAAGTAATAACCTTCTATAAAAACCTATTTATAATTTTTTTTAAATATCTTAAGTTATGAAAAAAAAAGGTCAATAAAAAAAAACAAATAGATTCCACAAAAAAAAAATTTATATATTATGACTGACTTTATATAATTGGTCGTCTTACGGTTTATGGTTTTGTGATTTTATTTTAAAACCATGATAAATAACATACCCATTTTCAGAAGAGCTCACAAAAAATCCATTGTCTGCAATGATACTGGCATATGTAAGACACAAAACTGGTGCGGTATGTCCAACGAGTAAACATCTGGGTACCATCTACAAAATAATTAAACGGTAATTTTTGATGTAAAAAAAAACATTTGGCGCTTGAATAATACAGTTGGCAGTTAGTTGTCGAGGTACACTAACCTTTAATGTTTCCGGTGACACGGACCAAAGGCATATTTGTCCGTCGTAACAACCGGTGACGAGTGTACGTTGATCGGGAGATAAATACACACAAGAAATGCAATGTGTCAAGGGCGTCTTACCCCAGAGTACTATGGGAACGACTAAACTAGTTCCACCCGCCATTCTGATGTTGTGTCTTACTGTGAAACAACAATTTTAACAAATTTTATTCAATTACTAAATTTTGTAGGGGAAAAAATGGGATAATCGATGTACACGCTCAAAACCAATGTGTGTATTGTATACAATATATTCACATTTTTCTTAAACATTAATACGATCATAGCGATTATGGCACAAAAAAATTGTATAGTAATATTGTTTTACAAACACAAACATTTTGTTACAACAAAATGTTTTTTGCAAATTGAGTGTTCTCAAAAATATGCCGTTGCCACTCGGCAAGGCGGTTCCCATTAATATGTAACACTTAATATTCAAAATACTTTATATTCAACACTTTAACGGTGCACGGTAGACGTGCATTTTTTCTACAAGGGTGTGTGTGTTTTTTTTTTTTTTACCTGATTCTTAATGTTTATAATAAGTGATTGTCACTGCAGCCGCGGTCGAGTGTTCATCATTTTCACAACAAACGGCTATCTTCTCGGCGTCCAAACAACGGAAACGATTATCTAGTACGCTGCTGTAAATCGTGAAGCTCATCGATTTCAATTCCGTTCGTCTACCGCCCCGACAATAGTAAAACAATTATTGTTATTATGTACGTAATAATATCAAATATGTGTTACGCGAATGACGAAAAAAAAATAACATTAATTTATATCACTCGACAGGCGTGAGCTGCCTGCGGAGTGCGGACTGCGGGTCACTGGGCTACAGCGCTGCGCGTTGATGATAACACCAGCGATCGATAACGTTATCATTGTTATATGTTGAGCGGCCACTGTGATAACAGCTGATGAGCCCAAACCATAAAGTACCGCGAATAAACCGTACAGGTATGTCGGCAACCCGTGATAACGGCAAAACGGCCGCCGGTCGTCTCGGGCGGCCGTGCATTCCTTACGGGAAAACACCGCCGTCCGTATTGTAAAAATTGATAACACGAGTTGCTGACATACCTATTTATTTTGTCACATGAGTCACGATGACGTGCACGTTTATTAAACGCGATGCCTACCGAACACCCAATATAACATTTATTAATTAGTAATCGATGGCCAAATGCTTATTGCCTACATAAGGTACTTTGTTTAAATGGGGGAGTAGACGACAAGAGCGGCAACTGAATGTATATAGTATTAAAGTTGGTCTTAATTGTCGCAGTCAATGGTTCATTGAGAGACGAAAAAAAAACACATATTATTATTTTTACAAAAGACCACGGGGATAAGGAATTAATGTAACCAAAATGAGTGTCGCTTAGCAACAAGGATGTGTGCGCTAGAACACACACACACACACATACCGTACCTATACGAAATGTGAATGAAAAACTATATTATAGTTTTTCTTTAGTTATAAGTTACCTACTATAACTAAACGTACCTACACACCAATTGTACATATTGTTGGCAGTATAATTATAAAAATTAAAAAACGCAGTTTACCATTTTCATCATAATCGATATTGTATTATAATACATTATTGTTGACATACATAGCGGTAACATAGTTTTTATATGTTGTTTTCACAACCAAACTCGAAGATTTCAAGAGTCACCACGGCCGCCATGAATCTGTTTGAAGAGTGGGAAGATCAAGAAATTCAATTCGATTTAAGTATTAAGTACGTCATTGATGTTTTTTCAACAAAATAATTAATAGTTTCATTTCACTTTAAAAAAAAAAAAACCAGGCTCTTACTGTGCCTACTATGTATACAACATTTAAGTGTTAGAAAACGTTTAGGTACATTTTTGAGAAAATATATAAGTGTGTATAAATCAAAGTTTATGCTAAGAGTATACGGTGAAGGGGCTTACCTTGGCTCAGACAGCAAACAATTTAAATATGTTTAAAATGTTATCGCGATATACATATTGTAACATTATAAAATTATTAAAGTTGTGTCCGGGATTGTTATTTACAAAAAAAATGATCTGGTATAATAATGGTATGATGACGCTAATTCCACATAGACCTTAGCCCAAAAACATATCCATGAAAATAATGTCAAAATAATTAGGTATCATGTTGCTGGTAGTATTTCTTAAATATTTTAAATAGGTACATATATTATTATGGAAACATTTGCATCCACACAATATTTAAACAACATTTTGTAAATACTATTTTTGAAACGTTAAAAAACTGGACCAAAAACTGTTTAGAAAATATTTCAATTTTTTGCAATCTGGAGGATAGTCCTTTAAAGTTTTAGGCCCTCTATAGATTACTCGAAAGTTAGATGAATTACAATTTAAATGTATTTTATACATTTAATACACTCGACGCAATGTTCCGTATTTGGAACAATTCAAAATTCGGGGTTTTCCGCAAAATTAAAACGGAAACATTTTTTTTTTCTTCATTTTTTTAAGTAGTATTAGGTACATTTAAAGCGTATATATTTTTTTCGAACAAAAAAAAAATCACGCAGTGAAGGGAATGGGCAAATAAAACTTTTTAATTAATTTTACAAATCGTTTAATATATTTCTTGTCAAAAAAAAAAAAAATACATATTAAACACAGTCCAAGCGATATTTTTTTTCAAAATACAAATGTGTTTTCCAGTCGTGGTTATTTTTTGAGTTTTCAATTTGTGTTTATGGCTTTAAAGAAAATTCTGCAATTAAATAATATTTTGTATACCTGCCACCTACTCCACATGAATTTTCAATTTTATTTTAAATAATTCGGTATTATCAATGCAATTGTGTGTAGGTACACAGGATTCCATGTATCACATTTATCATTGACGATGATTAATGTTTATAATAATTGTACCCTTTAAGTAAGATTTTTTTATCTATAAGACTTGTATAATCGTGGCCATTTATGTAGTCCAATTGCCAAGTATTCCAAGTATTACTTTGTGTTTGTATACAACACTCTGCGTACGTGGTGTTTCATGTGATGTAAATGGATTAGGCCGGATCTTAGGTTGATCAAAAAGTAGGTGTTTTCAAAAAGAAAGAATAACCAATAACAAATTAAAGACTAAAATAAATTGTAGATTTTTATTATTAAACTTATACTATTAAAATAAAACTTAACTTTTAAGAGTTTCTGTAACAATAAGAGGTTCTGCTTGAATGAACTACTGAATACCGACTACTCAATGGGCGATTTTCTCGTGTGAACGGATGGTTCCGGACACCCGACACCTGAGTTTCGACATAGCTCAATCGCATATTAATACTAATACTATTATAATACATCGAACATTCCTAACTATTAAGCAATATGCTATACTACACATGGCATTTGTCGTGATATTTTAATAGTGGAGAAAAATCGAAAATATATTATAATTAATCTCGTTGTACCGTCGTTTAAAGTAAAGCGTTGAAAATGAGAAACGGCGAGAAGATAATCGACCGACTGGAGTTCATCGAGGACACCAAAGGCAACGGCGGCGATAAAGGAGTTTTGGTCATAACGAACCTGCGGGCTATATGGCATTCAATGAGCATTGCCAGGATAAGCTTGTGTGAGACATAATATTGAAAATTATCGTTGACTTTTTTGCATTACAGTAGATATTTTTTTTTTTTTTTTGAAAAGTACAACAATAATTATTTATAGTAAAACGTCTTGTTCTGATTGCGCCAACAGCAATAGGTTACAACTGCATCCAAGACATTTCGACAAGAATCGTCAACTCTGTAAGTGGAATAACTTGAAAGTCACTATCGAATCACAAATAATATTATGCGCGTGTCACGTGCCATGTGTGTTTTTGAAATTTTCCCAAAGAGACTGAAAGGCACCACTGAAGCTATTTACATTCAAGCCAAGTACAATGGACTGAGATACGAATTCGTGTTCACCAATTTGATACCCGGAAACACGAGGCACTTTACCTCTTTCATCGGTGTGTACAAGTAAGGATTGGAAATCAAGTACAGTACCGTACTTAGGGCAAAACAAAGCAAGTATCACAAATACTTATTGTTAATAAAAAAAACATGCATTTCTTCAACTCGTCAATAAAATTTCGACAATGTAAACTGTAATGAGTAAGCCCATTTTTTATATAGATAGATAGATGTATAAATGAATGTCGCTGTTTGTCTGTATGTCCTTTATGCATTAGTACACACCACCATTCATCCGATCGCCCAAGGAACTTTGGGAAGTTGTTGAGTACAACACTCCCGCGCGAACATAACTGGCATAGTATTTTTCGAAAATTCCAAGACGGGGTATGCTAAAGCTTGACAATATACAGCATGGAGAACTGACATTTTTTTTAATCTTACTTGTGTAATTATTTTACTCGGCTCCAACTCAAACTAAAGCTCGGGCAACGCCGGGTCGGCGGGACAGCAGCTCGTTACTTAATAAAAAATACATTGTCAAATTGCAGTGTTACCAGCGATTGTTTATTTAAATTATCGCTGGCTCTAGTAATTTTGACATTATTACGTCTTTGCTTTGGCACACACCCGGAAAAATCGACAGCGTTACCAAAAAAAAAAAAAAAACCTAACGAAAATTTATCCTCATATATCCTTTACAGATAACTCCCGTACTAAAGTTCATCCGGCAAAAAATTCCGGCAGATTCGCGTAATCAGCATTAAAAGTACTATCGATTAAGTAAATCGAAAAAAAATTGGGGGCCCGGTAAACTAGATTTTTAACAAATTTTAATTCAGTTCGTGTAAATTTATGCTGAACATAATATCTGTTCACCTTAACTGCACGCATGTACAGTTAAAATAATAACTTGGGTATGCCAATTCAATTTGCTTTCAGGGCTTACAATACGAGTAGACTGTACAGAGAGTTGAAACTGCGCGGTGCCATAATGAGGAACGGCCGGTTGAAGTTATTGATGTTGGAAAAAATGTATTCGACAATCAACGGAGTGTGGAATCTGTCCAGCGAACAAGTAGCTACCTACCACATATTAATCGTACAATTATTATTATTGCTGCATAGTAATATTTGAATCACATGACATAATAAAAATGACGCATATGCGCACGTTTTTCAGTTAACACCGCTCCAAGAATAACACAGCGTATAGGTTACATATTATTGTTATATGGTATAATATGTAACCAGCTAGATGAACCCTTTTTTAAAATTTTTTTTTTTTTTTTAGGGTAACCTGGGAGCGTTTATAATAACCAACGTGCGGCTGGTGTGGTACGCCGAAAGCAACGAGACGTTCAACTTGTCTCTGCCGTACATTCACATAAGTTCGGTGAGCGCCAACGACACGTTGTTAATATACCGTTTGAAATAATTAATACAACAACAACAGCCAAGTCACACATTATGTATGATGTTAATTGGAGTCAATCGCTCGCAGGTGAAAATCAGAGAGTCCAAGTTCGGCGAAGTTTTGGTAATCGAGACTTCCGGCCACAGCGGAGGGTTCATGTTGGGTTTCCGGATAGATCCCAAGGACCGGCTTAAAACGGTCACCAAAGAACTTTCGTCCCTGGCTCGCATTCACATCCAAGCCCCCGAATTCGGCGTACACTTTGTTACCGCCGACCAGGTAGGTGGGGGGGGGGTGGGGCACTATTATAGTAATAATATAACCCATAGTATATAATATAAAGGCGCTTATAGCTGCCATAGACATAGGTACCTCCTATTACAAAAGTGTTACACTGAAGTCTGAATTTCAGCTGCAAGTACCGTCGCCGACTTATACTATATATGCTGTTGTTAATAATGCTACTACACACTGTCGGGGGGGGACTGGGCGGGCCGTGGTTGATTTTGGTTTTTTTAATTCTTACAGGCAGAACACGAGCACGAACTACGGGTTGCCACGCCGACGGTTCTGAACTGTTGCGACGAATTTCAAGATGAAAACGATATTGGCGTGTCGAACACACTGGCTTCGTACAGTGTCAGCAGATCCGGCAAGGGCGACGGTCCGCCCAAGTACGATCCGACGCTGGGACTGGCCGTTGAAACGCTGCCGGAAGGTTATACTCTGTCTTCGCTGTGGGAGGTCATACCGACCACCAGCAGCGGCGGCGGCGGCGGCGGTGGCTATGAATAACAATTATGAACAACTGCTACATCATGGGTGGACATTGTCGAAAACAAATGACCCATCACACAATAAGACAATATTACTTAGTAATATTGAAATAATTATTTTATATTATTTTTTCCATGTCCACGATAAGTGTGTAACTATATTATTTTTGGAACTCATTTGAAAACACCATTATTATTAATCACTTTGAATATTTCCAATAATAAAACATATGATATTATTATACGCTAAAATATATCATATATTATTATTATGTAATATTTAAATGAAAAAGGTAAAAATCGATAATTCAATGGATTGACAATAATTTTACACGTAATAAATAAAATATATGTACCTAATACACACAATAAATTATTGTACTAAATAAAATGTTTTCAATTAAATAGAATAGAACAGCTCTACAGCTCCACTCAAGAGATTGAGCAATCCACGCTGGCTCCTAACGTCGTTTCCAGAATCGACGTGATAGCTCTGATTATGTAGGACATGGTGCCGTAGCTTCCGCTAGGAGCACTATCGTAGAAATGTTGACAAATATAAGCAGCGCCGCCGCACAACAACGTGCCGGTATCGGTCAATTCTTTGTGGGTTTTCGCACAGCATAATGTCGCGTCCCCATTGATGGCCATCTGAAACGATAAAGTATAATAATAATAAACAACAATAAAAATCCAACAAATTCGGTTCATAGAGAACATAACGTAAAGACGACAGTGTACTATGTACGCTATACAATGTATACTATGTACACTATACAATGTATACTATGTACTATAACTATGTGTATTATATGTCTATTGTATAGTACTATGTGTACTATACAACAATAATGATTTTTAGCCTATCAAAATTAAAACGTTCATATATAAGTAAGAAATTATCAACATTTTTTTATTTTAATTAAATCTTAATGCTCAAAACGTTAATAATAATACAGAATATTATTATAATAATTACCAAATTCATTTTTCCCATTATTATAAAATTAAATTTCCATTAAAAATGTTTGGATGTATTTTTTTTAATGAATTTAAATAAAATGTTCTAAACTGTTCATGTGTATACTATATATAGTATATTCAATAAAAAATGTATTTCATGACGAATTTAGTTGTACAGTTTCTCGTAACGTTAGTCTCCAAGAACTTTAGAGCTGTTATTACTACTCTCTAAAGTAAGCCACTTGCACACGTAAATCTTATCTATATTGCCTCAGACCTTACTTGATCTTGGAGAAACAAATCGTTAGCTTTGTGAACAAAGTCCTCGATAGTGATGATGCCGCACGGGCTCGGCGAAATTTCGTGTTCGGCGTACAATGTGAAAATCATTAACGTCTCCACGATCAATTGTCGATACTCGGGGTACGGGATCCAATTGAGCACGGTTTCCACGGCCAAAGCAAACTTCAATTCGCCCGAAGTCATCTACAAAACAAGTAAAAAAATAACATATTACACTTTACAATGAACAACCACCTATCTGCTGCCAGTTCTTCATCTTGGCCCACAACCGACATTCGGCTAACGTCTCCTCTAAACCATAGAGTTTTTAAAACTCATTTATTATCAAACTACAACACTGTTTTGGACGTTTCAAACGTTTTTATTCTTTTATTTTTATCACTAATCTCCCATTGCACTCTTCAAGCTGTTATCGCTATGTATACACCAAACTCATTTATATCGGCCGAGGCCTGACCAAAAGCTGATGAGCTAGACAAATTGTTAAAAAAATATTTCAAACGATTTACTTCTTGCGTTAGATTTTGTGATAGCAGTTTTCCGTCAATCGCTATTCCGCTGCACTAATATTGGAGAAACAAGAAAAAAATATTTGTATTACTTCGACTATTATTTTATTTATTAGCTATTAGCGGCGGAACCGATCTAAAAATAGATTGTACTTTTTCTAGAATGATCCAAACGCGTTTGTAAAACTCTCCGGGCACTCTGTTCAGCGCTCCGTCCAATCGCCTTCGGCGCAACCATTGTCCTTGCCTGTCACGTTCAAACTCTTCGGTTAAGGGTTCAGCTTTGTCGACCAACAGCAGACCTATTGTGCTTTTCTGAAAAACAACACACAGCACTTATCAACTTGTGATGGCCAACACTCTAGCAAATAATTTCCACCAATGTGTGTGCAATGCAAACCGCCGAACCTTGCTGACGTGACTGGATTTGTGGCTTATGACCGAAAAGTTTCCACGGCCAACTAAAACGACAACACGATACGAAAAACACAATTAGATGGATTGTGTTTTAATGGATTGTTTTAAATTGATTGTGTTTTAATGGATTGTTTTAAATTGATTGTGTTTTAATGGATTGTTTTAAATTGATTGTGTTTTTTTTTTTTTTTACAAATATCAACTACTAACCGCTACTTAAAATAAATTCCTTTCCGCTCATGATGTGATGTAAAAGGTTTTTCATTTCAAACGGAGACAAATTGAACAGGTGTTCCGAGCCTTCTTCGCCTGAACAGTTGAGCGTTCGTGACAACTCACCGGCCATCACCTGAATGATCAGTCCAACGCGAAGTCTGAGCATTTCCGAAAACAATTGCGGTTCGGTCCGAACAAACATGGCCAAATAAACTAACAGCTCCTTTAAACAAAAAAAAAAACACGTGAATCGCGTCAGTGCCCTAAAAACTACTAATTATTGCCAGCAAAAATCGCGGGGCAAGAGAAATGAGAGGGGGTGACAGGCACCATTAAAAAAAAAAAATCAATCTAAGGTGGTCATATTATTAGTTTTGTAGCCATAAAACATCGTTTAAATGGAAAAACTCAAAAGTTTATTTATTGTACTCGCGTCGTGTCAAATCATTGTCCAACACAATTCACCTTCCAAACAATTGGATATTTATAAATAAAAAAATGTGCCTCGATCACACAACCCAATTTACTACTAGCCTTAAATTATCGGATACCTGTGTCAACATAGCTGTACTTTCATCGTCACCATACGCATCGTGAATCACTTGACGCAGTTCTGCTTCGGGTAGAGGAGTAGATATAGTGTGCTCGTTGAATGGCGGCATACCAATAGTTACCTTTGAAAAAAAAAAAAATACATATACCTGTGTAGACAAAATTGGCAAAAGTATTCCGTGTATTTAGCATATAAATATACTATTTGGGGCATAAATATTGACATTCCATTACTTGTTTCTGACGAACTAAGAGATCGGTAAGGGCTTTTGCTAAATCTTCAACTCGCTTTCCCAACATACCGGCCGTATGTCTGACAAGTCCCCAAAGATTTTGTTGACAAGCTTTCTCGTAAAGTAATTTCAGCAAGTCTTTGATCAACACTGGTTTTCCGTCTTCCTTAAGACCTGTACAAGAGAGTATTTAAATCAAAAGTATTTTATAAAATATTAAATATAAATTATATTTAATAACGTTATAGGCAAAACTATTATGCTCCATAATAATGGCCTCTTACAAATATATATATATAGTGTAATAACCAATATATATATATATATATATATATTGTATATCTCAATAATCAATAGTAAATCAATCTTCATTAAAATGCATACCTGTATCATATTCTAGACCATAAGTATCAACCAAGTATTGTAGGATATCACCTTTTTCTTCCAGAAGATCTGATTCGGTTAACATTGCTAAAATACCATCCAATTCAGCATCGGCGTACAAGCGTTCTGAGCTGCCCCTAAAATAATTTAAATTGCTTAAATAAATAATTGCTAGACTATAAGGGGTATGGATATAAATTTAAAAAAAAAAAAAACCATAGCTAAATAAAAGTTTAAAAGTCTACCATCATTACGGCTGTAAAATATATTAGGTGATTTTTCTCCGCAATTCCACAGTTTCATCATAAACTACATAAAGTGCCATAAGAGCATTTGGATCAACTCACAATCAATTATTGTTGAAATAATAATTAATATTTTATACACTAAGAAGTATGTCGCAAATATAAAAAATATGTTGTTTATCTTAATAAATAATAATCTCTGTTAAAATAATAATTATCTCTGTTGTTAATACTTAGTTAGTAAACAGGAAATTGTATTAGAAAAATAAAATTGTTTTTTTTTTGTAAACACTCGTGCAGTTGCGTATGACGCGTGTCAACCTTGTGGCTTATACAGGGTTGTTTGTAAGAGCTCAGGGGCTCATTGTATCTGGAACGTTTTTATGTATAAAGTGTGTGTGTATGTATTATTGTTACAATGTTTTATTCTGTATTCCATGTGTAATATTATCTATTATTGTAATTACTCTAAATGTGTTTGACACAATAGTAGTGTGTTTAATCGTGTATTTATTCGTGTTGTATTATTTTTCAAATACTATTTCCACTGGCGTTCACTCTAATACTATATATGTAGTTTTATGTTTAAAATATATGTAATAATATGTAGTACTATGTTTTAATATTGCCCAACAACAGTAATTAAAAAAAAAAAAAATGTTTAATTACTTAAAGCGGTTGTGCAGGCGATGGTGGTCTCTTTTGGTAGCCTTGACCAAATTCAATTCTGGAGAAGGACTTTTTTGTTCCAATAAATTTGTCGCCACCTGAGTTTCAGCCACTTGAACGCGTCTCTCTTCGGCTGAAAAACATATATATATATATATATTTAATTAAAAAAATAACCACCGCTAAAAGGTTGCCGTTACGGCAGTATATAAACAAAAACAAGCCAGATAATACGTAATATTGTAATACGTCAGAAACTTTTTTTTCATTTTTACCATCCAACATGAAGGATCTAGTTTTTTTTATAGCTCCTTTGACGGACATTTTTCTTTTGATTTTGGGTATATTTCTGGGCTTTCGCGTTAACAGAGTGGACTGATTCGATAAACTCTTGACGATATGTTGTTCCAAATACTGTTCAACTTGAGTGTTTAGTTCTAAATTGAAAAAAAAAAATAAATAAAAAATTGCAATCCAACGACGACGACGTCAGGACGAAAATCAGGGCTATACTAACTGTTGGGCATGCCCAGTTCTTGGCTGCCCAAGAAGCTCAGATTGGTAATACACGATGTGCTTAGAAAATCGTTGAGATTTCCCAGAGTCACTCTAGAGGAGAAAAACATATGAATATTAGAAATATGTAAAATTCAAACTCGAGTCAATACCTAAATAACACTCAAGTACAATAATACCTAGTTCCATTTATGTATCCGCTCTTGAGTTTTTTTATAGTAGTTATCATGGATAACGGTATCTTACCTTGATCTATAAGCAAAAAAATAATATTTAAACAACAGACAACACTAATGAGAACTATATAGAGAACACTAGATGTGTTATGGCAAAATGAAAAAATATTATTTTACATAAATTAAATCATGCATAATAAAAATTAAAAAAAAAGTGCAATATTTATGTGACACACGTTAACAACAACTTTGTCGAACAGCAGCAATATAGAACCCAAATACTGAGAGCATAGCTATTTTTTTTGTTCTTGAACTGGTCTCTTCACAGTTGTGCTTTTGTGTGTAGAGTAAAAAAAAAAAAAACAATTGTCTTACCTACGAAATTGGATGAGGCAATAATAGTATACGTGGGACGACCTAACATGTGCTTCCAACTCATTGTTAAAAAAGCAAGATCCATCATGATATTGTTCGCTAACAGTTCGATATCGTTGCCCACATAATATTGATCCAGGTCAAGTGTCTACTGGAAAATATACTTATTGCTGAATTCATTTTACTTTGACAATGTTGTTATTTATTTTAGCGACAACAGTGAATATATTTCTTATCGGTAGGTGTAAAATAAGTAATACAAATATGGTATGACGACGTATGTCTAGAAAATAATATGTATTTTTATGTTGTTTTTTTTTTTATGAAAGACTTCTTGAGTTGTACATGTTTATATATTAAATAGAATTATTATATTAGCTCAATTCTGGGTTTAAGATGGGATATATTATTTGATATTGTAGTAATTATAATTATTTAAAATGCCAAATTTGTAATCAACTATTTCGTTCATATAAATAATTGCACAGGCCAATGCAGAATAATAAGCCTGATAGCTTATCTAAAAACGAATATAGTGATGTTAGTTTAAAAGAAAAACAATCGTTATGATTAAATCTAAATTAACAAATTGGTACAATCACATCAAACAATTTTTTTTTTAAATAAATACCAAGACTCGGCTTTTTTAAGACGAGTACAACTGTCGGGCGACCTAATATGTTGTGCCAGTTGGATTTTAAAAAGTTTATTTCATTTTTAAACAAGTCAATCATCAGGTTGTCGTCCGACGCTATATAATAACGGTGACGATCTGTAAGCTATAAAAATATATATTTTATTACTGAAACCCTTTATAATTGATAGTTGAAAAAAAAATTGTGAACATAATATTTTACAATTTTAATGTTATACACCAATAGAACAATAAGAGTAAGTAAGTATTTAAATTTTAAACATAACATTTGTTGTATTAAGAATCCTATTTTACTTTTTTTACCTTAAACATAATGTTTTTGATAACATTTTTGTGACAATGAATTTATTTGAATGATAAATTATATAAAATAACAGCTTGAGCGTGCCTTGTAAAAAATAAATTTAAAAAACACTCCAAAAATGCATTTAAATAAAATGTTTTTAAACACCAAAAAGAAGCCTAAAATCTTTCCATTGTAAAAATAAAAAAATTATTGCTGTTATAATAAACTTGGATGGTATACTTTTGTACGTCAGACTGTCTTTTCACTGGTAGTGTCACAAAACTATACGCGCTGCAATATCACCCTACACTGTGATTTGGGTATGCGCTCCAATCAAAGAGTGGGCGATAATTATTTTTAATGCGGGCGATATTACCACGTGAAATTACCGCTAAACGGAATGAATGTACGCTAGGCCGATGGTTTGTTCACATTTGGATTAGAGCGTATCGGACTCACATGAAACAAGGTTGGTGGTTATGTCGCCTACGAAACTCTCACGATAATAAAAATTGTACAGCCGGCGGCAATGACTCTATGATAGTTTAATCGATTATAGCCCTCCTATTTTGTAAGACAAATCTGTATTTTTTCAAAATGTATGCCAACAATTATGCAATATAATAATAACTTAAAAATTACATAATAACTATGTATCTGATATACATGAAAATAAAAAAAATAAAACCATTTTTATAGTGAAAATATTGAAAAGAAATGCATTTATGCATTTATTAAGAATCCTATTTTTTTTAGTTTTTAGCTTTAACAACATAATGTTTGATAGCATTTTAGTGACAGTGAATTTTGTTTGAATAGTAAATTATAAAATATAACAGCTAAAACATCATGCGCCTTGTAAAATAAATTTTGAAAAACACTCCAAAAATGCGTTTAAATAAATGTTTTTTTAAACACTAAAAAGAAGCCTAAAATCTTTTCATTGTAAAAATAAAAAATTTTAAAAGCAAAAACATAAAATAACTTTTTCCCAAAACCCATTTTTATGGTATGGCAAACTTTTAAGTGGTAGCAATAGTGGTTTGCTATAAATTGTTCACATTATACATCTGATTTTAAATTTCATCATATTCTATTTATTTATCCTACTACCACATATTTTGTTACTGAACAGAATATTTTTGATAAACGTATTAATTTAACCCCGTACCTGTGGTGTGAATGCAAATATACGATCTTGCAAAGAATACAGTTTGCTGGTACTGAGAATACCCACATCTCGAGATTTACGACCGGATAACTTGAGCTTCTCGTTACGACCTAAAGGGAAAAAAAAATGAAAGTTCAGAAAACTTGCTTGGACAACAAACAAGAGATATCGGACTACATTTTCTAAATTATTAATAAAAATGTGTTGTACGTCCTTTGGTACAGCAGTTTTGAAAAAAAAAAAAAAAAACAAAGTAATAACATTATGACGATACTACTACATACCTAAATAAGTGTAAAGATGACTGAGTACGGTCGACGGTTGAACTTCAATAGGGGAAACTTCGCTGATTGTTTGCACAACAATGTCGTGTTGAAGTAGTAAATCACGAATTGAAGTGCCTTCGGCCAGCACTACCACTTGAACAACAACATCGGGCTTTTTTTCCAAACAAAGCCTGCGATTTAACGGATCCAACTCGCCGACTGCTAAAAAGTTCTTTACACACATTTGATACATAAATTAGCACAAGTGTCTGTTTATATGTTTCTCATTAACAACACACAGAAGTAAACGATAACAATAACAATAATAATAATTTACCTCCTGTAACAGTTTCCCTAATATGTACAGCGACTGGGCCCACAAAAACGGACACCGTCCGAGCGCAACACGTTTTTGGCTACCCGGGTATTCAAATTCCGCCTGTATGTTTTCATTTTCTATTGCATACAACTCTGGAACTAATTTTATGTTATCTTCCGAAGTGATCATAACCTGAAATTAAAAAATTTTAAATTCTTAAATGAATAATAATATTGATAAAACATTAATGGGCGCGCGCAGGGGGAAAAAACCGAAAAAGTTAATTTTTTCTGTAATCTAAGAAACACCACGTGTTTGAAAACTATGCACACCAACACAAATTTAATGACATCTAAATCAATATTTTTGGAAATTATGAAAGTGACTTTTCACACTGGCTTTTTCACCCTACAGCAGGGAATACAATACTTCACAACTGAAGTATCGTAAAATAACATTAACTAGGCAGATTAAAAAAGGTCAATTTTAAGATATTATTTTTTGTGTTTTTCACATTTTTTTACAAGTAGAAAATTCAACATAAATTGGCTGTGGCATATTAGTGGCATCATTGCTCGTCAACGATTTTGCAATTGCGACAGCAGTTGCATAGCATACAATTTTTATTAAATTTAAAAAAATATGACTAAAATCACTTGTAACGTGTTTTATTAATTTAATAAAAGTATTTTGAAAACTTGGTTTGATATAAATAAGAATCTGTTTAGTAGAACATTTGGTAAAAGTTTAGTAACGGAGAAGTATTTTTTACTAGGAGCTGTAGAAATTGAATTTTGTAAAATTTTGTATTTTAGAACTATACAAAAAATATTTTTTTACTCAAGTTCTAAAAGCTATTTGTAATAATATGTATCCATTATCAAATGTTCTATGTACATATAAGTGCTGTACAAATTTCAAAATGTTTAGTTCAAACCCTAAAAAGTTATAGGCTCATAAATATAGCACTTTTTAGTAAAATTCCCAACTTTAGAGTTCAATTTATACATCATGAAAAAAAAAAATTATGAATCACAAAAGTGTATAGTTTGTTGATGTATCAGAATAAAACAAATTTACACTATTTACACAACTTGCGGATACTCCCACCACTTGGCAGACAAGTCAATCTACGCTCAGACGAGACAATCCGCGAGTCGTGTAAATAATGTAAACACAATAACCCACTCTAAAGTATTAATAAATGTTTAAAAAAAATTTGTTTTGAAACTTTCAACTTGAGTTAGTATAAAAATGTATACAAATTTGAATGTTTTTTAATTTTTTGCTACTTAAAAATTTGGAAAAAAAAATTTGTTTAAGGATATTATAAAATGGGAAAACTTAAATTGCAATTGTTCAGTGTAAGTTCCATTTCTATATCTTAATTAGTTATTAAGTAATGTGGTCGTGAACTTGTATATTGAACTCGTGTATACTCGTGTATATTAATTCGTGTATTCACAACAAATTTACAGAATATAGCCAGAGTTCAAACAAAAAAAAAAAAAAAATGTTTAATTTTTTTTCTTCACTTTTTCGATTTTATGGAACTATCTGCATGGCAAATACAAGTTTAGAAAATCTACTCGCCAACACATAAGGGGTGAGATTTGGCATGGAAAGACCCAGTGTGAAAAATCATAAGAAAAATCGGTTGTTTACTTGCATTAAATGCAGTTTTTAACGCTTTTTCAAAATATACCAGCAGCAGCAAATTGTTTCTTACTTTTTCTAAAGCGTCAACGTAGAAATTTGCAGTTTCCATATCGTTTTGAAAACAATAATCCAATATCAGATAGCAATAAAAAAGTGGCCATTCGCATTCGATTCTCTCGAACACTCTGAGTTCATGAGGATCATAATGAAGCCTACTCGGATCCTAGACATTGAAAAATTATTCATTAATAAAATATATAATAACATTAAATACATAATATATATATATATATATATATAAGTAATAACAAGTTCAAAAACTCTACTATCAACCGACTTCTCTCGGAGTTTTGTGGCCATCTCTCAAAAATCGCTTGCACCCATATTTGCCCATGAGTTTTGAAACAATCTCGTCCCGCGTAAGCTGTATAAGCTGTTGATCGTCAACAGAGAATGCTGGAAAACTAATAACAGACAACAGGCTACTATCCAACTCTTTTGAATTTGATTCTCTCGGTAACATCGACTACAAAAAAACATTTTAGTATCATACATTTGATACAATATTATTATAACACAATATAATTATATACCGAATTATTGAAATTTCACAAAAAAAAAATTATACAAATATATGACGTGTAACGTATTAAAAATACACCTATTCTTCACTAACTTGTAAAACTGCTTGACATTTTTGTGCTTCGTCCGACAATATGTGTATCACTGAAGACGGACCACCCCTGGCCCCAAATAAATCCAAATCGTTCATGGCTTCTAATGCTGCTTTGGCCATTCCTATGCTGCTCGCGTTCAATTCTGGAAGCCCGTGATTTGATTTGTCACCGCGCTCCCATATGCCGTAGTCCTAAATTAACCATATACACAAACATCTAAAATACATTTTCAAAAAACATTAACGTAATAAATACAAAACAAACCATCAACATACCGGCACACAATAAGCAGATTCAATGTAAAATACTAAATTTTGTATAAACGATACTTCGTCCAGATTAAATACAACTTGAAGACCTATATATATATATATTAATCAATTACACCACGTTACAAGGAAATTTTACTGTTAGCACTCGATAATTAAGTCGCCATTTTATTTTACCCGAAGCCGTCATCTGTGCCAATATCAATAAGTACAACGATATGGCGTCGATTTGTAAATGTCCCCATTCGTTATCACCGACCACAGTTTGTCCTGTCGCCGAACTATACTTGGCGTGTAGCGAATGCAACGGGTTTTGAGAAACCTTAAATTGTTCTACTTTTTCTTTCTGTTGCATCATGGCCATCAATAAGCCACGCATTAACTTCACACAACTCTGTGGGGGGGCAAAAACGAATTGTATTATTCACCACCAGCAAAATTGAGAAAACATAAATTCATTTAATTTGTAAAATTAATACCTAAAACGGGTTGGCACGGTAAGACTAACAAATCACATTTATTAACATACTTGTTCGAGTGCATAAGTTTTCGCACGATCTTCATCCATGTCGGCCATTTTTTTACACGCCATTGATAAACCCCACACGGCCAAGACTGTGTACACATTATCTCGAATCCACGCATCTGAATTTTCCGGACTAGCAGGAAACAACCCCGTGACAGGATTCTGTGTGAGAAAAACCATACACAATGTTAAAGTAGTAAAATAGAAACAATTTTAACGTATCCCCAACATTGACATAGGGAGTGTCTAAATACTAAAAAATTAATCCACTTTTTCGCGACTTTATAACTGTCAGTAAGGTCCGATTAAACGGAACTGAGGCCCGGGGGCCTTAAGCGTCACCACCTGGGACCTTTCCGGACAATATGAATTTTTACCGGATAAACTCAAAACGGAGACCAGGTACGGGGGGGGGGGGGCCATCCATAGTGTAAATATAGGCCTGCCTCTAATACATACACAAATGTAGACTCACTCGCGCACAGTTACATTATTCAAGTTAACACCATACTCGGCAAGAACGGGATGCTTTAGCTTTTGGCAGAGAAAGTATGCGCATGTACATACTTGATGGCACAATATAATGTTGTGGACCATTTTGTGATAGTAATCCAGACGGGTATTGGCGACGCTTCTATTGTTCATTATGGACATGTCGGCTGTAGAAACGATTGGCGAAAACTTGGCGGGCCTTAGGCCGATTTAACTCCAAACACTCGGCGCACTTGTACTTAGTGATAGATACGAATACTTTTTGTATAAACAATAAATAATTTCTTTGAAAAAAAAATATATTACAAATATTTTCTCTGACGTTTTTAAAACGCGTTTCTCGTTCGAACACACTTTTACATAATATTGTATTATCTCAGTGATTTACTTAATCGCCGCGGCTACAGCTAACAGCTAACAGCAGCATTACAGTTTGGCGGTCAACAGACAACATGAGCTATTCTATTGCGTCTATTTATATTTCCTCGGTGTTTTCTCCCTCCGTCGTTCGGCTATAGTTTATTATTGTTATATATGTATTTATATATTTTTATCATACCTACTATATACACCTACCTACCGCGACTCGAAAATGGCCCGGCTCCATAGTCCGCTATCTTATCTCATCACGTGTGCCGCAAACAGAAAACATGTGCAGAGTCCCGGCTACCTCCAGTCTGTTCGCCCGCCGCTGCTCGTTGCCAATGTACATGCTTCTGGCCGGCACACGACACACGTTAATATCATTATAATAGCCAAGCAATACCGTTCATAATTGATTATTTACTGTCGACGGCCAAAATTAAATGCAGTAGGTTATGCCTACTATAATATAATGGGTGGCAAATGTACTGATTGATTGCTAGTGAGTAAATAGTTGTCAGTTGTCTATCTGAAATTTGCACAGAAAGATCAATAATGTGTTACTACAGACTGTATAATATAGCATATGACTCATAACTGGCCATTTACGATCTGTCAACGGCTACAACGTGTGCCAAAGCCGACTTAATTGCCGGTATTGTGTCATAAAACACAAATGCGTACGTGACTAACATTACACACGGTATACAAACAATAGTTAAAAAATGAAATACAATTTTACTTGTCAACAGACAACAACACAAAATATTATAATTATTGCTTCTGAACAATACCTGGGTAAAAAATAGCAGGTAGACAGTGGGGGGGGGGGGCTGTGAATAAACTATTATATTAATTATGTGTAACTAAAGTAAACAATAAAAACGTTTATAAATGGAATTTAAATTGATAAAATTTGAATTCGGCGATAACGCAGGACTAATGAACTGACCACGCCTTATCTTATTTTCATAGGTAATGTATACCTATATTAATAAATAAAAGTTATGTAATCTACGGTTGCATAATAGTAATATGGTTCATAAATCGCATATTATCTGCGTCATACTTTGTGTAACTTGAAACTGTAAAAAATATCCCAAGAATAAATTGAAAAACGACATTAGGTGCGTTGAACTCAATATTATAATATTATCCCTTCAGTGCCCATTGTAGCAGAAATGCGACACGATTATTACATAATTTTATTTTGTTAGAAAAAATACATTCAGGTGGCGCGTCAAAGGAATAATATTGCTGTATTTTTTTTTTCATGTATTATACTTTTTTACTTATTTTTCCCAAATTCCTGATAATTTAATCTATGTAAAAATTGTATATACAAAATTTTAAAAAATAGGCATTGAAGGGTTAATCATATATATTGAGTTCATTAATGTCTTATTAACTCAATGTTGTTTAATTAATGATATTAAAAATTAAAAAAAATATTAGCCCTCCATTAATCCGGCTATTTATTAGGGGGTGAAATATGGGGAAATTTTTCCGAAACCTTTTATTAATAAATTTAGATCACGTCAACTTGTTTTCAAATTGTAATTTGTACAGTCACATTAGTCTTAGACCTTAGACCAAGAGGACACTACGGAGTAAAGTATAGGCAATTTTTTGCACAAGCTTAATTTAGAGTTTGAACCATAGTAGGTATGTGAGGCCCGTATTAACAATAGATTAACCAAATGTTCACAATGTTTATAGAGGAGAACTTTATCTATGCCGTAGCGTTTATATTTTGTTTTGATTTTACTGAATATTTTTTTTATAAACAAATTAATAATCTTTAGAAACAAACGGTTATTTCAGAGAATCTATCTCACAATAAAATAACACAGTTACCTCTACATAGCTGGAGGCCTGAATAATTTTATAAAAATGGTTTTTCTGTAAACAATTTTCCATTATTTTTTCGGGTTATCCATTTTGATGCGACAATACGAGCTATATTACCAACAAATTTTGTTCATATTGCCTTGTGATTTTTTTAAACAATATATTTACTTTTCAATTTCAAAAAAAAAAAATACAGATTATCAATTGTATGGCAAAACTTAATTTACATAAAATTTTATCTCTTTTATGTTTACAAAATTATAGATAATAGGTAAATAAATAAGCATAAATAGCAAATAAGTCAAATTACAGGTGTATAGTGTTATTATTTGCCTGTACTCGTATATTATGTATATTTTGATAGTATATATTATATTATAGAACCATAGGCGGAGATTGGGGGGTGCTTGGGGGGGGCTTAGCACCCCCAAAATTATCAATAGCCCCCCCAATTATTTGATCACTCATCAAAGTAATAAATTCCTTAATTAATGGAGTAAAAACTAAAATTATTAATAAGAATAAATTATGAAAATTTTTTCAGTTCCAAAACGGCAAAAAATTATAACAATGTTTTTGATAATGTTATCATTTAATTTTAATTCAAGTGCTAAATTAAGTTATTCATTTTTCAAAAAACGCAATAAATATTGATAAAATTCAAAAGGCTCTAACCCTAAATGTATTTCCTATGCTTATTCAAATTATTTCAAGTCGCCTTGTCTTTGCCAATTAGTTCAGCTACATGCGAACGCAGCTTTTCAGCTATGCGCAAATTAAGACATGGTTACCTACTAGTATGTTGCAAGACAGGTTTAATAATTCATCCATATTGTACATTGAAAACGATTTAAATATTGATGTAGAAAAAATTATTGATATATTTGGATCTAAGAATAGGTACATTGCCTTAAAATAATATGTATTAGCTTAAATAATATACAAATATTATATTATAATTATTATGATTTTTATTTATACATTTGTAATATTATAAAGTATTATATATTAATAATTTAGGAGTGTAAATCCCTTGCTGGTCATTTTAGGTAGAAAAATGCTAGCCCCCCCCCAAAAAATTAATGAAATCTCCGCCTATGTTAATAGAACTCGAAAAATTTCTTCAGCTCACAAAATAGAAAATATAGCTCACTTCATCAGTCAAAGTGTAACATACCATAACATATTCGTTAATGGCACCAAGATAAGAGTAAGATTAAGCGGGAAGCTTATTGTTGTTGTTTTAAACTATTTTTTTTTTAAATTGATTTTAGACTACTACTTACCTACTACTTTATTTAAGCCGTAAGTATATACAACATTATTTTATAAAACTTAAATTGTTTTTATTTGTAACAACAGAAATCAGTGTGAGAATTGGAGACCAGCTATTATTGTCTGTGGGGTTACTCAACTCTAGATTCTATAAAAGATCTCGCACCTCGAACCGGACCTGTTTTTGGTTGAACTTTCTGAAATAGACATAACCTTATCACTAATATGAGAGTATAGCTGATATGATGTGGATGAGGGTCAAACACACAACATGTTGCACCTAATATTATATGCCTTTGTATAATTAACGAACATTATACAAAAAAATAACATTTAGATGTATTATCTGTAATTGTTTTTTTAAACAAGTAATTAAATAACCAAATTATCTTAATACCGGACCATTAAAATAAAACCCGAGAGAGGATAATATATCCCCTCTATCTCTCCCCATAAACACGGCACTGATCTTAATATGTTAACTGCAGTATTATGTTCAAACGTGTATGGGTATATGTTTTAAGGCAACGTAGGTACTATGTTCAACCTACTGAGGTGTAGTGAAAAAGCAAAAACTATATTAGTTTCTTGGTATGTTTTTTCTAAAAGATTTGTTTAAAATTATAGTCAAATGAATGAAATGAAAAGATTCGCCCGAATTTAAATTCGAAAAAAAACACGGAAACGACGATAAGCTTCTGAGTTCTGACACAAATATTGTAGGAATAATTTTTTTTTCCAAGATAATGATGCTCAATATAATATTTATACACTCATTTGTTTTATCAAAATCTAAAAATGGTTTAAAAAATTAAATTTCTAAAATAATATTCATTTGTAAATAAAAAATTAATGAATTAAGGGTATTTATTATTTAAAATATTAGTTTATTCTTGGAATTTTTGCAGTGATTCTAAATTTTCTTTATTGGCTTTACATATATAATGAAATTTTCTCAGATGTTCGAAAAAACTCTTTTTAGTTTTCAAAAATGATACATTGGCCAAAAAATGCAATTTTAGATATGAAATTCGATTTTCACCAGTTTATGGATGTCCATTAAGTTTGATTTATTGCATAACATATATATATATATATATTGAAAAATATAAGTTATTGTGTAATTTCTCAAAATAATTATCACAGTCTACAGTCTAGTTTTTCTTTTTAAAAACATTTTTGTTTAAACTATATTATTACAATATAAAACAGTATTTTAATTTTAATTTTTGTAGCATTTTCTACTTTTAAAAATGAAATACATAACGAATACATTTTATTAACATTTTAATTTAAAAATAATTTGTTGAAAATATTGACTTGTCGTTATAAATAGTTATTAAAGTTTAAAATTTTGGATGGGTGGTAGAGTGGAGTTTTTAAACTTAAATAATTATTCAAAACTGGTTATCGACCAGTAAACAATTTTAGTATTTTTTTTAAATTTAAATATTTAACTAAATGTATACGTTACCATTTAAGTTTTAAAAGTTGATTAGACTAGAAAATACAGTAGTAAACTAGTATAGGGCGTAAAAAGATTCATCCGGTACATTTTTTGTTCATTTCTAATAAATATGTTAACAACATTTGTTAATTTAATATTTTTAATATACAGTTTGTGCTTTTTTATGAAACAAACTGTTTGGTAATGTAAAAGGAATCAACCCTCATACCTTACGAACCAGTTTTAATGCCTCTAAATTCACTGTCTCGCACAATTTTTGTTATTATATATATTTAACTTAATTTGTACCGCGCCAGACCAACTCAAAAAAAGTTTTGAAAATCATAAAAAATTTACATCCTCAAATCATTTTTTAGGGGAAGTACACTCCCCAATAGGTGTTTGAGAGCAGCCATAACACTTTAAAAATATAATATAATGATTAATGGTTCAATTATATTTGGTTTTTATATTTGTATATGGAGACAAAATGTTTAAAATATTTAAAACCTACAACAGGCTTAGTTAATTATTAATACTAAATAAATTCCAATCGATTTGTGTAGGTACTTAAAACTATTGGTTTGTCACAAGCACGATTCTTCATATATATATATATATTAATATATCATTTAATACGATCGGATTATGAACACAAAACTTATTATTATTATTGTATAACTACAGACTGGCATCAAAATGCCTGTAACCTCCTCATTCCGAACTGACTGATTTACGGTTTTAATACATTCTTAATCAGAAATGAGCAAACCATTATGATATTATAATGAATATTTTTTTTTATATTTCAACTAAATAAAAAGTTTAGTTCAATATAAATAATTTGTGTAATAAGCGTACAATAAGTTTTTTTTTTGTATAATGACAATAGACCGACATAGTAATAATAATAATAATAATTATAATAAAAATAATAATAATAATAATAATAATAATAAATTGTAAGGGTAAAATATTTAACATAACTATAATAATGATGATAATACGAAAATCAACTATGAAGTAAAAAATAGATAGAGCTAAGGTAAAAATAAATACATAATGTTTTTGTACATTGTGTACATGTACAATTCATGTGTAGATATATGTATATATCGTAAAAATATATTTTTTAATTAAATAAACATTTTTTTTGTCAACTATTATTGTTTCAAATCTTATACTACACTTTATATAGTTAAATTTTTATTTTGAATTACTTACATTTTTTTTTCTTCCAAAATTAAAAATGTTGACACACACAAATTTACTAAAAGTGTGCAATTTACAAAAACAAATCACGATTGGTACCAATAATAAAAATAGTTCATAATAAATAATTAATATTTAACATCACGGTCCAAGTTTTTTTTTTTTTTTGAACATACACCATTAAGTCTTTTGTTTGATTTAGTATTATGATAAAATATTTCCCAAATACAAAGAACATATTCTATCAACTATTAAATCGAAACAGTTCTTTTATAAATGAAACAATTCATGATATAAAAAATATTATTTATATAAAATGGCCAAATTTTCGAAAGAAATTTCAATTTATGTTATACTCGTATATTCATTAGATATTTTACGTACAGTTGAATTAAACAGGTCCATCGATAGAGCTCACCTTTATTCGATAGTAATACAGACACTTCCAAAGAGCTACAAGTAGAAAGACCAAAAGAGCTGAAAAACATTTTTTTATAAAAATAATAATATTAATTAAATTATAAAAAAATAGTGAGAGCAAAAAAAAAAAAAATGTTATGAAAAAAACTTACCGATATACAAAATTAAATAACTGGTGTGATCCATGACAAGCGAATATGTAAAGTACAAAACAATTCCGCCAACAATTAGTAAGACAATTGCAAGAATAAAAAAGAATATTGCCTTTGCTCTAGCAAATTCAGGACCCACAGATGACCTGCAAACGTTATGATGAATGTAAAATTATTATCGGTCGATTTTCCATTAGTAAACTACAGTAGTTAACAATACTTACACTTTACGACAATGCGGGCACCTAGCCAATGCGTTTTGTAACATGTTAAACTGTAAAGCACAAAAACATATAACTAGATTAATAGTAAATATTTAGATTCAATTTAATTAAACATACATTTTTAATTCATATTATTTTTTAATCAGTTTTCTTGTCTAAGCACACAATATTTTTAAAACTGCTGGATTGATGTATGCTACTTTGTGTGGCAGAACTATAGATAGAAAATCGTACCCAACTGGTACTTTAGGAGACGATAAATAAAAATAAATTTGGCCATTCAAAATCGAGAAAAACATCTTAAAAATGTACACATTTTTCATCTTAAAATTACAGTACGCTATAACTTTTTGAAAAATATTCAAATTACTTTTAAATTTTGTGTGCGATATTTTTCAAATATAATACTACAGTGAGAAACACCCAGAAGGGCAGGAATTTTTTTCTTTTGTTTTTAGAAATATTTTTTGGAATCCAAATCTCAAAATTAGAAGTAAGGTAGAAATTATGTGAACCTATAACATATACATTAAAAAATCTATAGTCAATTTTTTTTTTCTATGAGCGACCGTTTTATGAGTAAAAATATACCATACGGGAAAAACTGTTACGCCTTGTAGAGTAGTCTGATTACAATAGCTTATTAATGCAAAGAAAAAAAAAAATGTCCTACAGGGTGCATTGGTCTTTGATTTAAAAAATTATATTATACAAAATTATATTTCTAAACGCAATAGGAAGAGTTTGAACAAGACTAATTCTTTTTTCTGATGTTTTATTCAAACTCTTATTGTAGCATTTAGAAATGGAATTTTGAAAATCAAAGTCCAATGCACCCTGTATAATTTAAACAGTCATCCTTTTTTCAAAAAAAAAAAATAAAAATTGTGATGACTACTCAACGGGGTGTGAGTTTTTCCTGGGAAATCATGTTTTCACCACTAAAATAGCTACAATTTGTGAAAAAACATTTACGTTGAAATTCTACCTATTAAGTTAAACATATGAAGCTAAAACTAAGTTAACATAGCAAAATTCAAAAATCGCCTATAAAAATACAATTTTTCTTATAATGTTATTGTTATATGTTGATATTTTTAACTATTATAATTTTTGTTGATTTTTTAAATTTTATTTGCTATGATTCTAACTTTTTTCATTATGAAACTATAAATATAATAACATTTATAGTCAATTTTTTTTTTAGAAAATTATACATTTTTTAATTGATTAGTTAAAATGTTTTACCATCTACAGTTTTACATCGGAGCATTAATTTGAAAGTGATTTTATCACTATCAGTAATAGTAATGCCTAATGTGACTTGTGACCCCCCATTATGCCTTAACCCCACTGAGCTTTTTTGGAAAAATTATTTTTAGTTGATCATTTGTTTTTAGTTATGTGAATTCAGAAATTTAATATTTTGCAATATCGTTTTTTTAATTTTTCATTAGCTTTTAGATATGTTCATTTTATTTCTCAAATTCCTGTCAAACATAGTATTTTTCAACAATGTTTGTTCAATTTTAATTAATCTTTACTTTTTATATTCTTTTAAAAAATCAGAACTTCTTCATAATTGTCCCCTATGACTGCCGAACAAATACTCTTTTTCCACAAATCTCTATCCATTACCCATTCATTACTCACTCCACAATCCACGTTTCATTTATAACTCTACCTTGTTATTTATGAGTCCACACTGATCTCACATAACTGTTTTACTATTTCACTTTCCTCCTTAACTTCCCAAAACAGTTTGATTTAATCTCTCTCTCATTTTTCTTGCTCTTTGTACAACTTATTTAATTTAACAGTCTTTTTTTTTTTTTTTATTAAATAAAAATAAATAATACTAATTTATAAGCTAAATCCTGTTATAATATTATTCAACCCCGTTAAATCTTGAAAAATCATAATTAATTTATAACTTCATAGGCGATAAGTGTTCAGTGTTAATAATTACTTTGAATAAATAAAAATATGTACTCACGAGAAACGTGTCCTGGCAGTGGACACAAGTTACACGGCACATGCCTGGAACCTGTGGAACTGGAGGAGTTACAGGACTTGGTGCCAAGTTGATAACACGCTTGCAATTTGCACGTGGACATGCAATACGCTGCGATGAACTTTTGCAAATTAATAAACAATGGCATAAACATCGCACATATTTTTTCCCTGCTGGAGCGCTACGAATCGGCTGCAAAATACAGATTTACAATGAAACCAATCAATAGGTGAATCAGCTAAAAAAACAAAAAATACATACAGTAGCCTCATTGCAGCGATTGCACTTTACAACGTGCTGCTCCTTTTTACCAAGCACATCTATCATCTCTTGACAAACTCTACAAGTAACTTTAGTAGCAGAATTTTCTGGTCCCATTTCTGGGACAGTGTAATCAGTACTACCATCACTAATTATATTTGTTGTGGGTACTGTGCCAGAATCGATTATTGATGATGTAGGTGAATCTAAAAAATAAACTTATGATATTATCATACGGACATAGTGAAACAAGTGACAATGCAAAATATATATTTGGTTTATCTTATACTAGACCATAAGGCTAAATTTAAGTACCAAATTAAAAACAAATAAAAACTAAATGAAACTGGTAACTTAGAAATAGATAAGTTATAAGTAAATTAAAAAAGCAAGTAGTATTTTAATTTAAAATCAACATTTATAATTAGAGCCCGGTACTTGATGTACTCTCATTTTTTTTTACTTCAGTTGTTAACAAAGTTTTTCAAAATTTGTTCACATAATACATTATTTTTTAAAATTATTGTGATTTACATCAACATCAACTACTTACAACAGAAAAAAAATAGCAGTTTTCATTAAAAGTAAAATAAAATGATTGTGAGAAAAAGATTTTTCACTAATTTAGGAGAGAATAAGATAGGGAAACGAGAAAAGGCATAATTTTGTTAAGAATAATTTATAAAGGCAGTTTATCAGAGTAATAATGTTTCAGGTTTTTGAATTAGTCACATTGATGTAATTCTGACAGTCCCCACATAAATGCAGAGTATTTGTATGTAGTACGAATCATGTCATCCAATGCGTACAGCCAGGAACATCTATCAAACTGTTATGTAAAAGAAAAGCCACTGATGTAATCCTTATCACTTTTTTAAATTTTAATTATCAATTATTTTATGGTTTAGTTTTAACAGTTCGGTAAATCATTAGTTTTATAATGAAAACAAATTTGTCAGTGATTGTGTCTGTGGAATATGGATAGGAGAACTACAAACATGGTAACATTGACAGATACAACCCAAACCTAACTTTTAAAATACTTTAACATATAGCTACCAAATTGAATGTCTTTAATTTAAATAACAGAATTAGATCTTTAGATAAATGGCCAGGCTGTTAAAACAGGAGACACAAAAAAAAGTTAAATAAATATGTTAAACAAATAATTCTTACAAAATGTGTATGAGATTTTTTTGTTAAGAATTGAAAACAACTCATACCTATTTTGACAATAGTATAATACAGAATTAGGGACAACAAAAATTATAATTCTTATTATTGCTCTCACCATGTACTTATTACATGAATACAATTTAGGTAGTTAATAAATAAAATATCACTGTTTTTTTTTTTTATCAAAAAGACAATATTAACAAGAAAAATAAATTGTACGGGAAATGAGAAAAAAAGTTGAGTGATGACAAATGACAATTATCATGATGACCTATTATTATATCTACTTAATAAGTACTTGTTAAACACAACAACGTTAAATCACAATGAAATACTCGCCAGCATGATTACCTGAATTATTAGTCTGAGATCCACCTGTGTGAAATTCTTCTTCGCTGTTCAGCAACACCTTCTTATCATCTGCCATTTTTTTTTTTTTATTCCAATTAGATACAGCAAAAAGCACTAATCAAACGGAAAGCATAAACTAGTATAGATATGCTATCCTTCAAAATTTATCTTTGTTTCAACAAGGCAGGAAGTCCGCTAAACGAAAACGAACGAATCACATTATCAGGCGATTCAATTACTTTGACAAAATTAATATAGGTTCTTTTATTACTACCGTATCCGAATTTGGCGACGTTAAAGGCGGACTTGACTGGAAATTGGAATTCGTCACGACAACACCACTTCCACGCCCGGACCGCTATAAATTGTTCATACGGCAACACAAAAGGTCTTACTATGTAGCCGTTTTGTATTATTGCTTTTTTTACTCGCTGTACCAACTACTACGCTATTCGTGTTCTGGGCAGTCGTCATATCCTTGTTCGTTATCACCGCAAAACTGTATGATTATCGCTGTTATCAGTTGCTAACCAAACGAGGTAACCGGGTAACCGCGAAGGTAAACATTGTCGACCATCGCAAACCGGAAAATTCGACCGGGTTATCGCGGCATTGTTCAAATATTCATTTAATTTTCATTATGTTATTTATTAGTAATAAAAAAGTAAACAGAATAAAAAGATTCGTCCGGCTTCACGGAGCATTGTTAGTTAATCAATACATTGTACGACTTTCATTGGTTAACATTATTTGACATACGTTCACATAAAGACTTAACAATATTGTAAATTAGTAAAATTTGTAAAATAATGCACTCACGAAAACGCCACTCGTCCGTTATTTTATGTGTAAAACTAGTTATTCTTTACTGTTATATTTTATTAACGTAGTTTTAAAATTTTGTAAAAATATAATAAACAATATTCAATATTGTACAGTCGTTGCCCGATAAATTTGCATGGCGGCGGCGCGTTATTGCAAAACAAGTGGTTCTCCGTATTTAATGTTATTTGTTTACCAAATAAATTAACAAATCTACAATTGTTAGTAATAAAAATGAATAAACTGATAAGTATCCAGACATAAATTTTAAACCAAATATATTCTCCTTTACACTTTTTTTTTTATCAACGTTTTTTTGTACAAATTTGATTTAATTTGGGATAAAACTAAAAGTATTGCTGATAAACGCCGCCGTATCAACTGCCAGTTTATCTTACCTAACCTAACCGCTCAGACCGTCCGTGTACTAAACTAACCTAACCTAATCGTGTAATTTCAGGTATTTCATCATTTTTAAAAATATTTTTAACGAAATTACGACCAGCAAATAATGATTTAATTTTTAAAAAAGCCCCCCAAAATTGCATTTTTACTATAGTTGATCGATAGAAAAATAATATAAAACATTTGGGAATACTAATATTTTTGGAGTAAAGTAGATTTTAAAATATGGGCCAAAACGAAAATTGATATTGAATTTTTAGAATTTGTTTGTTCACAGAAGAGGAGAATGCATGAAGGGTAATGGAAAATTATTTATTAAGGAGTAAAATATAGGGCAAATTCCACATAAATAGATCCAGAACTAAAATTTTTGAAATGTTCTAACTAATTAAATAAGAAATTTATGAAGTTTTTCTAGATACAACATTTTTTAAGTTATTTTTATTCTACGTTAAGCCTACAACATAATTTTAATAATCAAAATTAAAAATTTATAAGATATTGAGAATGATATGAAGATAATGTAATTTCGCTCATATTAGAGATACCTCATTTTGAGTAAGAACAATGTTTTAAAACATTTTTTTTTTTATAAGTAATTTTTGATGGTGAAATGATACTATTATGATTTATGATGAGAGGATATGAGTGAATCAGCGATTTTATTATTTTACACGAGTTAAAATAATCCTTACAAAATGTATATGTCTAACAACAATTAAAAAACACATATTTTATCAAAATTGAAATTTGTTTTTGCGTTACATCATACATTATAAGTATGTATAATAATGAATAAGATAATAATGAAAATATGATAGTACATTTTTCGATAATTTAATTAACGACTTTGTTAATTTGAATGATCATCCATTGAAATAATCCCAGTATGGCGGCTGACACTGATAGTGGTATCGAAGAAGCTTTTATCCATTTCCAAATGTCCAAACTGTAATCAAAATCAATTGTTTAATAGTTTTCTTCTGTCTCCACCTAATACCACGGTATTCGTTAAGGAGTTAAGTAGGTAGGTATAGCAATATTTTAATAAAAAATGCAATTTTTCATCGTATAATATTATACTATATTGATACTTACTCGTACGGGTGATCTGTTATAGTGTAAGACGGTTTCCTGTCGAGTAGTCCGCAGCTTTTGATCCGAATTTCTTTATTCGGTCGTCCCAGCAGGTCAGCAGGTTGACGTTCAATCACGTGTACGACTTGCAGCCCATTGACCACTCGGCCGAAGACAACGTGTTTACCGTCTAAGGTGGGCGATGGTCTGGTAGTTATGTAAAACTGACATCCATTCGTGTCCGGTCCTGTACAAGCAATAGTACAGTACTATAGTTATCCCGAAATTTACAAACAATTTGGGAAAACCATTCGAGAGAGACTCGGAAAAAAAAACTATGACAGAACTCACGATTTTTAACTTCGATGCAAAATCGGAGAAGGTATTGGTCTTACAATAATTATTAGTTAAAATATTGTCTTTGCGCGGTTTGAACTATAAAAAATGGGTAGGTTTAAAAAAAAAATGCATTATTGTTACCGTCAGGTTGGAAGTCCACGACAGTAATAATTGGTAGGGTAGTTTTTTTTCTTATCGCATTTCATCAGGTTCGACAGCGCCCTAGTAGTCGATTGGCCAAACGCTATACTATACTTGTTATTGTATTACAATTCAGATCGGCCGATAAGTTACCGTACTTCTCTTTTTAATTAATTCGCGAAACACGTCATTTGCATCGCCTCGATCGACGAACACGAAAAGCGTTTTATTTGGAGGCGGGAGGGGGAAGGGTTTAAGGTCAAAAATCCTATAGGTGTTTTCTTCGACATACAACGGAGAAGAATCCTATGTTGAACGATGAGTGTAAAATTTCAAAAACAAGTACAATATGTCTTTGCAAAGACGGACTTGGCAGTGTTTTTATTACCTGAATTGGCCATGCCTACGAATCCGGCTTTGGTGTTGTTCACGGTCAATATTTCGTCAGGAAACTCTTCTCCGAAAATACTAATCGAACCGCTTCCGTCGTTGTTCACCACGTCTCCGCCTGCGTCGATTTCAACGATATTTAGTGCAATATTATGTATTAAATCGATTACCGAGTAAAATAAAACCTAACCTAATGTCCCCCAATCGTCCCCAATGATCCCAATGCCCGGTCCTTAAGTTACAGCCCTTTATCTATCCTATAATAGTACTAGTACATCATAATATGTCAATGAAAAATGTGATAACAAACTTGTACTTTGGATTTTGAACTTAAAAGCTCTACCAATAATATCGTGAACATCGTTTATGCAACAATTAAAAGAATTATGTTGGGTTTTTCCGGTGAACTCAAATCTCGCTTAAGGTTTTTGTAAATCGCTTCTGATAAAATTGTAAAAAAAAAGTGGTTTTATGCTAATTTTTTAAAGTGTTGTATATTAAATACAATTTTTATCATATGAAGGCATCAAACAAAGTTTTTATGTCCATATTAAAAAAATTATTTTTCAATAGTTTTGGAGGGTTTTTTTTTTATTTTCGAATAGAAACCTACTTACATAATTGACCTGTGGTGGCCAACGGTCTATTGAAACAAGTAAAATACCTGACCGACAAATGGTTTTGAATAAATACTTTGTGAATTATTAGCGTTTTCAGTTATTAACAAGATAAAAAGGTTATTTTATAGGGAAAATTATTGTAATATTAAATTTAGAAAACCTATCCCAACCTAATCTAAATATTAATCCTTTTTATATGATATGCCTGACTAGTGAGTGCAGCATAATGAATAATATATACAAACAATTTAGGTGTATTATTGTATAATATAATGTCCTAATACTAATCAACTCATAAAAAACGTGTTTGCGGCCTAGTTAAATAACTACACAATAATTAATAACCAAACGCCACACCGCGTTTTTGTTAATAAATTTGATATGATGCAAATTTTTTTTGTATAGTCCCATAGAAACATAGTGGCTTTTAATATTTGTTTCCAAATGTTTACAACCCAATCAATTACTTATGATTATTTGGCAAAACTATGTCTTAGGAGATACATTTTAATTATGACAAACTATTTAAACTATTATTTTATGCATGATTTTAAATTTGTTTCGAAGATTATAGAATATCAGTTATCTATTGCTATAAATAACTTATTTTCCTTCAATTATCACACTTGAGCACTATACGGTATACCACCGAATTATGGGCTTTTTAATTATGAAAAATTATTCAAGGACTTATAAAAATCGTTATTTTATTTATTAAAAGTTGCAAAGTTTGTATGGTAATATCGCTATAAAATTATGGTTTTAGATATTATAAGCTTTATATGCGCGCCACACTTTTATTTTTTTTTTTCACTGTAAAACGTGTCTCGGGAGATGCACTAGTCTCAAGTACATCTATATAAATTTAAAGATCTAGTCTTTTTTTAAACTATGACTTGGAAATATGGAATGAGATACTTGAGAGAAAGATTTATACCCATAGGAAAATTGGAAATTCAATGTCGCATACATTTAATTTCTATTAATTTAGATTACATTTAGTCAAAATGTACATAAATTGTTAACATATTCACTGTTAAAATAATATGTTTTACATAATATCAGTAGGTATGCAAACGTTTTGAAAAATGTGTAGGTACGCCAAGAGTCATTTTATCGTCGGCCGTCAATTAGTACTATCTCGTAGGTAGTACCCGTGTACTTGTTTTCATGAAATAAAAAACTAATTATCGGGTCAAGCGTTTTACGGCTTTGTCCGGCCCATTAAAAACCATTACGCATAGGTAAAAATGTTTTTTATTTTTTTCAAGTAGATAACAATAGCGCTCAATTATGTGTGTATTCGGGCGGGACCCGGGCCGGCGGCGGCCGCGGTATAATCTGTTGCAGATATCTAAACCTAGGTAACTGTGGTAACTGGTAAGCGCGGTAACCCAACCTAATCGACAACAATAAAAAAATAACCACGACCTACCGGCGACGCGATGGCATACACGGGTATACACACAATATTATTATACGAGTCCGTCGTTCGGTTGATTTCCATCGGGTTTTCGATAAGCATCTTGAAAAGTAAAAATAAAAAAAAATAATACAACAACAACAACAGCAAGTCGACAGTTGAATAAATTGACTTGATCTCAACGGGCGATAAACGACCGCGGCTGAAAAACGAACGACCGCGTTGTACACGTATGTATATACATATATCTATATATATATATAAATGTAATAATATTATATAGTGTGCTGCGTACATGTGGAACCGATTTCGATCTGGGCCAAAACGAAAGATAAACATCTACCCGTCGACCCTGTATAGTGCGATAAGGGGTGTGGTGTCGGGGATGGCGGCGGCGGCGGGTCGAAAACGAACTAGCGCAATATTATTATTACACGAACAGGGCAATACACGCCACAGTAATAATCGAAAAATTACAATATTATCAACAAAAAAAAACAACGTCGTGAACGGACATGCGAGCTGGTTTCCTAAACGACCATTACAATACGTCTGTTGCCTCTCTATATATATATATACATATTAATGCGATACGTTTTTGGCTAAACCGGCGGCCGTTGACTTTGGTAATGGTAGAAAAGATTGAGAAACCGCGCGTTTCTTTTTAGGAGTTGCCTCGCTGTTGACGGGCAAACATGGGCTGATGTAGATCATAATAATATTATTATGTAGTAGAAAAATATCGTTAATAAAGCCCAAAAAGCCTTCTACGCACTGACAAAGTTCTTAACATCCAAAATGATGTCCAGGAAAACAAAAGTAAGACTGTATGTGGCTATTATAAGACCGACTCTCACGTATGGTTGCGAAGCTTGGACGACGACCAAACAAACAGAGAGAAACCTGAGGACTTTCGAGAACAGAGTATGGAGGAAAATATGTGGACCTATTATCGATGAGAAACTACGGGAACTGGCGGAGGAGACATAACAAAGAGTTGTACGATATGTTAGAACTAGCACCAGTAACAAGCTTTATTAAGGGCCAACGGATACAATGGTTAGACCATATAATGAGAAGAGGAGAGGACGAAACAGTTAGAGTAGCATTGGAATGGAAACCACGAGGGAAAAGACCTAGAGAAGACCTAGGAAAAGATGGATTGACGTGGTGGAAGAAGATCTAAAAACCCTTGGAGTCGAGGATTGGAGAGAGGCAGTACAAGATAGAGATAGGTGGCGAAGTGTAGTAATGGCGGCAAAAAATCTTATAGAGTAGACATGCCAGAGGAAGAAGAAGAAGTAGAAAAATATCGTTGGTCACCTAAACAAGGATCGACTCGATATATTGTCCAGTTTAGGTTATATTTACAATATCATCAAATAAATACTTGTATTCGTTTTTTTTTTTTGGTGTCTGTGGGGGAAGTAGGTCGGGTACCCTTGGACCACCAATCCTCTTGAATACACTCCCCCGGTTCACTTAGTAGGAGTTCCCGGTTATAGGTTCGAAACCGGTTGTAAAGGATTTTTTGTTTTAGCGATAGTTTTTGGTCTTGGGAGTTTGAAAAATTGCACCGATAGTAGGTTTAGTAATGCGTTTTACCACAGAACAACCAGAAGGGAAACTTACATGGGTTTTTGTGAACCGCCGAAAAAGGCCTACTGGCATATTATTGTCTTTGCAGCAGGAAGCCAGCCTATATAATAGATATTAAATAGACTATTGATAATTCCACGAAAAAGCGTAACATTTGTACGTTATCAGCAAAAACAAAATGTCGGACACACATCAGTCCCGGCCTAGGTTTCTCCTTCTGGTTGCGCTGCGTCGAAACCATAATAATATATCTTATCAATAATAATTGTCTAATAAATAAAACAAATTTCGGTTACGCCTAAAAGGTCTTCATTTTTTTACGGTCAAGAGGTCAGAGGATCGTGCTTATATTAATCTCCTATAATATTTTGTTTGTTTGTATCAACTTTGCACGCCATTATGTCAATCCCAGCTTTAACACTTCCTCAAAGATGACCCATAACGCTCCATTTAACTTTAAGTTAGTGAACTCTTAGGCAAGTCAGAAGGTAATCAAAAGCACAAGAAGACCAGATGACTTACGGCCACGTTCTAAACTACCTAAATGGATGTTTACAAAGTGTGTTTGATAACACAAATCCAACATTTTTCTTGTCGAGGTTTTTTTTTTTAATGGAGTAAAGTCCATAGAACGGGTTTGACCCAAAAAAACATGGTCATTAGTTGATTTAAAGCACGCGGTATACAGTGTCATAATGTGTTTGCCAGTATATGGCGAACGTGTATTTATAAAGCTTCTAAAAAAAAAATGAATATACCTATGTGTATATCGATTGGTTTGACGTGTACGCAAATAATTCTATTATGTCTTCACCGTAATCGACACTGACGGTTTCCGAGTAGAGTCAAAAGTGTTTGGAAATAAAATAGACTAAAATGTATGTAAAAAAAAATATATATAACCAATATAAATGTATCGGTCAAGTGTAGAGTTATCTGGTCCCCGATGGACGCCCACGCAGGAAGCCTTTAGAAATATTTTCTATGCGATCAACCGTTATAATAATAATAATAATATAATACAAACCGAACACTGTCCGGTGGCCTCAATTAAAAATTCAAATAATTACTGTTTGCACTATATCACACTATAATGTATACAGCCGTAGCCGCCTATTGATTTGTGTAGGTACAACACTCGTGACCAAATTGTTATTGCGTACCTTATGTAAACACACTATTATGTAAGCTGTTAGCTGTCCTGTACGGTTTCGGATATATACAGAGAATTAAACTCAAAGACTATTTGAGGCGGTGATGTACGCGATAAGGTCGAATAATAATATTATGATCGATGAAATGTTAAATGTTTTTCTTATTTTTTTAACGTTTAAAATAAAATTAACGTTTATCGAAAACATCAATAACGTGACGTGCATTCGGGTGTAGTTTGAATAATGGTCTAATTAGTAGATTCACAATTTAGAAGCGATTCACAAAAAAAATGTATTACAGAAAATCCGACATGATCGTTAAATTTTGGATTATATTGCCAAAAAAAGTCCAATTATTTCTGTAAAAATAAAAAACAGTTCTATTGTTTCCAATAAATAAATTTAAATACGTTAATCAACTCGTTAATTATTATTTAATTGATGTATATATATTTTTTTTTTAGATTAAGTGGAAATTATAACAAGTAGGTATAAAATTTGGATAAATAATTTGAACGTTTTTTTAAACATTTTTTAAAAACGACATTGAAACGTTTCTTTTTAATATTTTTATTTCTAACCGAAAAAAAAACATATTTTGAAGAATTAAGCTGTTTTTTTACTAAACTTTTGACGTTACCTACTCAACGATTTTTTTTTTAAATAATGTAACTCATAAAAAAAAAAACAGTTATTTTCACTTTAATTATTCTTAAAAAGCTTTTAAGTCAATTTATATTAAAAAATACTTTTACCCCTCAATAAATAGCTCTTTTCGTCCTCCTTGAAAATATCGTGACAATTATTGTCTAAAATATGTTTACAATGTCTTGTATCTATGCTCTGTGTGTTATATATGTTTCGAGCTTGAAGCCCTTTTCGAGGGTTTTTTTAAAACGTTTTTCCACTTGTCTAATAGGTTTAAAATTCACTCAAATGTAATACTACTATATATTTAAACAGATCATACACTAAAAGTGACTTCCTCGTGAATTTTTGTTCTCATCTCATGGGAAATTTTAGTTTTTCATTTAAAAAAATACAACTTGAAAACTAATTAAAATTTTTACAATTCGAAAATAGCACATTTAAAAAACCTCGTTTAGATTTTTCGTGGTAATTTTTTATCAAGTTATCAGTTTATCAGTTACATTGTGCTGCAACTTGATAACAACAAATTTTATCGCGAAACATCAAGATAGTGATTTTGAGGTGTTGCATTTTAGCATAAAAAATCTTTTATTTAATTGTAAACATTTTGATCGGTTTTCAAGCGAGAATTTTTTAATTGAAATGCAAAAAAAAAAACAATCACGAGGAAGTACTCGTTGGACTAGGGATCTGAAATTTTAGAGATTTTCTTATTTGAATTGGCTACTAAAACAATAATTGTTTTTGCAGACAGTCTAATATATTATACTAAACGTGTACCTATCTAAAGATCGAGATTAGATTTTACCATGGACGATTTTCAAAAAGACAGTCGTAGAATTTTCTTAGGCACAGAAGTAAATAAAATTACTATATACTCTTTTCCATGAGCGACTATGCCTGCGCAAAACTAGACGTTCTGGTTGTTGCGCAGGCACGGTATCTCGTGGAACAGACAAATTCGAGTGCCACCACCCTGCTGACCTTGGACGACAAGCCGCTTTAGGACCCTGTGGAACCTGGTGCCGGCGTACGTCCGCCCGTGCACGCCCACGGTGAGTAGGGCGACGAAGTTGGCCACGGTTTTGGGCGCCAGCTCACCGAACAGGCCGATTTCGATTCTGCCCAGCTGTTGGCCGGCCATCTCCACGTCCAAGTATCCCGTGTCGGTCACCTGGAAAGTCTGGAGCGCCTGCAACGGTCGTGCGAACACCGTGTACGTGCAGATGTCAAAGGGCTGTTGGGGATAGCGGAGGACGGTGCATCCACAGTGCATAAAATACAATACAGTGACGTGAACGGCTACTTACCGAGACCAGCGACAGCGCGTGGCAACACAAAAACGTGGATATCCGCCAAACGCCCGGCATCGTGTCGGACGCGAGTAGGTGCAATGACGGTTATGCCACGGGACACGGTATACTACAGGCCACAGGCTTGATAATTAATAATATGGCTTCCTCTTGAGCGTGCGTGTAAATAGGATTTACAGTTTACCGTCGGGGTAGACATACGCCAAACAACGAGGAGCTTAAATAATCGTACAGCAAGTTTATTTTATTCATAATTTATTATTTATTGTTATTATCGGTTGTGGCTTTATCATAATATATAATATAGTATTTATACTATTATTATTACAATAACAGTCTAATAAAAACGGTTTTTCGTTTCCAATATAGCACATAAATATATATTCATACATATATAAATAAACGTAAGTATTGTAATTGTCGTTGTGTACAAGGAAGAATATTAAATAGGTTACGGTAGGTTTTTTTTTCATTTAAAAACTACTAAATAAATCTATATACATACAGCGTGTGTGAAAGTATCGAGTTTTAACGCGAACGCAGCAAAAACAGAAAAAAATATATATATATATATGTAATCATACTGTATACACTATGACAATAATAAAAATAATAATAATATAATATAACCGATTACTCGGTACAATAATAATATAGAAATATAATATAATATCCAATATAAATTATAATATTTAGTAATAATAATAATTAATAAATAATGAAACAAAAACAAACAATAAAAACAACGAGTTACGAAATAAATATATTATTCGTCTGGCCATATCTATAATATAATATATGCAAGGGATTACATAAATAAATAAATAATAATAGGTTATATATACACATAATAATATACATCTAAGATTTATGTTGTTTTGGAAAAGTATGTATAATAATAGTCATTATCGTGAGAAAGAGAACCAAAAAATAAAATATATATATTAAAATATAAAACATACAATATATATTAAGTGACTGTGGCCGTCTTGGCGTTGTTCTCGGTTTTACACTTGTACTCGGCGCTGTTCCTGCAATAGTACTTCTTGTGCGCAATGAACGTGGACAGGTAGTTGAAAGATATGTCGCAAACCTTGCAATATTTCGCGGTGGTCGCGGACCCGTCGTCTTCGTCGTTGTTATCGTCGGACAGCGCTCGGCCGGCCGGTTGATCCTGTTCGTAACCGTCGCCTGAATCTGTGGCGGCGTTCGTTCCGCCGCCGTTGGGTTCTTGCTTGACGATCACTCCGGCTACGGGGTTCTCGTCGTTGCCACCGTTGTCGCCACAGTGGTTGCCGGCGGCCAACGTTGCGACGACGGCCGACGGCCTGTCAGCGTCGTCCACAACGCCCGGAGACGTCTTGCCGGCCGGCTGCCTGCCGTTGTTGTCCGCAATAGAGTTTTCGTCCATTACGCACGTTACGTAGTCCTCTTCCTGCGGGTTCGGATATATCAGTTTATTAGTCATTACTATAAACGGCCACGGGGACGCGCAAATGTCACTATTAACTATCAAGTCTCTTACCATTAAGTCGGGTATCATTCGTTTGTTGAAGTGCATCCGGATGTGTGTGCGCAGGCCCCGGAGCGTGTTGCCCTTGTACTGGCAAATGGTGCACACGAACGCCCTGATGCCGTTGTGGTTGTCCAAGTGTTTTTGGGCGGCCGACGCGCTAGGGCACACGGTGCCGCACACGGGACACTTCCAACAGTTGGTGGCCGCGCCCTGGCACTGATGGTGGCCGTTCGCCTCGACAGTCATCTGTGCGACAAAACCAGTGGTGTCAATAAACGGTATTTTTGGAATGTTCAATATACGTGGGCACAGTTACACAAGGTTTGGGTGGAAATATTTGATTGGAAACGGATGAAAAAAAGCCGAAATTTATTTTCCGGAAAAAGTGTACTCACTTTGCATTTGGTGCATTTGGACAAAAGCTTTTCGTGGTCCGGACCGGCCACGGCCATGCGGTTGGGACAGTAGAACGATTGGTGCGTGGTGAGGTTGTCGAACGACGAGAACCGGACGCCGCAAGTGGAACATATGAACTGGATCATGGGCGGCTTGTGTGCGGTCAGTGTGGGGCTGACGCTGTCTTTGGACGACAACGGCGAAGACACGGTGACGGGTTTGGGCCCCGGTGACCCTTCGGGACTGGTCTTGGGTTCGGCGGTGGACGGGTCGTCCGAGTCGCCGGCGGCCGACGACGGTGCCGGTTGCGCCGGCCGGCTGGCGCAGTAGTGTCTCTTGTGCGCCAGGAAGTTCTCGTACTTGCAGAACACGATGTTGCAGCTCTCGCACTTGGACGGGCCTTGTTTCAGGAAGAACTGTTGGGCGCCCGGCAGCCCGTCCACCTGGTTGGCCGCGTTCGCCAGTCTCAGCGTCATCTCGGGCGTGAAATACGGCAGCACGGCCGGGTTGATCATCGCGTCGACGGCGCGTTGCGCGGGCGACAGTTGCTGCAGTAAGCCCGGCACGGGTCGGCCGGCCGTCTTGTACGCCACGTGGCTGTACGACTGCCGGTGGTGGACGACCGACGCCGGTGGTTGGCCGTCCGCCACGTGCTCTCGGCCGTTGCTCAAGTGGTGTTCCAGCTTGTTGGACACGTGCAGCAAACTGGACACGCTGAACTTGCCGTTCGTCCGTTCCGCGCCGGCGTTTTCGAACACAACGTCGTGCTCGCCCTTCGGCACGACCATCACGCCGTTGTGCTGGCCACCGACGCCGTATAGTTTGTGCGGTGGCATCTTGTTGCCCGACGGAGGCGACGACGGCGACATGATCATGCAGGGTATGGACGGCGCGCACACGATGTCCTCGGCGTCCGTCACGTTGCCGTCGCTGCGCCTGTTCTCCTTCTCTTCTTCGCCGTCGTGCGACGACGCCGACTGCGTTCCGCCACTGGACACTGGCCTCAGTCTCAAGTCCAACGGCGAAGGCGACTGGACGACGGCGGCGGCGGCGGCCGCGTCCCTCTTGGCTTCTCGAACGTGGCCGCCGTTGTTGATGTGATTGTTGTTATTGCTATTATTGTTGTTGTTGTTGTTGTTGGTCATCATTATTTTTTTAGGCTGTAAAAAACGTCATCAAGTCGTTATTATACATATAAAACATCTTAAAAATATATACAGGGCGGTTCATTGAGGACGAGAAACTCGTTTTCTTTAAAAATAATTCCTGTATTGTGGTTATTTTTTTTTTGGAGACACTTTAGTTTAAGAGATATTGAGAGTGTCTTTAATGAATCACTCTATTATGTTCTATTGACGAAAATGTACTAAATAATATGTTTTATCGTTGTCACTCGAAGGCCACTCAAGTATAAATTGGACAAACATTATTATTAGTATTAATAACCCGTGTGCAACGTATTATTAATATTAATACATTTCAAATGGAAAACGAGCGTGTAACGGAAATGACAATATCAACAAGAATGTAAACAATGAAGAGATTAAACATGAATACAGAGATAGCAGGCACTCGTACATAGGAGTGGGCTGAATGATAAAAAATACAGATAACAGAGCCGACGGTTTGGGCATATTGTTGTAACGATGACGACAAGAGATAAGGTTAAAAATATTTAATTCCAGTAAAATATATTGTAGGGACGCGGCTATGCAGTGGATTTGAGAAGTAGTTTTGAGTAGAGAAGAAGCAGTAAGAATAAGGCGTTTTATAATAGCCGGCGTTAAGAAAAATATTAAGAATATTTTAGGCATCGATATAGGCACTTTTTTGTTGTGCAAATATTTAATTAAGAGCTAAAATTATTTTGGATATTTGATACTTATCAGGATAGTGTATAGAGAACATTTTTAGGGGTAGTACATTTTTTTTGTAGAAAAGTATTCTTAGATATGTTTTTTTTTAAAGAAAACTGCCTTCTCTTTTCCAGTACCTACAGCATTTTTAAAGATTCAGATAAAACATTTTTTCTTAGCTTTTTGAAAATACATAGATTACTCTGTGTCTTTTAAATTTAAAACTAATTTTAAAATAAGGAGTTGAGTTTTAAAAAATAATTTTACCTTTTCGTTTTTTTTTTGCTAAAAAGTTCAAAGTCAACGCTAGTTTTAGCGTAGAACTTAGAAGTACATTTATATAAAATAAAACACCAAAACTATCATGTTAAATAACTTGACTTGGACGATTTTCGATTAACTTATTGAAAACTGAGTTACAGACATTGCATTCTATAACTATAGTTATATTAGACTATCTAAAAAAAACTGTTATCTACCCTCTCCATCGATAGTAAAAAATATAAGAAATCACTGAAATTTCAGATCCCTAACATAACTCTTAATTACTTCCTTGTGATTGTTTTCTTATTACTTTTGATCAACATGGAACATTTTTATTATTCATTAAAATTGACAACTAATCAAAATGTTTACAATTTAAAAAAAAAATACTTAAAGCTGGAATGTAACACTTCATAATCACCAATGTTAACAAGAAAAATCAAAACAAGGATTTCCAAGTGTCATATTTTAGATTTCAAATATTTTTTTTCAGATTGAGTGTTTTGATAAAAAAATTAAAATTTCCTGTGTTTATGAAACGCAAAACATGAGAAAGTATTTATATATTTAAGCTTAGGATTGGAAGTCCTATGAATTTCTCATTTAAATAAAACCGTCAACAGCGTGATCGTCTTACCGGTGAATAATACTCGGGCGGCGTTTCCGAGTTGGCCCGGTTGGGCCGCAGCAGTCCACCGTCGGCGGCCGCTTGCGTGACCACGTTGAATCTGGCGGGCACCAGGGCCTGGGCGATGGGCTGCAGCGTGCCGTCCGACATGAGTATGCACGCGGTGTCCGCCGGCGGCGTGGGCCCGGCGTCCGGCGACAGGGCGGACAGCACGCTGGCGTTCTGCACGAGCGAGTAAGGAACTACGATGACGGGATTGGTGGGCAGCGCCAGGTACGTGGGCGGCATGGACAGCGGCGGCGGCGGCGGCAGCTGCACAACGCCCGGTACCGCGTTGACTATGGGCGGCGATTGGTCGCCGACGGCCAGCGAAACCGGCGAGCTGGACGGCGTCGGCTTGACCACGTGCCGGGTGTTGCAGTAGTGGGTCTTGTGGGCTTGGTACGTGCGCAAGTTGGAGAAGCGGATATCACAGTTTTGGCAGTATCTGTCCACCACGGACGAGGTGTCCGTGGCCGACGCGGTCGTGGCCGCGGCCACCATGTCCACGCCGGACGCCGACGAGATGGCGCACGGCGGCGATTGCACGGACACCGGCGATATCGAGTGCATCCGCATGTGTCTGTTCAAACTCACCTGGGAAAATGCAAAAAACAAAATTTGCAAATTTTCTTTTAAACATATCAAACAATCCCAGTTTAAAAAATGTACCACCCTCCTCAAGCCGGTCTAAAGCCTGATTTCAACCGTACAAACCGTACTTGACCGGGGGAACGCCATGCAACGGTAATTTTCTAAATTTGTCTCCAAAAAAGGGAATTATTTATATAAGAAGGTATTATTCTCTTAGAGTGAATATTATAGTTTTTTTACCGTTACATGCAATACCACACCGACTGCAGTTTAGTATACTCGAATGTTGGTTTCGATTGTGTCCATTGCTGGGAGGGGGCCCAGTTTTTCAACAATTCCTTATTATTTTACTACAATTTTAGTGGTGGAAAAACGTACAGTGATCAGATTTTTGAAATGTTTTCTTTCTACAGACTGACTTCCGATTTTTGACATAATTACCAAAAATAAACGTTAAAAACTGTAAAACTCAAAATCTAATTACGACGACGTTTAGAAATTGAATATCAGAAAATCAGCAGTCAACGCAGCTGGCAGTCTTCCGTTTTTAAACAAAATTTGGTCAATATTAAGTAATTAAATCACGTTTTACAATTATTCCAAATCGACAATTGTATTATTTATTAAAATAAGTTGTCAAATTGTTGTACTCCGAATCAACCATGATCACAACTTGGTAATCTTACGAGTGCGGGTAAGCATTGGCGGTTTCGACAGCCGTGTCGAGGTTGGGCCATCCATCGAGTATCTACTTATGGCTTTAGATAAAGTCCCGCGGACGCGTCCGGTGTCCGGTACACGAAAACCGATTTGGAAAACGATAAAACAGCTGCAGTGGCGTTAATAAATTAAAGCCGACCACGTTTTCTCATGGCGATAAGATTTGCCGGCAATAAATCAGCAGATAAAACGCGTCGAGATTTATGTGCCCCAAGACATCATGACGGTACTTGCGTTCATAATGTAACGGCGATCAAATAGCAAATAGAGCCGATATAATACCTACGTACACGGGGCAGATAGTATATTTTCGAAAAAAACAATGAACCGTCTATTATTTTTTTTTTTTCCCATTATTAGCATTTCTACTCTTACCGGGGGGGGGGGGGGAGGATCAGTCGAATTAAACAGCTACATTCGGTCGTACCTTTTTGTCAGCGCTGTACACGCAATGCGGGCACTTGTACTGTTTGCCGGTCCTGACCGATTTGGCCGACGGTTCTGCCGAAGAGGGCCGACTGTCGGCATCGTTGTTGTTCTGCATGGACAGCACGTCTTCGGCCGATTCCACGATCACCATGGGCGTCTTGACGTCGTCCGCCGGTTCGCCGCAGTCTGTAATATTATTATCTTTTAAATAGTCAAAGCCAAGCGAAACAACAATAAACAGCACACACACGCGATCCGCACGAGCCGTTTTACCTTTTTTGAGTCTACGCGAACAGTAATACGTCTGGTGGGCGTCCAATGTGCTCAGCGAGCTGAACCGTATACCACAGGGATTGCATATGAATATTTGTATGGCTGCAAGTAAAAAAAAAAAAAACAAACGAAACGTTAAGTCGGGGCTCGCTTTGTTTCGTTTCTTCAATCGTATAACCAGTCTTTTTCTACCGGCTGCCTTTTGTCCAATGTCTATCTCATCCAATCTCTCTCTCTCTCTCTCTTTGTCTTCCATTCGATTCCTAACTCTGCGGTGTGATCCTTACCTCTGGGTGTGGCGGTGATGGCAAGGATATTGTGTTTGACGGTCGGTTCGGCGGTGGTGTTCGGGGGCGGCGGCTCTTCGGGGGGCGACCGTCTCGCAGGGTCTGTGGCCAAATTTGGATTGAGCCTCAGCTTGGGGGTTTCCACGACCGGTGGAGATTCGACCGGCGGCGTTGAAGGTTTGCTGTCGGCGGCCACGTCCGCACACATTTTATCGTTACCGCTGTCTTCCTCTTTGGCAAAGCTATCATCGCCCGCCTCTTCGTTGGTCCATTCGTTGTCCTCGCCGGCTGTAAGTCAAATCAAACAACACACTGTTAGACATAGGATATGGTAAAATATAAACTCTCAGACCAACACCGAGGAGGAGACCTTTAACAGAATTATTGTCGGTTGTAGACTACGCCGCCGGACAAGAGACGATAAGCAGAATAGGAAGAAGCTAATTATTGCGACAGACAACGCTAATCTTTGTCCTGGGAAAACACAGACACCGCGGTTTGGTAATTTTCTGATTATTAAATTATATTGTATTGTGTTATTCGCTAGTATAGTAAAATATTTGATCTTGTCTTATCGCTTTTCGCTTTCTCGTTGAGTTTATACTAACCAGCTTCGACCCAATTTAATATATGTACTTGTTGGATACTGATTTGCATCAACCGCAGTTACTTTGGTCGGTCCACCAGAAAAGCTCTAAAACCGAATAAGTATTTACAACCGTACTCAATTACTACATTGTCTGTGCTAGCGCCAGCGCCATAGATAACAAGCTTCTCCGATGTGTACATAACGCCTAATGTTTTTTAACGTTGATATATATTTATTACAATTATTTTTGTTATTTTCACCGTCGGCCGAGTGAGCGCGCCTAATGTTCACAAATGAACAGATACGGTGAGCCGATAAGCATGAACTTAATTCACGTCTTAAACCCAGAAACAAGCACACACACACAAAACCATCGAATGAACACTTAGTTAAATTTTATAAGCATTTGGTATAGAAAAAAAACATTAAATTTCCTGTAAGTCTTTGAAATCGCACGAGTCATTTACGTACACTAGTTTTGGGTTAATACTAAACATCTGGCAAAAGTGCTTGTGTATAGGGTCTCTCTCCTTATCGAGCCCATGCTGACGCAGGCGGTCCGTTAGTATAATATAATATATATTATCGGGTAATCCTTTGCCGGCACAACCTATGGCCAGTCCCCACAGATAGCCGGTTGTTATAAGTTTTATACACTGGGACAGTTGGAAATTATCTATGGACTATACAGACCAAACGGATAACGATTTCGTTTGTACCGTGGGCGGGCTTGTGTCACGCGAAATGACAAAAAAAAATATATATTTATATTATATGATATCAAATACAATTAAACACAATAGAGTGAAAAACAAACTGAGATTTCGAGTCGATTAATGTTTAAGCAATTACATATCTCACAACGACGGCACTTGACCGAGACACAATAATAATCGAAGGGGCGAGTGGATAAATGTGTTAACTGACAATATTTCAAAACTGTTCAGGTAACATTATTTTATTTGTTATTTAAATATTTGTATAACAAACTGAAAACTATTTTGCAAAAAAAGTCACTTAACACCTTTATCCACTCGCTCACCCCTTCAACTGTCTACATTTGGTGCGCGGTCCCTTCCAAACTACCATCCCTGTGGTTAACCGGCACAATTCTTAAGCGGTCTGTCTTATACTCACTACTCACATTGCGTTACATCTCACGCATCTAGTGTTGCTCGTCATCGACCCATGTGTACCGTGGGGCCGTTCGTGCAGGGTAATAACACAATATCGGTATAATAATATCCAGAAAACACTAGTATTTATAATCTCTCTATATATATATATAAATATTATAAACGAAGCGGAACACGTTTTACCGATCGCGTGCTTGGCGTATATATACAAGTGTAGAGATAACGGCGAGCATTAATTTGAATTTGTGTGTGTGTTTTACATATTATACGAAGACGAGACGAGGTGGAAGCGAACGACGACGACGACGACGGAGGAGTTTAAGTGTATATACCAAGTCGTCTACACGTGTATAACATACACAAGAGATGGCCGTCGGATAAGGGGTTTAACAGTTTTCGGCCGGTGTATATGATAACACACGCTCTGCCCGTGTGCCGCCTGTGCTAACATTGTTGCCTCAACGCGAACGCGATAATCAAATCGTGACAAAACCCCGGGTAATTAGCTATACGAGCCCGGGCAACGCTGATCTCCAAGGCGATTGCCAACAGCACAGACCGTCGTTAGAGATATCGGTCGTGTGTACAAGAGTAGTGTGCAAGCGAGACGACGATGCCACAACACAAACTACACGTGTGTGTGTGTAGAACTGCGGCTAAGGGAGGCCCCGAGACTGTCCCTTCAAAATAAGAAACAGTAAGATTGTGTGTGTGTGTGTGACGGCCACAGCCACCCATGGTCAATGTAATAAAATTAGATGCTTATGAATTTTGCGCAAAGAAATAAACGGTTTTGATTGATGCCAGATTTTTTTTTTTTTTACAAAAATCATCAGGAATTTGAGAAAAGCTAGTAAAAAACAAGTCTAAGATAATTACATTCACAGCATATTATGGCGGATACAACAATTTCTTAAACAAATGTATGTAATAAACGTGTTGCATTTTTGTTACGATGGGCACTGAAGGGTCAAAAATATTTTTATCGACGAATGAAAATTAAATTAATTTATGCACCTTTCAAGCAAGCGACGTTTTATCACACTCGAGGTAACGCCAAAACTGCACTTTACCAAGCCATTTTAGTAAAAAAAAAAATGTATCTTTAATTAAATTTCTCATACACGTACAATCGATAACAGTTTATAGTTAAAGACAACCCGATCAATCTTTTCTTAATTTTTTTTTAGTTAAGAATTCTCATTATTGTATTGATAAAAGTATAGACTATAGTTTAACAACAACAACAACATATTTTCCAAAGGTTTCCAATCGGATAAAAGCGTTCGCCCGAGTTTCTGGTTATTATAATATTATCTAATCGGCAATCATATTAATATGTATTTGTACATGGTAGTGTATATCATATACAAGTGCATTATCTATGTGCAATAGGATGAACGCCCGGACCCAAAGTTTTTAGTGCAGGAAATACGAAAAATGTGCACATACCGAAAACTATAATAAACTACACAAGTGTCAAGACACAATATATCTAACACATATGCACACACACACACACATAACTATTATCTGACCCCGATCTCTTCGAGTTTACTGCCATGGAATCCTTTCACACAACATATGTATATATATACATGTCTGAATGTATAAATGCATTATCTCTGTACCGCGAAAACACGGGTTTGTTGCGTTTATATCTACAAAAACCAAGTGCGTTATCTTAGCGTTCCCGGTCCCTATTTATTATCTATTATGTTGTTTATTTCAATGAAATTTGTTGCAAGGATCCATGTGTCACACCCCGTGTGTCCAACAACTCGACGAAAAATGACAATCGATTTAAATAAAACATTATATTTTTTCAACCCTTAATAAAACCACTGTTGTTCATTGAAAAAACAACTGTAAAATAAATTATTACTTTGATATACGTTTAAATTATAAAGTATAAGTAATAAAATATAAGTTTATCATTAAATTGATAAACAAACAAATTTTTGATAAATTCATTATCGATACAATGTATTTTTCGATTGCCGCTATAAAATATTTTCTTACAACAACAATGCGTTATTATGCTGATAAAACATTATATGAATTCAATAGCAAGTATTTATCAAATGTAATCTACATTTTTATTGAATATGAAGTTTTTTTTTTTGTTGAGTGCGAAGAAAACAATATTAGGAAAAGTCACACATTTTTATTGCTATTGTTAGTTACTTGTGATGATTAATAGAGCATCTCATAATATAGTAATAATTCTGCAATAAAGTGTAGGCAGTTTTTGTCGTATGGAGCCACAAGCAAAAAGTGATCCGTATTTATAGTTAATATTAATTGGTTCCAAATCGCATAACGAATTTAAGAAAACTGTAATTCCCAAAAATATGTCTCAGAACTCGGGAGATGTACTTTTCTTAAGAGTTGAGCTGTTGTAACACAATTCCATCGTTCTAAAGATGTTTTGGATGACATAGAAGTTTAATACTAATACATATTGTAATAGTATAGCATTATACTTTTTCAAAATTATTTTCTGTAAAATTAAAAAAAAAACACTTAACAAATCTGTGCACTATGTCATCTGCATGCACGTTTTTTTTGTAATCTACTGAAAACGTGTCAATGTTATACCAACAAAATAATGTGCACAAATTAGATTAAAAAAAAATGTTTACATTAGATAAAATTCCATGCATTAAATAGGAACGTGCCTGGACAGTGAACACTATAATATAATATATATTATAAATACAGGTGACCAAAATTTTACTTATAACAATAACTTTTTTTAAGGCAATGATTATAGTAAACTAAAACGTTTCAAGTAAAATGTATGTACCTACTATAATAATATATATTATAATAAAGGTTAAAGATATTATTGTTAAACATGTTATTACATTATTAATTAATAATAATAATTCTAGTAGCGTTTTACGGTATAGACAACAAGCGGGGTGGATCAGAATTATTTTCTTGAGACTTTTTTGGCTAAATAAATTATTCCATAGAATAGCAAAATAAACTGTAAAGTAAAATATGTTGAGCATCCTGTATCCGATACACAATAACACATCTATTTATATTTTACGTTTTTAAATTTAAATTTGTATTTTTCTCGTCGAACACACACCGTGTGTTATCGGTCAAATCTTATCTATGACATTTGGCTTTACCCCGGACGCCATCGCGCGTTCCCAGAGCTATACAATTTCCTCTCCCACCTCTCAAACCATAATAGCCGATAATATAATATCAGTTGTCCCGGTTCTTCCATCAATATTATTATAATTACAAATTTATTTAGAGAATATAATTTACAACGTAATGTGAAAACGATACGGCCGTCAAGCCGTTAAGTACACAAATATATTATATTTATGTAAAAGTATGCGTAGACCAGAGATCGGCAAACTTGTATCGATAATAATATGAACAACGACCGCTAATGAGCCCAAAAAACAGGCACGGGTAATTAATAATATTATTTGTATACTTAACTTATCGCAACAGGTAACTAAAAATCGTCTTCACGTATAGGAGATACGAGTCGTGCCTATAGTATATATTATTATAATACCTCTACTGGACGA